GTCTAAATGATTGGATGGAGGCTCATCTGTTCTCCAATGTTTTTGACAGCAGTGCCCACAATAGCCAAACTATGGAAAGAGCCTAGATGTCCATCGACAGATGAATGGATAAAGAAGATGTGGTGTATATATACAATGGAATATTACTCAGCCATCAAAATGAAATCTTGCCATTTGCAATGATGTGTATGGAACTAGAGGGTATTATGCTAAGCAAAATAAGTCAGTCAGAGAAAAATAAATACCATATGATTTCACTCATATGTGGAATTTAGGAAACAAAACAAATGAACATAGGGGACGGGAAGAAAAATAAAATAAGATAAAAACAGAGAGGGAGGTAAACCATAAGAGACTCTTAACTATAGGAAACAAATAGGGTTGCTGGAGGGGTGGGGGTGGGGGGATTGGGTAACTGAGTGACGGACATTAAGGAGGGCACGTGATGTAATGAGCACTGGGTGTTATATGTGGCTGATGAACCACTAAGTTCTACCTCTGAAACTAATAATACACTATATGTTAATTAATTGAATTTAAATAAAAATTTAAAAAAAGAAATTAGCCTGTTCTACTTCCCACCCAATCTTGCCATTTTTCCTCTGAATTGAATTGGAGCATTTTTATGTTTGCCTCACATTTCCAGACAAAAAATACATTCCCCAGCAAATTGGCAACAACTTCCCTTTGTGATCAAGGCAATTTTAACCCAAGCAGGCTCAGTAACAGCAGACCCTGACCTGAGACGTGACCTCGTGTCCTGACACGGAAGTGAGAAGTAGTTTGATTCAGTTTCACTCTTGATCCATCTTTCAGTACCAGAGATTTTGAGCATAGAATACCCACCAGACTGCCAAGAGGAGAGGGTCAGAAGAACCTCTTCTTGCCTCCCCAGGAAGCACTTTATACTGAGTTTAATTTTTAAAAAAACAAAAACAAAAACAAAAAACCCCCACCACACTAGAGTTTAGTGTAGTATTATTTCACTACTGGACTTGAATTTGAATCTCATCCTTTTCTTTTGTCAGCTCTGTAATCTTGAGCAAGGCATTTAACCCTCCAAGTCTCAATTTCCTTTTCAATAAAATGCCAATCATAATAATCTCTGAGTAGATGGACCAACTATGTAGATGGAATCTGCCTCATAAAGCCGTTGTGAGGATTAAGTGAGATACAGAAATTTAAATGCTTCTCATAATGTCTGGACTAAGAATAAGTGTTCAGCAATCTTAGCTCATAAATCTAACAATATCTCTGCTTCATTTCCTCAGTGACTTTTAAATATTCTATTCATGGTGTTCACTTATAGACAGGTCACCGTTTGATTATGATTCTAGTGTTCTTATGTGGGTGATAACCTCTCTGTGGTTATCACAGCCTTCTGGTAATCAAAGGGCCCCAGAAACAATATGCTTTTGGGAGAATAAAAATGCTTTTAACGTGAGATACCACTTCATAATTCATCTGCTGAGTTTAGAGTATTTTCTGTGTGTACATGTCCAGCCGCTGAGCTTGCACAAAAGAATCTCACTTCTTCCACTCACCTGAAGAGACGTAGGCTCCAAGCACCTCTTCTAACCACTCTCCCTTGCCCCCAGCAGGTCCTTCGTTAGTTAGCTGTCCTCTCAGGTGGCTCCTGCAGGAATGGGTGCATATGCTGGCTCCCCCACTGTGTTTATAATGATCTGTTTCTGTGCCTGTCTGTCAGTTGGTCTTTGAGCTCCTTCAGGATGGGGACTGTGTCTTATTCACTTAGATGATAGTGCAGCGCACATCTTCATGAAAATATATAAGATGAATAAATGAACCCCCAGGGTGGGGCTGAGAGGGCATAAACATGGTAATGTGGAATTTGTCCTGAGAATCCAATTGCTATTTAAGGTTATGTGTGTGGACATGTTTACTGTCTGAAACCTTTGCCCAGATGACTGATTTCACTGCCTTTCCTTCCCTTTCAAAAACTGGAGAGCAAAGATAGAGAAAAGAAATGCTTAATCATAACACCACAGACCAATTTAAATAGAGTTTCAAGCAGAAGATTTAGAAGCTCGAGAGACTTGTGTGTGATATCTTCCGAAAGCTGTATGGGAAGGGTTGACATCTTTGTTCATGACTGTGTCAGCCAAGAGGGGAGGGTCAGACACTTCAGGAGAATAAGCCACAAGGGATCCCTTTATCTGGTAAGTTGTTTTTCTTCTCCCATTTCCCCCTTTCTGGGAAGTTTTGATAAAGTCCATTTAAGCCATCGGAAGAGTTAACTTTATCTTTCATTGTTCATCTTTATGTTGTATGTGTATCTCTACTTAGATGTACTTATATATTGCAGGGGTAATTGTAACTACAGCAGAAATATATTTTAAAGCATCACAAAGGTTTATGATATATCATCAAACAAAACAAAAAAAAGCATGGTACTGAGTGTATAATGGGATTCTAATTCCATTCCAATTCCACAGTATTAGGGGAGATCTTTTTCCCCTTCTCTGTGCCTTTCTGAATTTTCTTGTCTTTTTCTTTCTTTTCTAATTAACAATGAACATATTATATTAACAATAAGGGGGAGGAGCTATATGTTCTTTTTAAAGTTCTAGCCTTTCATTTTCCAGCCTGTTATGTAGAAAGTTCCCTAGTGTTCTCTGAGTAGATGTACCAGCTGTACAGGAGTAATTAACTGCCTTCTATTTCACAGGATGACAGGTGGTGCACGTGCTGACAGCCATAACGTGGCTTGAGCCTGGGCACGGTCCAGGTGCTCCCTATCTGTCCAGCCTCCTTTACCACCCTCCAGCCACTGTGACAGTCCAGAGGCTCCCAGGCTGCTCTAAGCTTTGACTGACCTAGAATGTTCTCCCTACCTGATGTAGTAATGCTTATTCGAAGTATGACCTCAGCTCTGAAGTCACTGTCCCTGGGAGCCTTCCTCAGGTCGATTTCCCATCATATCTTTTCACTGTAACACATTTTTTTCTTTCTGCATTTAGTCGTGTGATTTTTATTTAATATCTAATGACTCTTCCCTAAAATAAATAAATAAATAAGTGTGAGGTCCACTAGGGTTTTCCCAAATCTCCAGTGCTAGCATGCTGCCTGGAACATTGAAGGGATGCAAATAATTGTTGCATGTGTGAATGCATCTATGATGTAATAGGATAAGTAGAAATCCAAGTGGAGAAGGGAGGGAGCATTTTCATCGTGTTGCCCAGAGTCATCAATCTAACTAATGAATCACAGGTATTTGTTGAGTGTCTATTTGCCCTCTGCTAGACACAATAGGAGAGGAAGACTAACATAGCAGAGGGGCCCATAGACTATGAAGAGATGAGAAAACATATGGAACAGATAAATCACACTACCTATTAAACTACATTGGCATTATATTGTATTTTTAATGGCCACATAAATAGAAACAATCCAAATTTTCTACATAGACGATATCCATTCAAGCAAATGGTATTCAGGTTTTCAGCCTGAACAGCCTTTCGACAAAGTCAAGTGTTTTCCCACCATGTTTCTTCCCAGAAATCCTTCTCTACTTCCCTCAGACTCCCTAAAACTTAACATTATCCAACTTAAAACACGTTATCAATAAGGACCTACAGTCTACAGAGCACCTTCCCTCATACCCATCTGAGAAATGTTTTTAAAAGGAGGCAATGGCAAGAGGGTATGGAGAGTGAAAATAAGCACAGAGGAAAAGGAGGCAAGTCTCAGGAAAACAAAAGCCCCCATGCACATGCACTCTCTGTGTGCCAGGTACGCTCCAAGCCCCTCCCATATAAATCCATTAATAGTCCTAACACTTCCACGCAGTGACTGTTATCTTTGTTTATTATTGAGATAGCTGAAGGAACTGCATCCCAAGGAGGATAGTAAGTTGCCTAGCGCACACCGCCGGTGGCTGGCAGAGCCCAGCAGTCCAGCTCCAGGGCTGGGGCTCCCAACCACTGCATCACTCGAGCTGCCCCCCTCTTCTCCCCTCTCAGTATCTGTGTTCCCCTCCTGTTACTCCTTCATTGCCACCTCCCTGCTCAGGCTTTCTACCTCTACATAATTAATCCCTTCCTCTTGGGCCCAAATTCCTCAGTGCAAATGCAGCCCCAAACTCCTTAAATCATGGTTATCTTTGGACTTCTCTCCAGATCCTTCCATCTTATTCCATTTTTAATCTACCACAAGATGCCTATTTACAAGCTGTAACACTCATGGAGAGAATGAAGAATAACACCCAACACTGCACAACTAGCACCCCAAGAAGATAAACGGGAGGTAGCGTTTTCTGACTTGACGCTGAGTACGCGACACTTGATTTGAGGCTGGCTGATAACTCTGAGAAGTAAAAACAATGGCTTACTTCGGGTGAGTGCCCACTGTGGGCCAGATATGGTTTCAAGCACTCTCCACGTATTAACTCATTCAACCACACAACAACCTGTCAGGTGAGTTCTGTCACTGTCATTCTGTTTCACAGTTGGAAAAAAGAGGCATAGCGAGTTTAGGTCATTTGCCTAATGGTGAGACACACGTGCGGCCAACATGGGACTCAGGCGGCTCAGCCACAGAGCCCAGGCTGAAGAGCACTGAGCCAACACCTCCTACTCCCACACACGAAACTTCCAGTTTACTTTTTTTTTTTCTGATACAAGAAGCAGAAGCTCTTTTCTAATAATGACCCATGTCTGTTATATTTCATTTCAAAACTGTTTCCAGCAATCACACCTCCCCCCACCATCCCCCGGCCAGGATTTTCTCAGTGGCTTTTTCCTTTCCTACCTTATTATTTTGTATTATTATTTTTGCTCCCTTGCCTCAGAAGGCTGCTGGAATTGTTAACATTCACTGAGATTTCACAATAACTGGAAAATTTACACTGGGGCATTATGATTAAGACAGCATATTTTCCAAACGTACGACCTTAAATTGGGGCTCATATCATAATCAGAGGAAACTTGAACCCTGGGGGTGTGGGCACTATTCCTGCACTGCTCAGCCCAGGATGTCCAGGAGTGATTCACACTTGCCCCTGTCTCCAGACCATCCTCCATGGAAGTAGGTAACCTCCTACCCCCCGGTTACCACTGCTACTAAGTATTATCAACTGCTCCTGTATTATCAACATCCAAATTCATGGGAAGGGCTGTGGTGAATTTCTGGAACTTGAATAGGAAGTTGCTTTTCTAAACAGCTTGACACTGAGGGGAGGCAGCAAGACTATAAGAAGTCTGGGTTGGGCAGACGGCAGAGAGGAAGCCAAGGCGCAGAGGAGATGGTAAGTTCCTTTCTCTGTACTCTGGGAACTGGATGAGATGGTGGCGTAGAGGCTGAGTCCGGCAGGTAAAGTGAGGAAGAGCAGTAGTCCTGGCTCTTTATGTTGAATAGCCCTTTGAAGTGTGAGCATGTCCAAACCTGCGGTCCATTTTGACCCTCTAACATCCTTGGGGGTTGACGTTGCTATTTCCATGTGATGAATGAAGCCCCTGAGTCTTATGGAGACCAGGAGTTTCACCTACGGCCGCACTGCTAGGCTTGATGTTGTCTGGATCTGGACTTCTGTCCCTTGGCTCCCCTGCTGCTGTTTTTCCTTCTGGAGCTTACAGAAACTCTCATGGTGCAGATCTTGGTAAACCCTTGGCCACCTTCTCCAGGACTGCTCTTCTTTCTGGCTTGAAGGCGAGGCTGAGCAGGTGTCCTGGGACAACCTGTGATTGAATGTGGTCTCGTCCCAGCCCTCCTAGTTCCCTCTCTGAGCCCTAGGAGTCTGCTGGGACTTATGTGGAGTATCCCCATGGTTTCCATTTCTGCCTTAAGTCTCCATCCTGTTAGTGATTCGGTTTCTTCATCTGTAAAATAAGTAAGTTCTAGCACTTTACTTTATAGTGTCATTGTGAAGATTAAATAAGATTGCACTGAAAAACATTTAAATCAGAGGCTGGCACATGGTAGCTGATTAGTAAATGTCAGCTATTATTGTTGTGAAAAAGAAAAATTTGTGGAGTTTGGGATCCAGGAAAGATACAAGGAAAACTAGGCATTTTTGAACTCGTTAACAGATAAGACACACGGTTTTACTTCTGACTTACCAGGAGTATCTCCCACAGTCCCAGGGTCCAAAATCCTGCAATCTGTGGCTAGCAAGGAATCAGCTCTCTCTGTTTTTGAGCCATTTTCCATGGGATGCCAGAAGAAAGCAGCATTCATACATGATTCACCTCACCTCTTTACTTTACTATGGTACACTTCTCAAATATTTGCAATGGGGATTTTCTGTACTGGGGAGAATAGAGAAGAAGACTGAAGAGAACAGGAATGAGTTTGAGTCTGTCCTGAGTTTGAACTCCAATGACATGAGAATGTGGATTGATTTTGTCTCATCTTTTGCATATCATACATCCTCTGTGTTGGTCAACTTACATGGATAAGGAGTTAGTCATCTCTTCCTTTTATTCAGTTTGGGATCCTCCTCTATATCAGAAGTATGTTAACACATTGGATCGTGGGATTCCTTGAGGTTCTAGTGAAAATACAACTCTTCATCCCAGATGAAAATGCAAACATCCACATAAGCACCAAGCTTTCTGGACAAGTACAGTGGGTTCCCCAACCCGCACATGGGTCTTAGGTTAAGAACCCCACTCTATTGCCTCCTGTGCTTTATGCTTAGAAGCTCCTCCATTAGCCTCTTGAAACTGGGCTGGAACTCTGCAATCTAGTGCTGAGGACTCCAGCTCTAGAACGGTTTTTAGTATTCCAAAAGTAAGACCTTTTCCTTTGCCCCTGGGCACATTTGGCTCTTGGGATTCAGGAACCTCAACCCTCTGCGTGTAAATTTGGCTTCAAGTTCAGAGTAGCTTCAATTAACCTCTAGGACCTGAGGAAAGAGGCTAAGGTTTATCTGGTGGAGTGTTTTCAATGAGATGAATCTCGGAGAGGGGAGCTCTTGATTGGGAACTTGCAATTAAATTATGCTGATGCTAGTCAGAGTTCTAGTGGTTTAGGGAACAGGTCTGGATGTTCTTCCATTTATACCTTAACCTTCTTAGGTCTGAGGCTTTTAGTTCTTACTCTTTCATTACCTGTTTTTCAAAATGAAGCTACCTGGTTCACCTTCTCCGGGGCTGGCCACTGGCTCTTAGACTATGTAGCTTCAGAATCCTGTAAGTGGAAGCTTACTAATCAAATTTTCAAAAATCAGAATGACCTGCTGCATAATGGGCAATACTGAGAAAAAACCCTGGACCAATCCTAGAGAGTAGGCACATGGTGGTTTCATGAGTGACATTTATTCCATTATCTTTTAGGTGTCTCACTTCTTTGATTGAAAAGCAGACAGAAACTTCATAAAGTCAAATACAAAATGATTCCTTTATATTTGTAGGGATATAGCTCAGTCATGCTCCAATGGACTTTTTAAAAATTAGGTATGCTACTTTATTTTTAATGCTAGTATTTCAACCTAAATAATGGTGATTGGTAGTCTAATTTAAATATGCGCTTTGATTCTCAGTGTTAATGTCCTGGGTTCCTGCCTGTCTTTATTTCTAGTTTGCTATTGGCCTAGAGACCTCTTTTTTTTTTTTTTTCCACTGTGTTTCATTTTCTACCTTTAAGCTGCTGGGGCTACAAACATCAGTGCTCTGCCACCACCAGTACCGTCCAGAAACTTCAGGGAAGTATTGTGCAGTTGTGATGCCTTGTGAAACCTGGACTCTGCCACCAGCAATTTGTATAGTTCTGCCTCCTCCATGACTCTCACATCTACCTCCCTGCTTTGCATTCCCATTGCCCACAGCCCAAGCCAGACCCCCTTTTACTCCCACTGGGACTAGTACAGTAGCCTCCCCTTTGCACAGCACAACCTCTCTGCAGCTAATTCATCAAAACCGCCATAATCAGGTGCATCTGCTCAGGACGCTTCTCTGTTCAGAGCCCTGGCAATTAGATCCCTTCTGCGCACTATTACATCAGACTCACAAGATCTAGTCCCAACCTGATGTGATTTGGAGGGGGGGTGGTTCGGAGCCGGCAGCCACAAAAGAATTCTTGAGACTTTTTCAGTGCAAAAAGAGTGTTTTTATTATAGCATGAGGACAGGACCCATGGGCAGAAAGAGCTGCACTGGGATTGTGAGGAGTGACTGGTGATATAAGATTTTCTATCCTATGGAAGGGAGGGTGATGTTAGGGTTCCAGGAAATTGAGTCTATAGCTTTCTGGAGATTGCTCTTTTATTGTAAATCATTAAGACAGTTGCAAACTGATGGAGACTCCTGTCCTGCATGACTGTGAGCTCTATCAGTTAGCCCTTTGTTTTTCCCTTTCCTTTGTTCTTGGACAGCCAGCAGTGCCTGTGGAATTTCACACATATCCCACCTGGGAGGGGGGTGGGTTGCAGGGAGTTAGCTTGTGCTGTGCCCTCAGCTCCCTTTTTGCTCCCTCATCAAAACTACCTTTTCAATTAACCTCTAGGACCTCCCAGTTTTCGACATCAATCAGACCACATCATTGCCTCTATTAAAACACCCCAGCCTCTGATTCCTCTGCATTTAGAACAAAATCTCATCCCCTTGTTTAAGTTCCTAAAGCCCCGGAGTGATCTGTCACCGGCTTCATGTCATGCTCTTCCACTGCTCATTCCATTCCAGCCACACTGATGCTTCATGTTCTGTGAACACTCCACTTGCTGCCACTCAATACCTTCACATCAACTTTTCCTTCTGTCTTTAATTCTCTTCTTCCTGATTCTCCCTGGCTGGCTTCTTCTGGCCCTTCTGCTTTCAATTAAAAATGACCTTCTTAGAGAGATCTGCCCTGAGCTCCCTGCCTAAGGGAACCACCCAGCCCCTCTACCACATAACTCCACTTTAATTCCCTACCTAGCGCTTATCACTAGTTTCCAGGTTTCGTGTTTATTTGTTAGGAACTGCTGTGTATTTATTGGCATTTCATTGTCTGTCTTCCTCAATAGATTGTATATTCCACAGGACAGGAATGGTATCTGTTTTTACCATTTTAAGGCCAGTGCCTTGAAGGGTACCTGACACATTGTAGGCATTTGATAAATTAATAGCTACTGAAATAAACAATGGGAAAGAACAGGGAGTAACAGGGAGCGCCTATCTTGGTGGGGGCGGTGGGGGGGAGGGGAGGATTGGTGATAGAGAAGTCTCCTTCCAGGAGGAGATTTTTGGATTTAGAGCTAGGCACACAGAGAAGGAGAGGGTTCTCTGGGCAATAAGGAGAACATAGGGCACATACAGGGCATTCTAGAAACTACAAGATGGTTCGTTATAAATGCATTGTAGAATTGTGTGGGGTGAATAAACTGAAAGTTAATGGCAGGAGATGAGACTAGACAAAAAGAAGAGGCCACATTTCGAAGGGTCTTACATGTGTCATCCTGAAGAGTTTGTGTTTATTGCTCAAGGAGTAGGAACAGCTGATGGACTTTAAATAGTAAAGTGATATGATCAGGTTTTTGTGTTAGGAATATCTTCTGACTTCATTATAGAGAAATAATTGAACATGGGTAACTTGAAGATAGTAACTTGAGGAGAGACCAATTAGAAGATGTGCAGAAAGGAAAGAATTATATACCTTAATGGTAAGTGGAAATCTGGAGAATGACTAAGTATCTGGTCAGAAGGTAAAGTCAATAGGATTTGATGACAGGTTGATGTGAAGGGTTTGGACAAAGGAGAAAGATCCTTGGTCTTTGAACCTTCATGGTCCACCTGATGAAGGACTTCAGGGTCTCAGGCCTCAGGTCAGTGAGACTGTTTGCTAGTAGGAACCTATGCCTCTTATATGAGTCCCCTTTGGTGCTAGAGGCTTTCTGAGAGTCACACTCACTCCAGAGGGTTAGATTGAAATTTGCTTTCTCGTTCCCAACTTCTAAGAGCTGCTGCTACTTGATGCCCCTCCAGGCTTTCCTGAAACACACCACCCATTATAAAAATCCTCAATTTCCCCACTTCTCCACATATCCTTCTATCTTACCTGTACGGTGTTAAGAGAGTGAGTCCTACTCATTTGTTCCCTCACACAGGATGTGAGCCATCACGCCCCTTGCTTCTCTCATACGCAAATAGAATGAGACAAAGTACCAAGATCATTTTTTTGGTAAAACTTTCTTACACTCTTCTGCTTAATCATAACGGACTTTTAAATTTGATACAATTACTGCTGTAGCCCTTAAATACTGAGTTATAATCATCACATATTTTTTCAGTATTTTCCTACTCAGCACCCACTTCTTACTTTCAGTCATTCCTGTGCCATTGTTCTTATTTATTTGCTCATTCATTCATAAAATATTTATTAAACATGAAGCGTCTGCTCTCTACTATAGCCGAGATTCAGACCTAAGTCATCTTGGCCTTGAGAAGCCTCGGCCAGCAGCATTCTCCAACTGTACACTCATATGCTTGCTTTGCATTTGGGTTGCAGATGTCATGCTCAGGAGGGAAGTCAGGGTTGGAGATGCTGCCTGGGGGCCATTTGGCACACAGATGACCAGAAGAAGACCTCAGGAAAGCAGATGAGTGATAAGAGAATAGGGTCATGGAGGCAGGACCCCAGGGTACTCTCTATCTCTACAAGTGCAAGCAGAGGGTTGAGATAGACTCAGAGGAAGACTCATCAAAATTGCTCAAGATGTCAGATAAGAGTCAAAAGAAGAACCAACAGAAACATTTTAAATAAAAGGAAGTATTCAGTAGTATTTATTGCTGCAGAAAGGTCAAGGAAGATAAGAAGGGAGAGTGTTCACTGGGTTTGTTAATTAGTTTTGCAGTGGTAAAGTTAGCAAGAGCAGTTTCGTGGGCTGGTGGTTGGAGGAGGCTGGAGAATAAAGGGAAACAAGGAAGTTAAAGAACCTGAACCAAAGCGGAAGGAGAGAAATCAGTATTAGGGCAGAAGGCAAACAGTCCAGGGAGGGACATTGTCAATTCTTCCTCTGAAAGCACAAAGCTGTGGTCTACAACACAGGAGGAAATAATCGCTTTCCATGGTACCATTTCTGCCAACTTTGATACCGGCAGCCATCGGACTCCTGCTAGCATCGAGTACCTCCTCCTAAGCAAAGTGAGGGCAAGGGAAAAAACATTTGGTCTTGCACTTTCTCTCTGCCCCTCTCTTCACCCCATTTTTTCAGTTCTTAGGAAAAGTAAAATTAAAGAGAACCACAGTGTGAAGCAGCTTTAATGAAGGTTTACCCAGGCACAGGATGTGATTTTAATGACCCAGTCACAGACTGTTTCCCAGTGACTTCTAGTTTGAAGTTGACTGCCAGAGAACATTAAAGGAAAGATTAGCAGAGCACGTAGCCATTTCTCTTAGAGACATTTCCTCTTGTTTCAACACTTAAGTGGCTTGGTAACACAGGGAACAGTCCTTAAATCTCTAGGATCTTAGAGTTGAAGATGACACTGTGGAACAGGAACAGATGTGAGAAAGCCTGCCCACCCCAAGGAAATTTCAGAGGAAAATGGCCACTCAAAGGAAGATTCTTAGGCATCACCCATTCTCCAGGCTCACACACAAAACCCTTGTCCATTGCCAGTGACTTACTCTGTTGCCTTGAATTTCACAGAGATTTGAACTTGTGGTCCATTAAACACAGACAGACTTAGTGAGTCCATGAACCAACTGAAATTGTCTAAAAAAACCCTGCAACTGAGCATTTTTTTAAGAATCCTGACTGTAGCTCTTATCAGACTTTCAAAGGAATTCAAAAGTCCTGCAAGAATAAGAATCATTATGGTAACCCAACATCCACCTTGAAAACCTTAAAATTTTAAAAACTCTCTCTCTCTCTCAATTCTGTTTAAACCACATTTCAAAGTTTAAACAAACTAGTTAAAATGTGAAACAGCTCTTTTGGGATAGTGGCTGGAGTTGGGCACTGATAGGGAAGCAGGAGCCTCCCTTGACCAACCTCCCACACACTTCCTTGAACTTTCCCTAAAGCCAGAGAAACCCCTAGAAATGCTCTACGGAGAAATGTACAGGGAGACCAACACTTCCAAAGGGCACACGGAGAGCACCACTAGATTGCAAACACTATATTTCTCCTCTAGTCTACTGGAGAAGAAATCCAGCGCATGTTCAAAGGTAAATATTGGGGTCTCCTTCATGAGATCTACATTATTGTGTTCTTCAGCTGTAATACTTTTGCTGCTTGTGCCTCTGAAAGACTTTTGGAATATTGTACAAGCTCTCACACCTTTCTAAGGGGAAAGCTAACTTTTTTGTCAGAAGTTTTAAAACTAATAAAAGATGGGATGTCCAATACATTGTAAAGAATAGCCTTTTACAATAAATGTCACATCATTTCTTAATATTCATTCCAGTGGAATTAAATGCTATAGTGATCTAATAACCCTCATCACTTAAAAAAAAAAAAACATAACTAAGTTCCGGATAATAGGAAATTTTATATTATTTGTTTTCTCTCCTTTAATACCTATTTCTATTCCACTTCCTCTGCAGAATTGTAACCTAATATAATAAAATTTTAAGCTTAAAGTCTTTACTTGATCACTACATCTTACTTCTTTACAAAAAAGGTAATAAATCAAAATTTAAAAGATTGAATTTCCTGAAAGCACATGTGATTTTAGACTCCCCAACCTTCAGTTCTTTCATGTGTGACAGGAAGGAGTTGCACAAGATGAGTATTCCTGGAATTTATTTGCCTAAAACATTTTTAAAATGTTAACAGATTTGATGAAATCCCAACAGAAGGGAACTCATTAGAAATAATACTTGCTATTGATCCAAAGGGAATAAGTTTATTATATGTATTAAAATATATATGTACTTTGCATATATATTAAATATTGAATAATATTGTGGACATAGGCTGAAATTGTCAAGCAAGAAGATAAAACATAGATCAATAATACAGAGTAGATGGCATAGCACAGGACAATTCACTGATGCCCAGTGCATCAAAGTATAGGTCAGTCAGAGAGTTTGCATGCAACTTCCTAGTATTCGGGGGTATGGCATACTAGTTCTTAAAGGGAGATTATTGCATAATAATAATGACAATATTTTTCTTATGTGTTTATTACAAAGTGTTTCATAAACAAAAAATATTAGTTGCACAAAGTAGTTACTTGACAAATATTTGTCGAATGAAAGAAGAAACAAATTCTGTCCTCGGTAAGAAACAAATTCTGTCCTCGGTGTTGGTTCAGGGTACAACTCAGAACAGAGCAGTGAGAAATAAGAATGAAGCAGAGGGCTTGAACCTCCATACTGATGGAAACAGGGAGGATTATGACTCAATATAATGATGATTAACAAGAGTTTTTTTGGCCCCATTGATTTCACATCAATGCTAAAAAGAAGTTTTCTTTTCTTGTTTCAGGCCAGGTGCCTAAAAGCCATCTGGAACTGGAGATTTCAGAGAGTGATCTTCAGAACTGTCCAACTCCTTTGCTTCAGTGCCCTGATCTTTGGTAAAATTTATGTTAACCCTTCATCTGGGCCTGAGTAATGAGGGGACCTTCTCCAAGTAGGAGAATTTAAGGATGGTAGTCAGTTGTTATGAGGCATGGGAATACTCTCCCCACCCAAATGCCTGGAAAAAAAAAATGCACCCAACACCATCACATTGCTGGAAAACTCTGGACAAACTGAAACGGACATCTCCAGGACCAATTATCTATTAGACACAGCGGGCACTGGTCCACAGTACCGTTACGGACCCACAAAAATGTCTTAGCATACTATATATATATATAGTAAATTGTAAAATTTATTAGCAATTGTAAAATATAGTTTTGAATATTTTATTATGGAGGAAGAGGCAGATTAAGGCAAAACTGCCTCAACTCCATGGAGGTCAATAATGCAGCCCTGGTGACTCCAGAATAAAGTTTTAGGGCAAAGCAATTCAATAGAGGTGTCAGTGAGGGAGAGACAAACATAAATGACCCTCATGTGGGCAGTAGAGGTCAGGGTTGAATAGGAAAAAGACTCTATAAACAGGAAAGAGAGCCACTTCCAGGTCTGATTGCTTGCATTGTACACTTCTTCACATGGGATCTGGCCTCTTCTGGCCCGGGTGAGTTCCCACTGGCTACAAAAACAGTATCTTCCATCAGAGTGCGCCTTACACTTTTGAAGGGCACATACTTTATTTCATTTAATATCACAAACATGTCTTCAAAAGGCTTGTTTTAACAAGTGAGTGAGCGGAAATGGAGGACACAGCGTAATTTAACAAAGAGAAATAGTCAAGAGGTGGAATGAGTGTAAGATTGCAGATCAGGAGATTTGATTTGTAACCTGTCTCCGCCACAAACATGTTGTCTTTCGCTCAACAAGTATTTACTGAACACCTGTTAAGTGCCAAGCTCTGTGTTTGGTGTGAAGGACCCAGAGATAAAAACAGACCACTATCAGGATTCACAATCTAGCATCTTACCATGTCACAGGAAGAGACATTCCAATACCCAGTGATAAGGGAGGTGGAAGCAGAGATGAGGTGCAGTGGGAGCCTGGAGAAAGGAGCGGCAAGCCTACCTGGGCAAGTCATGAAAAGTAGGGTGAAGAAAATTTACAAGGCATATGTGGGGAGGGCAGCCAGAATAGCAGGAAGAGCATTGCAAAGATACAAAGTGGGAGTCTGTTTTGCTAAGAAGGTAAATATGGTGGGTGATGAGGCTGGGCCAGCAGCTAGACTCCAGATCATAGAGCATCTTATTTTCCATGTGAAGAGGCAGAACCTGTAGATTCAAAGCAGCCACCAAGACATTTTATGTGTCATTTAAATTGGGCGAATTAATTAATATGTCTCTTCCATTTATAAAAGGAGGAGAAGATTAGACGACCCAACTCTGTTACCATTATGATTTCAAATCTCTAATACTAAGGATCCTCAGAGTACAATTTCCTATTCTGACTTCACATATATATTTTTAGGTGAAAGATGGAAACTACTCTTCTTCCTTAAAACAACTAGATTAGACATAAAAGAGTCATGTTTTAAGTATTTGTTTTCCAGTCAGAAGCTCATCTGACTATATAGAAGTGTATTTATGCTCACAGAATCCTTCTGGTTAGGGATGCTAACCTGGCATTCACTCTCCTTTACTCAGAATTAATAAAGCAGAAAGAAGTGGCAGCATGGACCTATAATTACAGCACGAAAGCATATTCATGGAACCATTCCCGGGTATTCTGCCAGAAGCACTACACGGATTTAGTGGCCATCCAGAATAAAAAAGAAATTGCTTACCTTAATGATGTCATACCTTACTACAGCTCTTACTACTGGATTGGGATCCGGAAGATCAATGATAAATGGACCTGGGTGGGAACCAAAAAGCCTCTCACCGAAGAGGCTGAGAACTGGGCTGACAATGAGCCCAACAACAAGAAGAACAACCAGGACTGTGTGGAGATCTACATCAAGAGTGTGTTGGCCCCTGGCAAGTGGAATGATGAGCCCTGCGGGAAAAGGAAGCGGGCACTATGCTATACAGGTAGGATCTTCTCTACTCTGAAGATTGTCTGTTTAAAACAAATAACTTCCCTGGTTCATTAATATAGCCACTGTGTCGGTAACGTTGAGTCACAAAGTCAGGGATGTGAGAACAAAGAATAAACTACAATCAAGCAGTGTTACTGAGCACCTTGAAGAATATAAGATCAGGATTAGAGAAAACTGGATTTTTGAAACCAGAATTTTACAATAATTTTACGATCATCTGACCCATCTTCTTCATTTCATAACTGATGATGTAGATGCTCAGAAAGTTTTGGTTTCCTAAAATTTATGTCCAGAGCTTTTTTGCACCACTCTGCCCTAGTAGAAGTTGAAAGGTAGCTTGACCCTGCCCCCAGGAGACACAGCTGTAACTAATACTTACTGCTCGTCAGTATGGTGCAGGCATTGCTGTTAGTTCGTGGGTCAGGAGTCTATTTCGTATCAGTTTCGTCTAGTCCTTGGGAGAACCTCATCAACTGGGTCCTCTAGTACTCTCATCTCACTGATGAGACAAAGGCTCAGGCTAGTAAGGGATCTGCTCAAGATTCTAAGCTACTTGATGGTGGAGTTGGTTTCAAACTCATGATCCAAAGTTGGTGTTTTTTAGCCACAAATGCTACTGTACTCTCTGCTCTACATTCTCATGAGACACCATGAGAACATGACCAAGAATCACAAATGCTTTAGATTCCCTTCAACAACAACCTGTGTTGAGGTGTGATGGACTTTGGGAGAGGTTCGGGGTGTGAGGAAAGGGAAGAGGTAACTGGGAGGGTATTTGCTTCTCAATGAAGCAAGCAGTTCCCAAGTAAGCAGACATGCATGGAAGCTTGGTCTTCCTGTACTCATGTGCTTGTTCCATCTTTCTGATGCCGCTTCTCACATAGAGGAGCCCCTCCTGCCCCATGTAGTGCACAAACACTGTGGCTAGAGAGAGACTTGACGGCCCTGGGCAAGACAGTCCTGAGTACTCTGAAGCTTCTTCTTTCATAAATCATCTTACAGATGCCACACTCTGCTATGTATGTTCTAAAATCAACATGGATGGAACTGGAGGGGATTATGCTAAGTGAAATAAGTCAAACAGAGAAAGACAATTATCATATGGTTTCACTCCTTATGTGGAGCATAAGGAATAGCACAGAGGACCACAGGGGAAGGGAGGGAAAACTGAATGGGAAGAAATCAGAGGGGGAGACAAACCATGAGAGACTCTGGACTCTGGGAACCAAACTGAGGGTTACAGAAGGGAGAGGGTGGGGGGATGGGCTAACTAGGTGATGGCTATTAAGGAGGGCATGTGTGGTGATGAACACTGTGTGTTTTACCCAACTAATGAATCGTTAAACACTACATCAAAAACTAACGATGTACTATATGCTGGCTATTTGAACATAAAAAACAAAATAAAGTAAAAAATAAATAAATAAATTCTTTAAATTATATAAACACCTCCCCTCAGAGCTCTTCCTCCACTTTCCTCTACTTTCTCTCTCTCTCCTCACTCAAGCCTCCTATCTGAGAGAAAACATATCCATAAATGCATTGTCATGTATTCGGGTCTCATTTTATAAATAATTTATAAATAAACAAACAAATTCATTAATTTAAAAAATCAGGACCTGTTCTTTGTAGGCCAGGATGGACATTACCAGAATATTAGTGCATCCTGCTGCCCTCCCCGTCAAATCCCGACACTCCCTGGGTTATGCCTCCCTGGAACGGTCCCTGGAAGATTATCTTGGTTGCCAGTCGATGTTTCCAGTATGCCACTGCTTCCCCTCCCTGCCCAACCTTCAACATCCATATCTGCAAGACCGTTTTCCCCAATAAAACTTGCAAAACGTCACAAGGAAGAAAAGGGATTACTCCTGGCATGCACGACGCTGATGCCACTCCTCTAACCTGCAACAATAGTGGACATCGTTAATTGTTGCAATTTCACTGGAGCACAGTCAGTTCTCATGTCCACCAACGCAACACCCTTGGCAGCCACTATCACTGAGTGGCATTTTGCCACCCAAGATGTAAAGGGTGTAGGGAACCATCAACTCTCTGTGGGAGATGGATGAGAAATAGATATGTGGACTACAACAAGAAATTAAGTGGGACCAATTCTCTAAATGTCAGGATTTGTTAGACCTCGGAACAGTCTAGCCAAAAAAAAAAAAAAAAAAGATTCATTCAGTGAATCAACATTATGTCCTTTCCTGGGGATTCAAAGGTATAGACAAGTTACTAACCTGCTTGAAACCCTAAAGTGGAGACTGTAGACTTTGACTGTTTTTTCATGTCTAACATTCTGAGATCCTGAGGAAGCTACAATCAGAACAAAATGCATATGCTCTGAAAGCATAGGGCAGACAGGTATCGCTGGTGGAAGACACTGGTGGGGTCAAGGTGATAGGATGGAAGACGTGGACCAAAGTCTATCTCTAGGCTACTGCTCCTTCTGCATCTTCCCATTACTTGAAACCCTTCCCAGTAGCCCCATGCAGCTTCACCAAACTTGCTGGCTGCCTCAAGAACGTCCTCCTGCAGAATCTGCATGACTTTTAGATTGTAGCATCTCAGAGTTGAGAGGGAATGTAGAGGTCATCTAATATAACCCTCTATGTAACATATGAATTTCCTCTTATAATGGACCCCAAAGTGGACCATGTGTGGCCAGGGCTTAGTGCAGAGGAAACACTACCAGAAAATAGTCTAGCCTCAGACCTTACCCCCAGCTATGACCTCATCAGTAAAAATGTTCTCAGTGCTTTCAATATTATCAATTCTAATGCTAACCCTCCATCAGGTGCATAGTGCACAGATCCATCTCCAAAAAGTCTCTTGCAGGAAAGAAACCCCAGCCCCTCTCCATTCAGACTTACTGAGAAGGGCCTGGCTGGCCATCATGCTCTCCACAACTAAGCCTGGCATATTTGGACCTGCGAAACACCTCTTCATGAGACTGTCCTGTACCATGGGGAAGTCTTAAGCATCTCATTTGGTTCCTCTGCTCCTCCACCATGTGGTGTTGGGTACAGATTTGAAATGAACAAAAGGTGGAAGGGCTTTGGCCCTGATCTTGGGCAGGTTGGCCTCAGAGAAGTAACTTGTCTGAGGTCCCATAATAGTAGGCAGGAGAGCCATGATTCTGATCACATATGTGTGACCGCCCACATCTGATTCCTAATCTTTATGCTCTACTCTCTGTCATAGGGGCTTCTGTAATAATAGAACTCTAGAACATTCTGGGTTAAAAGTCACAACCTATTTTGTGCCACATAGAGGAGTTTCTCTGTCTCACATCCATTGGTGACTCTTTGTCTCTCTGTGCCACACATAGCAATCCCTCCTTAGGCAACACTCAACTCAGCCTAAGGTGGAAGCCATGCAACACTCTGGTGGGGCTCCTACAATGTCCTTCATGGGGACCAGGCTGGCACCCCAAGAGGACATGGTCATTTTCTGTTGTTTGGCTGGCTCAATCTTATCTGAGTGGGGCTGAGTCTGTGGCTTGGGGAAGAATCCAGCTTTTCTTCCCACCTCCCGGGAATGCCCATGATTCTGATCCTTCTGTATGCATGCAGCCTCCTGCCAGGACACATCCTGTAGCACGCAAGGAGAGTGCATTGAGACCATCGGGAACTACACCTGCTCCTGCTTCCCTGGATTCTATGGACCAGAATGTGAATATGGTGAGGCCATTATTTTGTGGTTATTGTTGTGGCCATTGGTCTTGTGCTGGAGGTGGTGTCAGGAAGCAAATCATGTTGAAGACTCTCCAGTGAGTAAAGGCTAGCCCTGGCCCTCTCCATGGTCTGTCAGTCTGCCCCACTCCAACTGTCCCAAGACACACGCTCTGGGTAAAACATTTCATTCTTGGAACATTTGTTCATAAAATCCAAAGAACATAAACGAAGCAAAACAAAAGCTGATTTTGCTCATTTGAAATAAAAACCAGTGAAAGATTGATCATTTCCCAAGATGTAGCTAATACAAAGGCAGCAAGTAAAGATGACCAGGTTGGGTTAGCAGCCCAGAAAGACAGGGTTAGGGCGCCTGGGTGGCTCAGATGGTTAAGCGTCTGCCTTCGGCTCAGGTCATGATCCCAGGGTCCTGGGATCGAGTCCCACATCGGGCTCCCGGCTCAGCGGGGAGCCTGCTTCTCCCTCTGACCCTCGCCCCTCTCATGCTGTTTCTCTCTCGCTCGCTCTCTAAAAAATAAATAAAATCTTAAAAAAAAAAATAAAAAAAGAAAAAGAAAGACAGGGTTAAGAGGGTTATACAAATAGCTTCCAACTTCTAGCAAAACTGACATGGTCTTTAAATCTGCAATGAAAAGAAAAATCAATATTTTGTCCCCACAGTCAGAGAGTGTGGGGGTTTTGATCTCCCTCAGCATATATTCATGAACTGCAGCCACCCTCTGGGAAGCTTCTCTTTCAATTCAGAGTGCAGTTTCCACTGCTCTGAAGGGTACGAATTGAATGGACCCAGCAAGCTGGAATGCTTGGCTTCTGGAACCTGGACGAATGAGCCACCACAATGTATAGGTATGAAACCCTATTCTTTCTATCCTCACTGACAACTACGGTTTCAGAGGGGGAAAACAACCTTTCTCCATTAAAACACATGAGAAAGCATGAGGATCCACATTAGATGGGGAATTCTGATTTTTACTATTACCCATCAATGAGAGTAACGCTAATTTTGCTTTTCATGATGTTTTCTATCTATAGAGTGAGGTAATCAGCGTAGTTCTTGATTCTCAGGCAAAAGCATCACAAAGGGAGACAGGTCCTTTCTCCCTTTATTAATTGCAAAGCAAGCAGAGTATAATAATAAGGACTTAGGGCTGAGTATTGTTAATTTGATCATTTTACCTTGCTTCTTTAAAAAGTAAATGAACAATGAGGATGTTTGGATCTTTTGAACCCGCTACTGAAAAGTGCCATCTAACCAACCAGGTGTATCACCTTGCCCATCACTTAGGGAAGGTTATCGATAGCTGCTATAGCATCCTGAGGTTTCCCAGGTGCTGGGCATAACCCACGGGCTCACACCATTGCTCTGTGGTTGTTTGTAGCTGTCCAGTGCCCACCCCTGAGGACTCCTGAGCGAGGAAGCGTGACCTGCCCACACTCTGCTGAAGCATTCCAGTATGGGTCCAGCTGCCGCTTTAGCTGTGAAGAGGGGTTTGCATTAGTTGGGTCAGAGGTGGTGCAGTGCACGGCCTCGGGGCTGTGGACAGCCGCAGCCCCAGTGTGTGAAGGTGAGTTTCCGGGGGGTTGGAGATGCATAATGTCCACTGTGCCCAGTTCTTGCTGTGAGTACAGATGACTGGCCAGCTATGGAGAAGTTGGCCTGAACCACCACAACGTGACCCCCCTTCCACCTGACACCCAGTACATTGGGTACATCTGGGATAGGAAAAGAATGTCAGGCGCCAGGAAAACAAGAGGCTGATTTCACTACAGACTAAATTTAGAAGTCCTCCCTTCTCCCAAACTCACATCCTTGAACAGTTTGAGAATGGGCCCCATTCATAAATTTCACACAAGAAGGAAACAATGGCATCTATGTCTGTAAGTAGAAGACCTACCAGGACAGGTTTATGGAGGTAAAGGGAAGAGAGGATATTACAAAAACCTTGGAAGACTCCTTTTTTTTTTTTTTTTTTTTTTTTTAAGATTAAGGTCACCCTGTGGACTGGTCCTCCAAGTCTGGACAAACATCATGAGGGTCTCTGACCCTTACAGATTCCTAGCTCCACCTGGATTTCCTGAGGTGGTTTTATCAGTGCCTTCTGGCCATGGGCCTGGTTTTCTCCTTCGTCAGTATCTTTCTCTCTCTCTCCTTGGTTGTTCTCTCCAGCTGTGCAGTGTCCGCTCCTGGAAGCCCCTGGCAAGGGATCCATGGACTGTGTTCATCCCCTCGCTGTGTTTGCTTATGGCTCCAGCTGCAAATTTGAATGCGAACCTGGCTATCAAGTGAGGGGCTGGGCCTCACTCCGCTGCACTGGCTCTGGCCAATGGACCGCACCCTCACCAGCCTGTGAGGGTAGGAGTTTCCTTTAGTTGCTCCCTTCCACCCAGGAAGGGTCATGGCACCGTGGAAAGATCAGGGGCTCTTCACCTCAGGATGGCCTCCTCCAGACTCTGACACTGGAACAGGTTATCCAACCTCCAGGAGGCACGGTTTCCTCACCCATGAAATGAGCTAAGAATTCCCAGGTCCTTTTGTGAGAATGAAGGATATAAAAAGTACACAATGAAATTGCATGTGTAAAGTAGCTAGCATTGGACTGGGCATTCAGTTTCTATCTCTTTTTTTCCCTTCCTGCCTCACTGGCAATAAAAGCTGTGGGACAAGTCCTCTACTTGAGAGGAAGTCAGAACGGTGGCGATTAGGACAAGGAGGGGGATTCCCCATTGTAGTCTTTGGAGGTGACTCTGACGGTTGCACAAGAGCACAAAGCTGAATTCTGTGCAGTTGCCTCATACCCTCAGCTTATTAGGCAGAAAGGGGGATCGGGGAGCCAGGAAATTGAAGATTGGATCAGCGAGTGCCCAGGAGATTTGATCACAAGCCTAGCTCTGCTACTGTCCAGATATAAGACCTTGGGGAAGTAACAACATTTCTGAACCTCACTTTTCTCATCTGTAAAGGAAGAGAGAACAAGCACTAGAGGATCTTTGGTTCTTAGAGGTCCCGATTCTGTAAAAACCAGAGGTCTAAGCCCAGGGTATAACGGGAGGTCTTTATACTCTGAAAAAAAAAAAAAAAAAAACCACCAGGAATAGTCTGGAGACGAAATGCTTTATCAAGGAAGTGCATGAGGAAACCAGACTTCATCAGAACTGAGGTCACTCAGGGATTAATTTTGTGCAGGAATTCTCCTTGGGCTGCACTCACTTGGCAAGTGAAGTCTGATGACAATGACATCCTGTGTTTCAGAGATATGGCCCATTCAGGATCATTTTATAAGCCTAGGTAACAGTGTGTCAATGATAAGCTGTATTAGTCCAGCCTTTTCCTTAAAAGTCCAGCCTATTCTATATCAATTCTTTCCAGATCCAATTCCACAAATATTACCAGTAAATATTTAATACCAATCACTGCCAGGCCCTGGGATACAACTAGGAATGACTGAGCCCAACCTCAAGGAGACTGTGGTCCAAGGGGCAGTGCTACAATAGTGTCTGCAGGTGCCGGGGGGATGGGGAGCACACTAAAGGAGTCCCTACGCCTGAGCTGCGGTGGGCAGGGAAGGCTTCCTAAGGACAGTGACGTCTAAGCTGAAGTCCAAGGGCAGGTGAATGATCCAGGCAAAAAGGGCATAGGAAGATGTTCTGGGCAGATTCCATTTTGGAAAAGGGAGGATTCAGTGTTCTGAACATGCTGATAATATGGCTAGGAAAGATGCATCTCTTGAGAGGCTCTTCTGAGAAGGAACTGAGCCCTTCCATTACCCAGTTTCAGATGACAATTGTCTCCATTTAGCCATTGCCTGTGGGCCGCTGGAGAGTCCTGTTCATGGAAGCATGGATTGTTCCCCATCCTCGAGAGCATTTCAGGACAACACCAGCTGTAGCTTCCGTTGTGCTGAGGGTTTCAGGCTGGAAGGAGCTGACCTAGTCCAGTGTACTGACCTGGGACGGTGGACAGCGCCAGCCCCAGTGTGTCAAGGTACTGTGACATTGGAACGTTCCTTCTGTGTCTCTCAGTTTATTAAAGGCATCACACCTGCATTTAGAAGTAAGTCATTTATTCATCAGACATTCACTAAGAACCACTAGTGCCAGGCCCTTTGTGCTGGCCCTAGGGATGAAATGGTGAGCAGAGCACACATCCATTACAGCATATTAGAACTCAAGATGAAGATCGCCCTGATTGATGGAGTGGGTTGGCGTGAAGGAGACAGGGGTTGGGAGGAAGGAATGATGCATGAGGAACAATGTGGGATGGTAGAAGAGTAATGGGCAAGGCATTTAGTCTATTTCTGTCATTTCCTGGCAACAAGCTTTTGGTCTCTCTGAAGTTCAGTGTCTCCTGTAAAATGGAAGTATTATTATCTGCCTTGCCTACGGGCCTCATTCGTGGTTGTGAATTAATGTGTGTAAAAGCGAGCTTAAAACTGCTACGAGTTTTACAAACATATGTAAAACATGGGGCGCCTGAGTGGCTCAGTCGTTAAGCATCTGCCTTCAGGTCAGATCATGATCCCAGAGTCCTGGGATTGAGGCCCACATTGGGCTCCCTGCTCAGTGGGAAGCCTGCTTCTCCCTCTCCCACTCCCCCTGCTGTGTTCCCTCTCTTACTGTGTCTCTCTCTGTCAAATAAATAAAATCTTTAAAAAAAAAAACAAATGTATGTAAAAATGTATTATAACATTACCTTATAAATCCTATGTCTGTGATCTGATTTTACAAAGTAATCTTCTTTTAATAGTTCATGTTTTCCATATTTTGCTCTTACAGAAGAACAAAGGCATAGGGAAGTCACTAGGATTATTATTTTTACAAGGGGTACCCCACACAGAAGTCATGTCCCAGAGATGGAACATTGACATTTCATGTTGCTATTTACTGGGATCCCCGGGCAAGTTATGAGAATCCCCTGGATCTAAGTATACCCCGATTTAAAAATGAGGCAGTAATTTGAAAGCAGGGTTGCAAGGAGGGAAAAAGATTTGTACACCCATGTCCATAGCAGCATTATTTATAATAGTTAAAATGTGGAAGCAACCCAAGTGTCCCTCAGTGGATGAACGGATAAGCCAAATGTGGTTGATATATACAATGGAATATTATTTCACCTTAAAAAAAGAAGGAGATTCTAACATGTTACAACATGGATGAACCTCAGGGACATTATGCTAAGTGAAACAAGCCAGTCGTAAAAGACGGATAAGGATAAGGGATGAGTGCACTCATATGAGGTCCCTAGCGTAGTCAAAATCATAGAGACAGAAAGTAGAATGGAGGTTGCAAAGGGCTGGGAGGAGGAGGATGTGGAGTTCCTGTTTAAGGAGTATAGAGTTTCAGTGTGAGACGATGACAGATGTTCTACCGCTGGTTGGTGGTGATGGCTGCACAGCAAGATGAGTGTACTTTATGTCGGTGAACTGTGCACTTAAAAATAGTCAAGTGGTAAATGGTAAATTTTATACTGTGTGTACTCTACCACAGTTAAAAAAATGGAAAAATCAACCCAAAAATGAGGCAGTGAGGGAGTAGATGACCATGCACCATGATGGTGAGGGTAATGGGATGTGTTGTGAATTTATGGTCTGAGAGGAGACAGACACAAAAGAGCCCTTTGCTGTGCTCAAAGGGAGGGAGGGATCTTAAGAGACCACTGGGGCCATTCTTGTCTTCAGGCACGTAAATGTCTTATCACACCCCAGAGATAATTGGGTACTCTCTTAAGCTTCCCCGGATATGGCCTCAGTAAGTCCCTTGCCAGGCTTCCCAGGTGTTTTCTGCTGTGACGGTGAGATCAGGGTCTGCAACTCATGCGTACTTTTAATAGTATTACCACTATCTGCCACCACTAGAACTGCTGCTGCTTTCACCAGCAGATACTATTTATTGAACACTTTATAGTCTAACTCCATAAGGTAATCACAATTACTGTTCACATTTTTAAGATGAGAAAAGACTTAACATATCAGAATGCACCTGTCCTCTCTCTATGACCATCTATTTTATATGATTGAGATCATAGCATATATATAATTTTTAGTCTGCTTTTTCACCGAACATTGTACATTGAGACACCTCCCATATCTTTTCAAGGTGAAATATATCATTTTTAGTGACCTTTAGTGTTCCTTTCATTGATCCACCATAATTTATTTTCAGCCTCTGATTAGTGGCATTTGTATTTATTTTCAATATTTTGCTCTTACAAATAATGTCTTCATAAAAAAAAATCTCTGAATTGATTTTTTGATAAGCATCGTGATTACATTCTTAGCATACATTCTTGGGTCTAACAATATGATCTTGAAAAATTATTCATGCATATTGTCAAAATGTTTAACAATGGCTTAGAATTTTCCTTATAAAATTCTTCATGTGCTATTGTGATGGATGCTTTTCTCATCCCCCAGTTTAAACATGCCCCATTCAGAAATGCCTGTTCTTGGCACTAGAAAGGGTTGAGGGGTCAAAATTAATGAGTACTTGTGTGTTACTCTGTCCTCACTCCCTTACTTCTTTACTTCCTCACCTCTTAGCTCTGCAGTGCCATGATCTTCCAGCTCCAAACAAGGCCCAGGTGAACTGCTCCCACCCATTTGGTGCCTTTAGGTACCAATCAACCTGCAGCTTCACCTGCAATGAAGGCTTACACCTGGTGGGAGCAAGCGTGCTGCAGTGCTTGGGTTCCGGCAACTGGAGCGCTCCTCCTCCAGAATGCCAAGGTAAAGTGAATTCTTTCCAGTCATCTTTGAAATCCATTGTAGGCTCTATTTTAAAAGGCTATATGCTAGTGGTGGTGACTGTCTAGGGGCCAGAAGCTTGAAATGGACTGGAAATTAATAAACACTTTCATCCTGTAACCCATTGATTCCCAATGCAGGTGCTGGGGTTGAATATACCTTCCAGGCAAGGTCTGGAAAGACCAGAGTGAGGCTTGCAACCTTGCCTTCTCAGCTTTAATCCTGGCTACACAGGAGCCTGGAGATATTACAAAGTTCATGCAGTTTTGGGGAAAAACTCAGAATCCTTGAGGAGGCTTATCACAGTGACTAGAATTCTTCCACAGAATTCTATCACAGTAATCAGTTATAGTTCACTGCCCTATACTGTCCTGCCTGTGGGTGTCTCACTACAAGGAGGTCAGTACTCACCACGACTTCCTGTGACCTTCCAGTTCCCTTCTGCTTTTAGCTCTTTGTTTACTCTGACTGAACTTTCTCCTCTTGTTGCTGGGTGAGCATCAAGTGAAATACCCAAATGTGGGCTGAGCAGGAAGGTGCCGAGAGGCTTGCAACCCGCTCGCTGTTGTAAGACTTCTGAGAGGGTGTTATCAGACAATTTCCCTCTTCAATGTCCTCTTTGCCTTGTTGCCTTCTGATATGCAGCTATCATAACCCCAGCTATCAGAAGGCAAGACCACAAAAGAGCTGGAAACGCATTCCATGGCACCAAGACCCTCCCAATTTGTCCTTACAGGTTACAGGCTTCTTGACTTGTCTCCTCTCCTCTTTCCCACCACACACACATACACACTACAGAAAGATGTTTCAGGTGGGAGAAAATGACTAGGTCTTTGGAGAAGTTGATCAGGTTGAGGGGAACATAGATGGAGAGGGGAGGGGGTAAAGGGAATAGAAAGGTATAAGAAATACTCTTGGAACCTCAAGCAGTTGAGGTCAGTGGCTAAAGAATGGCCCTGGGTTCAGCCCTACTGTCACTGACTCTGGTCTGAAGCCATACACTAGTCAGTCAAACCAAACAGTGAAGAAGAAACCCCTAAACCATGCATTCTCATAGTCTTCACTTTTTAATGTCAACATGTTGAATCTGGGCATTATAGTTTCATTAAATGGCAGAGGGACATCTCAACAGCTATTAACACTTACATACAGAGTGTTTTTGCTTTTGACTCTTGTAAAAATTTTGGGAGCTATGCAATGCCATTCTCCACATTTTAAAAGTGAAGATATTGAGGCTCCGAGAAGTTAAGTGACTTGTCCCACGTCTCAGAGCATGATCTCCAACCCAAGTAAGTCCCCTAGCATCTCAAACTCTGTATGTATAAACTGTGGTAAAGAACCATGAGATCTAATTTACCTTTTCTATAAGTGAAGAAGTAGAGTCGTTGGGGCTGGTCACCATAGGATGACATTGATGGGAAGAGCATTTGCAGATGGCCAGTTACGTTACGTGCCTACCACATGTCCATGATTTTTTAAATATTTTTAAATTTAATTTTTACATATTATTTAACTTATTATTTTATATAACTGAGGATCCCTGCTAAGCAAGGAGTGTTATCTTTCCCATTTCATACATGAAGCAACTGAAGTTCAGAAAGGTCTAGAGACACATTGCTGGTAAGGAACACATTTGTCACTGTTTTCTGGCAAGGTCATTAAGTCTGTTTCTGAAGGTGTCAAGGAAGCAGCCACTTCCATGCCTGTCCAGGGACACCTGAAATGCTATCTTTCCAAAGCACCAGCTCCCTTTTAAAATGACCTTTAAAGCTCTTTGTGGGTGAAGGTTTCAGGATGCCAATCAACTGTTAGTTGCTGCTATTGTATATATCCGTGACCTCTAACTGGTGAGAAAGCAGCATGAAATTCAAAGGACCACTTCTAACCAAATGCTGCCCTTATGGATTAAGCATGTGTGTGCACGCATGCATGCACACACACACTGATTTCAGGTTGCTGTGTTCTAGAATGACCCCATCTCTCCTCTCTCTACCATGCCCATTGTAGCCATTCCCTGCACACCTCTGCTAAGCCCTTGGAATGGAACAATGACTTGTGTCCAGCCTCTTGGGAATTCCGGTTATAAGTCCACATGCCAATTCGCCTGTGATGAAGGATTCTCTTTATCTGGACCACAAATATTGGATTGTACTCCATCTGGACATTGGACAGGTTCCCCACCAATATGTGAAGGTAGGATTGTGGGTCTGTCCTTTCTTACGGCTTCTCAGATAATATGAAAGAAGGAAGGATCACCAGGGATTCATGTAAAACTGTTCCTAAGCTAAAGGAAACACACTCTCCACAAAGCATGGTAATTTCTGTCTTGCTTTCTGCATATTCCTATAACTTTAAACATTTCACAATTTCATAAAGTGCTTTAATATCACTGTGACATTTGATGTTTGCCACCATTCTGAAATAATGGGGAAAGGCAATGTCATGTCCATTTCCCAGATGAGAAAGCAGAGGCTCAGGGAGGTTAAGTAACCTGTTGCAATTCACACCCTTAGTAAGTGATGAAGCTCAGCTATGTCACTGGGACTTTAACTTCTTTAAAGTGTTTTTCCACTGGCTCTTTATTCCTTCCTACATTTACCTTCACTGAGCACTGCTAAACCCCAGGCTCTGAGCTAATGCGGGGATGGATGTGATATCACCTCCACCCCTCGAGGACCTCGTAAGCTACTCGGGCATGTCTCTCCTGGCTCTGCTTCCCATGTGGACTAGGAGGTCTTCCAGGGCAGGAGCCATGCCTTCTTCATCTTTGTATCCCCTGCAGCAACTAGATGGAAGTGGCTGTGTGACAAATACTTGCTCAGCTGCAGCGTACCATTTACTGGTTAAATTTACTCAAGCACAAACCCTGGTGACCATGAATTGCAGGACCCTCAAAGGCAGGAGCCGGATCCTATCTATCTTTGTCTCCCCCAAACATCTGGCTAACATAACACAGTCCCTCCTGTTTAGTGTGCTCTAAAATAGTTTACTGAAGTAATTAATTCATAGCTCACATTTACTTTCAAAAGGCACCATCGGTCCAATTTATTGTTCAGTGTACTCAGTAATAAGAAGACCAGCACTAACAACGAATGTTTATGGCTTGTGTGATAAGTACCAGCTATTTCGTAGACAGAATCTCATCCTATCCACACGACAACCATGAACATGGTTATGATCCCCTTTATTTTTTTTATTTCCCCCATTTTATTTTTTATTTTATTTTATTTTTTATATTTATTTCAATAAAATTTATTTTTTAATTTTATTTTATTATGTTATGTTATGATCCCATTTTAAAGACGAGGAAATGGAGGCTTTGAGAGGATCCATAGCAGGCAAAGGCCAAATAGCTGGGAAGTGTGGAGCTGGACTCCAACCCGGGTCTTGGGTCTCACCTGATTCTAGGCTAGTGTTGTCACCATGACACTGCATTGCCACCCAGCGGCGGTGTCCCTAAATCCCCAGTCTGTAATTGTGCTCTCTTCCACTGGCCAGGGGGCCAGGCTGCCGTTCTAAGGGCTGAAATGAACTTCAGAAATGGCAATGCCTGATGGTCAGACGAGAGAATGTGTTGATAGAAATCTATTAGTGTTGTATGAAAAAAAAGCTGAAATATTGTTTGTTCCTTCTTGGGGAGTGAGTGCTAGATTACTACTGAGAGACCTGTATTGCTCTTCCCCAAAGTCCTGGGCCATCTAAGTCACATCACACCGTGTGGGCTTCAGTTTTCTAGATTTCAAAAGGAGAGGAGTGGACGTGCTCATGTCTGAGCTCTCTCTTCTGGTCAAGAATTCTGAGGTTGAAGACGTAGAATGCTGCCATCTGCTGTCCGAAAGCTATACTACAGGCACCTGAGAAATTTAGAACACTATGGGGAATAACACCAAGGGCTCATGCTTCCCCACTTATTTCTCATTCACTCGTTCATTTATTCCAGCGACATTTACCATAAGCTCTGTTTTCCCACATTCTGAATTAAGGCTAAAGAATAAAAAATGCCTAAGAATTATCTCACTAAAATTTTAAATCACGTATGCAACGAATATGGTTGTTACACCTGTGATCTCCAAAACCCGTTTCCCCTCACCCCCTGCCAGGCCCCTCTTCTCCACAAGAGGAGGCATTTGCCTCCCACGGTGCAGGCCAGCCCCGCCCAGGGCCTAGAACCAGTCCCGTCGGTGGGTGGCAGCTTTAGCCAACTGCAGGCCTCAGTACCGGCAGCCTTGTCTGAGCCTGATCTTGAGCTCTGGTTTTTGTGTCATGCTTTCCCCTTCACCCTCCAAATTTATTCTCTGGATTTAGGCAAATCGTTCCTTTTCTTTTCTACATGCTTGAGTCCATAAAGTTTTAACCTTCAGCATTGACCCCAGAACCCTGATTTTTGCATAGAGTTTTGTGGAGTCTAGGCTACGTATCAGAGGGGCTTGAGGGCCACTGAGTTAGCCAGACAGCATGGCAGATGGAGCACTCGGTCTCCCACTTCAGAGTGCAATGAGAGATCTCATTTTTGTGTGGTTCCACAGATATTTCCTTTTTAGTTAGAACACACCAGTCCCGGGCGCCTGGGTGGCTCAGATGGTTAAGCGTCTGCCTTCGGCTCAGGTCATGATCCCAGCATCCTGGGATCGAGTCCTGCATCGGGCTCCCTGCTCCTTGGGAGCCTGCTTCTCCCTCTGCCTCTCTCTCTCTCTCTCTGTCTCTCATGAATAAATAAATAAAATCTTAAAAAAAAATTATTAGAACACACCAGTCCCTGGGCCCTTTGGGACTTGGGCGCTTCCTGATATCCCAGTCTCCTCACTGCCTTTCTCCTCCAGGACCTGAAGTCCTTTCCTGAATTACTTATCTCTGCTTGCTATGACCTTTATGCCCCCAACTGTTGGGCCACTATCTTGACTGATATTACTGCTCCCCTAATCACTTTGTTATTGACATCCTGGAGACCACATTTGGCCACTGGACCCAATTCCTAGTGACCAGCCTCATGTTAGTGGGGTAAGGAGGGTCCTTGTTCCAAGTCCCAGTCTTAGCTCTGCTCTTCTGCCATGTCCCTGCTCATCCAAGTCCTGTAAGATAGCACACTCTTACCCTCTAAACTCTGGCCTGGCTCACATCTCTGTTTTTTTCCTCCACTCCTCCAACATTTCTCTGACTCCATGGGAGGACCTAGTCTTTATTTCTAAAGTTTGAGTTTAGAAATTTATTATTTATACTGTATTTTCTTTCCAAAAGTTTCTTGACAAAAATTATATCTAACTTAAGTAAAAAGATAATACAAAGATATAGGGAAGAATTTACTAAATCTATTTAAAATAATATAAACCAATCTGCTGTCAGCTGATGACAGACTGCCAGGGAACCCAACGATTCATGAATTTACATGCAATCATACACACTTACTTCATGGATTACAGAAAAACATCAATGAAGGTCATTATGATAGACAGCACTGCCTTGGAAGCCCACAAACATAGTACTAAGCATGTGATAAAAGCAATTCTTACTAGTTTTCTATTCTTGTAATTAATTACTCAGGTTTTGGTGAAGTTTTACAGTAGGCTTAAGAATATGAGTATTTTTCAAGTTACCCAAGAGGTCACTCCCTGGTAAAAATCTTTTCCTCTACGTCTGCCCTAGTCCTGTCCATTCCAGCAGCTTCCTCAGCAAGCTCACAAATGTAATTCAGCCATGTCCGCTGAGCACCCACCATATGCCAGATTGGGGTTAGGCTTCTGTGTACCTCATCAAGGCTGCCTCTCAGGCAGGAAAACATACTTTCTTACTTGGTTCAAAGTCAAATCCTTAAAGTTATACAGAGACCTTTGTTTGGATAAGGTTAATTCTTACCTAAGAGGGTTCAGAGAATTTCATATACAAAATAAAACAAAACAAAACAAAAACCTGTGTCTATAATCTTGGCAGAACAAGACTGACAAAATTGAGATCAAAGCAATAGCCCCCAAGAGGATTTAATGCTGCAGTAATTCTTTTTATACTAAAGGTCACATGGGTCAGTTTTTTCAAACAGTAATTTCTCTTATTTCTTTTCAGACATAAACACACTCATTAGAATGCATCTAAATTAAATTGTGCTCACTAACTTGTTCGTTCATTTGACAAACATTTTAGAACCTCTACTAGGTGCCAGGCCCTATTCCCTGGGATGTAGTGTTGGGAAGAGCTGACAAGGTCCCCACTGTCCTGCAGCTGACATACATTTTCTTGGGCTTAAATATAAAATCCTGAGAGATTCTAAAAAAGTTGTTTTAGTGAAAATGTTCACAGAGGATTTAATGTCTAAGATTTACACTGATAGACATATTTAATAAATGTTTGGTAAGTGAAATTTATCTGCCAGAGTTAGATTTATTATTAATTACTCAAAAATTTGAGCATTCTAAACTGAAATTCAGTATGTTACTTTGGTTATTTGAATGGATTCATGCAATAAGGAGCCACAATCTCTTCACAAATAGCCTGTCACTGAAAAACACTTGGGCCAATATGTAAGGGCCAGAAATATCACTTTTCCATGAGGTACCACATAAGACCAAGAGGTCCTGTTTTGTTTTGTTTTAAAGGCAAAATTGCTAAGCAAAATGAGCCTGACTTGACCAAGGCATTCAAGAGCTTGGGCTTAAAGAAAGAATAGTTACTCAGTTTGTCAAATATTTGATGATAAATAATAGTCTTATATCAGAGAATTTAATGGAGACAACGATAGGATCCTAACAGAAATAAATAACTGCAATAATTTCTAAAAATTTTTGAGGTAAATGGTTGATTAAATTAAAAATTCATTTATTCACCCACTTATCAAATGATTGCTGAGTACCACTTCTTGAGACCCGGCAGTGTGAACTGTGAAAGACACAAAGCTTTATGGCTCTTGGGATTTTTTAGGGTATTTTTTTTAATGTAAGTAATCTCTATGCCCCGTGTGGGTCCCGAACTCATAACCCCAAGATCAAAAGCCACATGGTCTTCCAACTGAGCCAGCCAGGCACCCTTGGCTATTGGATTTTAGAAGCATTCCATCCAGTAGGTGAGGGAAAATATGGCAGGTGGTAAGACAGCGTATGAGTTCAAACAAAAAACTGATGTGTTCAGAGGAGAAGCCTTCGGGCTGCAGTGATCAGCAGAGGCTCTACAAAGGCTGTGTTCAGTTAGATCCAATGGGATGGGTAGGATTTTTTTCAGTGAAAACAGAAAGAAATTCAGGGCAGCATGGGCCAAGAACCAGAGGCAAGTACACATGAAGTCAGTTCAGGGAATTTCCAGGGACTAATCTAGCTTGACCAGGAGGTTTTCAGCTTTCCTGTGCTGGGGAACTGTGGCATTAAAAAAAAGCCCAGGGATCCAAATGGAGGAAATAGTTTAGAACAGAAGATGGTCATTGCATTTTTAGATGTGTTGAGTTTGAGGAGATGGCAGGCTATCTAAGAGGAAGTAGTTGTAGGCAGGAGGAAGGGCGGAAGTGGAATCCTGGACCACACCCATCCAGACAGGAGAGCGAGAGCCATGGAGGTGTGGTGTCTGAAGCACAGGTACATAGAGAAGAGGATGAAATTGTGGGTTCTCAAGTATGACTGCTTAAATCCTTGACTTCTTCATTTTTGTAACTTCTACCTATGCTTTCATCTGTGAGCCCACCAACCTTTCCCCTGCCACTGTAGGAGATGATCTTATTTATTGTGGAATACCTGCTGCCTAGCAAAATACCTGACATAGTAGGTGCTCAATAAATAATTGTTGGATCCATGAATGAATGATTTCAGTGTAAACCTGGCTTCTGAATAAACCTGAAGATTGTGATATAATTTCTTTGACTCTCCAGCCATCCAGTGCCCAGAATTATTTGCTCCAGAGTGGGGAAGCCTGGCTTGTTCTGACACCCATAAGGAATTCAGGGTTGGCTCCACCTGTCATTTCTCCTGTAACAAGGGCTTTAAGCTGGAGGGACCCAATAATGTTGAATGCACAGCTTCTGGAAAATGGACAGCACCTCCACCAACCTGCGAAGGTATAATCGTATACACTCACTGAGACAGCTCTTCTCCCGGAAATGTCCTCAAAAATAACAAACACTTATATAAGCTCTTACTATGTGACAGGTATGCATTATAATGTTATTACTGTGAAAGCTCTCTCTCTTATTTTAAAATGGGTTCTCTATTGGAATCTAGGAAACACAGCCTATGGATTTAAAAATTTATAAGGAGTGACAGGACTTATTTTTGTGAATAAAAAATATATTAACTCTTTTAAGATTTTATTTATGAGAGAGAGAGAGAGCACGAGTGGGGAGAGGGGCAGAGGAAGAGGGAGAAGCCGGCTTCCCCCTGAGCAGAGAGCCCGACTCAGAGCTCAATCCCAGGACCCCCGGATCATGACCTGAGCCGAAGGCAGACGATTTACTGAGCCACCCAGGTGCCCCAAGATATAGTGATTCTTAAGCAGAAACTTTCTTTCATAATTTTGGCCTCTTTTTCTCAGAGACCTTTACTGGGTTGATTAAATGGTCTCCATTGCTTCATTGCCAGGAGAAGTACAAAGGGTGGAGTCACTGATCCAGTTTCTCAAATCAAGGAACTGAGGTTTTAGAAAGGTCAATGAGCATCTTTCTGCTACATGGGAAGTTAGTGACAAAGCCAGTGCCATCATGCACACCTTGCATTTCATGCTGACCAGCAAACCAGCAAGGGCAAGCAATTGACCTATGCATATTTTGCTTTCTACTGAATTTCTTACATTTCTGCACCGACTCTTAAATTTCTGTTTTGTTTTGTTTTGTTTTTAAATATTGGTAACATTGACATCATGCCCCACTCCCCATTCTTCCTCTGGTCTAGAGAATTATCTCTCCAAGGATATATTTTTTTTAAGGGAGAGAGAGACGAAAAAAAGTGCATGAGCAGGGTGGTAGAAGGGGCAGAGGGAGAGGGAGAGAGAGAATCTTAAGCAGGCTCCACGCCCAGCATGGAGCTCATCGTGGGGCTCGATCTCATGACCTGAGCTGAAATCAACAGTCAGATGCTTAACTGACTGAGCCACCCAGGCACCCCTCTCCAACGATATTTTTAAGTACTTCTTTTTCTCATCTGGTTTTCCATACCTGAGATTAATAATTTTCCTTAACTTCCTTGAGAGGCTATTTCTAGAGCCTCCCTTATTACAAGAAGAGTGGAAGGCAGTTATTCCATGTCAGTCTTAACTCCATTATGCTCCTTTTATTGGGAGCTCTCTAAATGGAAACACGTTTTCACAGCAGGCATAGTACCAGCTCGTACTTCAGAGGTTCGATGCCCAGCCCTCATCACTCCAGGGCAAGGAACAGTGTCCTGTAGGCATCCTCTGGGAACCTTTGGTTTGAATACCACTTGTTACTTTGGATGCAAAGCTGGATTCACACTCATGGGAGACAGTGCTCTCAAATGCAGACCTTCAGGACAATGGACAGCAGGAACTCCGGCATGCAGAGGTAATGTGAAAGGAACAGGCAGTTCTGATGCTATCTTCCACCTGGCCCCCACGCTCACGGTTGTACCTGCCTGTTGAAATCCCATGCAACCCCAGTGACTTCTTCACATGTCAGCTCCCCATGAAATCTACACCAATCCCAGTTAGAAGTAATGTGCCACAGGCATGTCACTTCTCCCCCTGCTATGTCACAAGAGAACTCCCTGGTCTCAAAGACATAAAGAAGGAAACATTTGCAAATGTCCAAATGTGTGAAAAAACAAGCATGCCAAACATAAAACCAACTATAAGAATTGTGAAATACAAGTTGCAATTCCATTAATTATGTGATAGTGTAAACATCCCATATTTTCATAATGGAAACCTAACTAAAAAGATACGCCATGCATGATACCTCTGGAAGGGCTATCACCCCATACATGAAGTACTATGTCTCTTCCATCTTTGTATTCCCCATGAAGACCAGAGCAGTGCTTTGCAAATGTCGCTATTGCTCAATAATATTTATTTGAGTTAGTTTCCCGAGCTTTAGTTTCCTATCTGCAAATTAGGGACAATAACCTAAAGTTCCCCGAAGGAAAGTTTAAAGAGGGTGGCAGTCTCTACTTCCTTCAAACTTCCAGAAGCAGTTATGCTGAACAATTATTAAGTATTTTAATAAATACGTGCTGACATGCCAGCTATTTACCAGTGGTAGTCATAATAACACTTAGAACAGTAATATTTTTGAGAAGTGAAATTTTGAAAACAGTATTTTTATAGGTAAGATTGATCAAGCCATTAGTAGGTCTCTTTTGAATGTTGCTCTGTGCCCCTCCTAGTTCTTTGGCTAATGTTCTTTGAGTGGACATCGTAGTATGTGCAATGTTGGAGGAGTTGGTGTGAATGTCAGAAGTGGCTCATCTCCTTTCTGATGTTTTACATTCTACCTCATCTGCTGGCAATGCTAGCCAGGTTACAAATGAAACCATAATCTCTGTCACTTTCATTCTACATGTCTAGTTTTCCTGCATTCTTTTTTTCTGCAGTGGTCAAATGCTCAGAGCTGCATGTTATTGAGCCAGGCATGATGAACTGCTCCAACCCCTGGGGAAATTTCAGCTATGGATCAACCTGTAGCTTCCATTGTCCAGAGGGCCAGTTACTTAATGGTTCAGCGAGAACAGCATGCCAAGAGAACGGCCAGTGGTCAACTCCCATGCCAGCCTGCCAAGGTATATTTTCAATATGGGTTAGGAAGTCACTTTTATAAGGAATGTAACTGGGGCGCCTGGGTGGCTCAGTCGTTAAGCGTCTGCCTTTGGCTCAGGTCATGATTCCAGGGTCCTGGGATTGAACCCCGCATCAGGTTCCCTGCTCCGTGGGAAGCCTGCTTCTCCTTCTCCCACTCCCCCTGCTTGTGTTCCCTCTCTCGCTGTGTCTCTCTGTCAAATAAATAAATAAAATCTTTAAAAAAAAAAAAGGAATGTAACAAAATCAGTGTTTCCTTTTTGTGTATTTCTGACAGTGGTCTCGCTTTCCATCACTGGGTTTCCCTGTGTTAATAAATGTTTCATGATAAATCCTTGCCTTCCACCGAGCAGTGGGAATTAAATTCAGTGACTCTGTGTAGGGAATCATCCCTCCTTTATGAGAGCTCAGATGTGTCAAATGAGAACATTTTTAACCGGAGGTTATTTCACAGATTCCTAATTTATTATCTCAGAAGAATTTTGTTTACCACATACCTCTAAAAACACATAGATCTTTTTAAATTAAGCTTCATCTCTTTGTAAGGTTTATTTCATCCACCTTCCTTTTACTTTTCGTTGTTTTCTCTATAGCTTGTCATGACTACATTTTGTTGTATAACTGAATCTTTGATTGCCCCCCCCAAAATTAATCATTATTTGCTTAAACTTCCACTTCTTCAATCATTTTATTTACTTTATTATGTCCTTCCCCTGACGCCTTTGGGCACTGTGTTTGATATTTAAGCGTTAGGAATAAAATCAGACCCTGCTTTCCATGCTGTTGCTGTAGTTTTATGGCTTCCAGGTCTCTCCTGCCCGGTTGTCACCCCTGCTGGGACCTTTGATGATCCTGTGCGATCTCACATCTCACAATCCTTGGGACGCTTCTGGAAGAATGATGGCCTTTTGCGCAACACATTTCTTACGCCCTGCATGTGTGTTTGTTTTGCAGCAGGGCCGTTGACAATCCAGCAAGCCCTGACTTACTTTGGGGGAGCAGTGGCTTCTGCAATAGGTTTGGTGACGTGTGGGACATTGCTGGCTCTGCTAAGAAAGCGCTTCAGACAAAAAGGTAAATAGGAAAGAGTCTTCTCCTTTTCTTCTTTCTTGTCATTTGGGGAAGTGCCGTGAAACTACAGCGTCAGTAGTTCATGTTTGAAAACATTTGTCTTTAAAGAAAACAAGCCCAAGAGAAGTCATTTTGAGAGCTGACTGCCCATCAGAATCATCTTTATAAAAGTACAGATCCTCGTACAGGGGGATTGGCCTGGAAATCTGAGATTGGTGTGGAAATCTGAATTTCTCAAAACCCTCCCCTCCAAATTCTGATGAGGCCAGTTGGTGCATTGGCATTTGGGGACCTCTGGTCTTGGTAAACTTAGTTATCACTAGGATTAACTGGAAAGTGTCATGCTCTCCTCCTTCATCATTCTCTTATGTGATGATCATTTATTGATCAATGGTGTTAGGTAGTTAGTGCTTCCGAATCAAAAATCAAGTGCTTCTGGAGGACGCGAGAAATGAAGCTAGAGGTGTGAAGAGCAGCTGCTTAGTCATGACCTGGTGTGATACACCAGGACATCTGTACGTTCTCTCAAAATGTGTGGAACTAATCCAGGACTGAAGCAGAAACCTGACCTAATGGAGGAAGACCCTCCATACTAGATTGTTCATCAAAAAAGGAGCTCTGGCCTAAGAGTATAAGAAGGGAACCATCTCTTAAGGGTTAAAACAGTGTTTTTCTTTCTGCTCCAGATGTTCAGCCATGAGCTCAGAAACCTCTTTTTGTAGCTAATGTGTCTCTTCATCATTTCTCATGGAAAGTAACTGGGGGCATCTGAGGGGTCAGGAAGGCTCAAATGCTCCAATACAGGTAACTGAGAATGGCTATTATACCTGATGGAGTTCTCATGGATCTGAGGACTTTCAGCACCCATTCTTAACTGCTCAAGGGCAGAACTACTTGTTCCATAGTTTTAAGCTCTCTCCATTCACAGAGCCACCATTACATTGAGGCTGGCTTTCTAAAGTTCCTTCATATACTCTCTTATGAATGGGTTAGTAGGACGAAGGACAAAGCATAACACTCTTCTTAAAAACTAAAGAGCTACAACCAGTCCTTCCATGTAACATTTGTGTTTATTTAACCAAATCCAGAAGGCAGAGGCAAGAGCTCCTAACCACCTAGACCCTACCCTCCATAACCATGTAGGAATCACACTATTCCTGCATTTCCCCCAAGTTCTTTCTTCAGTTTTGAGACATTGCTAGAGAACTCTCCAGACCATGAAGAGGGAGGAGCAGCCACCCATCCTCCAATATCTTTAATAATAAATACTCATTTGTGAGAATGGGGAATTTTTCCTTGACCTGTCCCAAGGTGATTTTAACCTTTCTAAGATGCTGTGGTCAAATAATAGGAAAATGTTGCATACATGCCCTGCAAATTCAAAATGCACATTCATTACACTTTAAAGGCTCAATAATGCCCTGTAATAAATATACTTGTTCATCTTCACTTGATCTAATATTTTCTAAATTTATTGAGCCATGAGATGATTTTCTCCTTTTATCTATCCATGGGATGATTGACAGGCCTGCTGCCATATTTAAAGTTTCTACTCGCAGTGTCCATTTTTTGGATTAAGATAGGAGGCCCTGGTCACCTATGTTACCAGAGCAGGAAAACAGCCCTTGTTATGTTGGTATGGATTTGTTTATGTGATTAACTTGCCCAATTAGTGGCTGGGGGAGTGTGACACAGGTTGCAATGATAGGGGGCCTCGAGTGCCAAAGTAATGGGTTTCAAGAACCAATGATCTGAATATCAGCAACAACCAAAAATAGCCAAGATGTTGAAGGCAGGGACTAGAGGAAAAAGAAGAGATTGTCACTGAATGGGAAGACAAGAAAGATGAGAAGACTGGATTACGTACTGTCAAATGTTTAATTTAACTTAACATAGGTTCTACCTCTCAGAGAGAGCTTGTTCTCAATACACTCCTAACAATGAACCCATCTGAAAATCAGTACACCTACTTTCTCCAATAACTCCTACCACTGATGATCTTTCTCTTTCTACTAGGTTTTTTGTTTCTTTTCAGCTGATCATTTGTGTCTTCTTGTTTATTGCAGATGATGGGGAAAGCCCCTTGAACCCTCAAAGGTAAGACAGACATGTTTCTTGATTAAGTAAATTTGTCTAGTTTGACTTTTTAATTCACTGTAATATGTCAGAATGATTATACATAATGCCCCCTTTCTGCAACAAATCTTTTGCAATGTCCCCTTTACTAATTCTAAAGTAAAATACACAGATAACATATACTAACCACACATAGTATTTTTAAAAATCAGTACGGGCTCTAATTATAAAGTAAAAGAGAAATAAAAGGGAAAGTGATATATAATAGAAATAAAACACTAAAGCTGAGGCACTACTCTAGTGGATACTATGAGGTCATTAGAGGCTTGCACCTTTTGGTTCACAACCACAAAGACCAACAGTCAGGAATACTGTATCAGTGGCTCAAACAGGATCAGCAGCATTGCCAACACCAGCCTGATTTTTTTTTTTTTAATGATGAATGGCTCTGGTAAAGGGTTGGAAAACCTGTCATAATCTTCCCTCAACTCACATGGCAATTGTATTCTAAAAGATGTAAAAAATATATTATTTATATTTAAAGCACTTAAATTCTAGGCTCAGGGATTATTCACCTACAGGAATACTGAGTAGATATTCTAAAATTGTATTGAGTGTAGGATAATTCTTTTGTGTCCTGTGCCTATTGGGATATCCAGCATCCCTGGCCCTTTCCCACTAAATGTCAGTAGAATTCTTGATCACTATGAAAATTAAAACACACCCATAGGGGGCAGTACTACCATTCTTTGAAAACTGTTGCCAGATGATCAAATATCAAGGCTGGGTATTTTCTAAGGATTTCTTCTCACTAGGAAGAGGCATAGCAGGTATTCAGGTACCTAGAGCATCAACAATAGTTTCGTGTGGGTGTAAGTGCAGTGCAGATTACCCAGAGCAGCTAAGTGGGATCTCAAAAGTCTCTTAGGCATTTATTTTTGTTTCCCTTTTAAAGCAGAATTCCAGGGTGGGGTGGTAATGCAAGGTCTCTGCAGGAAGTATGTGCTGGACTTGTGGTCAAGGACCAAGCACTATATGCAAGTCATCTTTGTATATCTGTTCTTTAGCCACCTAGGAACATACGGAGTTTTTTCAAATGCTGCATTTGACCCAAGCCCTTAAGGTAAGTTGCCTATAAAGATATTTTTGAAGGAAATAGAACAGTAGGGCAAAGAGAACGAATATTAAATCTTGATGTTTCATTATATGGTCATGAGTTAAATTTTAAGCATGTATTAAGTTTTTAAGCCTTGAAGGAAATTGTGTTGGTAGCAGGGGACAAGATATGTCAGTAGAGTGACAATAGAAAGTAAGTTTATATGAGGATTTCCATTTCCTCCAGGCTAGAAATGTTCTAATAAGATATAACTTATTTCAGGATGTATGACATTCCCATTAATGGTTGCTTGGAGGTATTAACAACACCATGGTCTTGCTTGATAACCAGAAGTTATACTACTGGAAAAACTTTACAGACTTTTATGGAGTCAGTCCTCTGTGTGACTTGCTGGGAAAACAAAAATAATCTTATGCTTTCTCTCTTCCCAAAAGCTCAGTGAGTAGTTGAGTATTCTGCCTAGATAGCAGAATATCTGGATCTAGAAAGAGATTATGTTGATCCTCGGGGGACAGATATGCTGAGAGCTAGCTGGCTCGCTTGCTTTTAAAGAAAATATAGTTATTTTCATTTCTTTTATCTCATTTTCAGAGACCTGTCCTGCTGGTCTCTTCCCTCAACCTCCATAGGATCCTATTTTTGAACATCACGCTTCCTGCCAAACTTGACTTCTACTGTAGCATATGTGCGGCAGTTTTCTGGAAATACTTGTTGAAGAAGGACATGGAGTTTCCTGTAGATTAGTTCTGGATGAGAGCAGAAAGATTGTGTCACAAGCCCAAACTCTCCACCCACCACCCCTTCCTGCTCCACCTCTTCCTTAAGCCTCAGAAGCCAGGACTGAATGTCTGCAGTGATCTGTGGGCTTTGCCCAGCTGTCCCTTCTTGAAGACTAATTAACCAGAGACTGAAGCATCTGACTTACCAGAAGACCAGACTGTGGAAAAATAAAAATGCTTCTTTATTTTTGGATTGGAGGAAGGCATACTCTGCTTTGTTGAAAGGCAGGTGGTGTCTGTGACTTGAAGGAATTTCTATAAGATCTTCTGAGGTGTCCAGTGCTTGCTGTTTATGAAGCCTATTATACCCTCGCTGCAAGGCCTCCAGCGAGGCCTCTGGATGGCACCAGAGAGTGCAGAAGACCAAGAATCAAGATAGGAAGGCACATGTCACCTTCCCTCCACTGGTCACTCTCCCCAAAAGAACCTCAAGACCAAAATTCAAATGTGCAATTAAAAAGATTCTTCTCAAATGCCATGCTATATTATTTGATGTTTTGTTCAATAAGATCTGTGTACATCATTTTGTTTACATCAATGTAATGCACAGTTACTGATGTCCCAATTACAACTTGACCCTTCATTCAGTCAGCAAATATATACCATATCACTGCCCCCCCCAAAATCAAAGAAGAAAAAAATCAGAAATCCAAGAAGCAGAAAAAATCCTCATCACCTGAATGCCCTATAAGGAAGAACAGATGTTATTTATTAAATCACATGTTTAATATGTAGATTGTTGAAAGTTACATAGTAGTTATCTGGAACTGAGGCAAAAAAAAAAAAAAGAGCCAAACAATACAGTTGTCTTGAAGACAACTAGAAATAAAAACAATAACAACTGATTATATTTAAATAACAATCCTTTAGGTAGCCTGGAAAATTAACTTTCTAAACCTTAACGAATATACTAGTAGCTCTCTTATTCAATTCAGATCACCATAGACCAAAGCCCTTATAATTGCATAGACACAGAAGTGGGTATATGGGGATCTTTCCAGATAATGAAGGTTCACTATAGAAAGGCGTATATAGCTCTATAGAGATCTTATGTTCCCCCAGATTTGAGGATGATGAAAAAGTTGTCCTCAGTGACTGTCCCGATGTTTTCATGACTCTTCTTCTCCAGGTGCTTCTTACTCTGACCATTCATGAAGAATGAATAACACGTGGGTAAATATGCAAATAAAAATTGTAAAACAGTCTAAGGGTTACAATAATTTTGCAAGAACTTTGGCAGTAAACTTGGGATTTAAGGACACACTGCTTTTTAAAAAGTTTTTCTCATATACTGTTTATCTCTCCTTATCTTGTGCCAATCACTAGGCTGAGTATTATAGGACAATTGTTATCAGCCCTGTGTCTGAGTCAGAATCTACAATTTGTAAAAGCTTCCCCCAGGGAATTCTGATGGTTTGTCAGCTTTCAACTACTGCTATTATAGATACAGAAGAGTAAGGCATTGTTCTGCTTTTGAACAGTTTATAATCTAATTGGGGAAACAATAGATATGCACACAAAGTAATAGAGGGCACTCAATATGAGTATCATACTTGAATAGTGTTGTAGTGCATAAAATGGAAAGAGTCCATTTGAGTCCAGAATTAAGGAGATAGGTAGGATTCTGAACTGAAACAGAGTTCAGCAAAGGGGGAGAGATGAATATTCTAAGTTGACAGAGTAATATCCGTGTAGGAGCAGACAGGACTGTGTGTAGGAGGAGTGAAGTGTGGAGGAGCCTGACATCATAGAGACCTCATGTGAGGGGCCAGATTACAATGTATCAAATCTATTGAGATGAACCATCTTTAAGACAGAAGCTTGGAGAACACCTGGTGGCTCAGCCAGTTAAGCATCTGCCTTTGGCTCAGGTCATGATCCCAGGGTCCTGGGATCGAGTCCCATATCAAGCTCCTTGCTCAGCAGGGAGCCTGCTTCTCCCTCTGTCTGCCTCTTCCCCTGCTTGTGCTCTCTCTGCCAAATAAATAAATAAAATCTATTTTTTTTTAAAAAAGCCAGAAGCTTGGAGGGATGCAGATTCGGGGCATCTCAGACAGTTATAATGATGCTTCAGACAATGTAATTCTCAGATTTTCTATCAATAGCAAAATAAGATCTTAAGGCAGTGTGCAACAGCCAGATCCTCCAAGAAACACAAGGGGCTCCTGAGGCAGGAAAACCATAATCATAGTAATACACATGTGCTCTGTGCTCAACTGCCAGGAATTAGACACCTCACAATAGCCTTTTATCCTCCCGACGGTTGCATCTGGGAAAAGATTCTTATTACCCTCTTGTACAGATGTCAAAACAGAGCTCTAAAGAGATTGAGTCACTTACCCAGCCAGCACAGCTGGTAGGTAGGACTGAGTCCGCTCTGCTGCCCTTGTGGCCACTGGCCCTCATCAAGACAGAACTGTGCACGGGTGGAAATCAGTAAAGTGGTCCAGGCCTGCAGGCCCCGTTCTGGTGCTCATCCCCTTGCTTCCTCGCCTGAAATTACAATGTTTCTGTGCCCCTAACACGGCATAGTCCCCTTTCCCCCAGATACAGGGAAACTGATGCAGTTAAGGGCATGAGGTGAGGGTCTGGCAAATGTAAACTTGGACCTGGCTGTTTTTACCGTGAGTGGTAAGGGGCTACTGCCCCAGTGGCCTCAGCAGGTGCAAGCGCAGGAACAGTTTTGCCTGTGGCTCGCGAATCCCTGGGCACTGCGCCTCCTGCGAGAGCCTCTGATCTCTGCCCTTTCTGCACCTGCGGTAAAACATTCACTAATCTGCTTGCTCTGCCTCGTACCTCCTGTCATGGGGGCGGTGACCTAGCCAACCCCCTTCCTGGAAGGGCTCTAGGAGGGGATGACCGCTGCTGCAGCCTTGGCACACGCGGGAGCCGAAGGGAAAGAGGACACCGCCACCCGCAGCCTCCCGGAGCTCATTGCAGCCGGGACGCCGAACAACCCTGCAGCGCGGAGCGCGGACGGTGGCAGATGTGAGCCGCCCCGGGCCCGGGAGCAGGAAAGGAACCATGGCCCCAGGCTGCCCGCGCCTCTGGGTCCTGGCGGTCCTGGGCGCCAGCTGCGCAGGCTGGGGGAGCTGGGGGGCCGAAGCGGCGCGGCTAAGGCAGTTCTACGTGGCTGCTCAGGGCATCAGCTGGAACTACCGCCCTGAGCCCACCAATCTGAGGTGAGGCAGGTCTGGTGTCCCGGTGGGCTTCTCTAGGGAAAACTATTTCTTTTTAGGACGCTTTCCTTTTGCAATTCTATGGCTTAAAAAAAAAAAAAAGAACTTATCGCTCATTTTTAAACAAAACTGCTATTTTTGTTTCTAATAATACAGTGTGTTAGATATTCCGTTTGACGCTGTTTGAAGAATTTGTTAATATAGTTTTGTTAGTGTGATTGATTGTTGGTTTAATATATTGGTTGATTCAAAAGCACCAGGCACTAGCCCCCTCATTAGCCCTTCCTGCAAAGTCCCATTCCAGAGTTTTAGTAGCCTAGTATTTTTATAGAACTTCCGTACGTATTATTTATTCTGTCCTCCACATAACTTCATCTTCTAAAATTAAAGATGTACACATCGTCCTTTGTTTAAGCATATTGTTCAATACCAATTGCCAAATTGTTGTAGTCTTACAAATGACTTTCAAACTATCATCAGTCCATAAACATGCAACATTTTTGTTCTTTTACCTTTTCTTCCACTTCATGTGACTCCTCATTTTTTTCACATTTTTAGTCCCTGGGATATAGTCTACCCTGGCTAGTTTGGAAGGGTCACTATGTAACTAAAAGGTGGCTTAAATAATAAAACTTTATTTTGAACTACAAATTATTTTTCTTAATTGAAAGGCTAAAAATAAGACTTCCCAGAAATTAAACAAATTATAGGACCTACTCACTATTTCCAATTAGTTATATTTTTATATTTTTTATTAGTAAACCTCTCAGTGTGACTCAGTTTTTTTTTTAACTTAACATCGCAGTTTAAATGATTGTGAAAGACAAGTTCCTCTTTTATGATTACAAAACCAAAGCAATCTCCCAAGAAATAATGTAATATTTTAAGAGTCTGGTAGTGTATAACATTAAACCCCTTAAAGAATTGCTTTGTAACTGGGTTATTTTGGAGTGTATTATATACTGTCTTGGTCTTGTAACAATAAGAAATCTTTTTAAAAGTTTTTTAAATATTTTATTTATTTATTTGAGATAGAGAGAGAGGGAGAGAGCACACAAGCAGGGGGAGCAGCAAAAGGAGAGGGAGAAGCAGACTCCCCGCTGAGCAGGGAGCCGATGCGAGACTTGATCCCAGGACCCTGGGATCATGACCTGAGCTGAAGGCAGACACTTAACCGACTGAGCCACTCAGGTGCCCCAAGAAATCCTTTTTTAAAAAAATCATTTTAAATATTGTCTTTTCGAGTTGATGATCTAGATCACATCCACACCCTTAGGGAACTGCCAAAACCCCAAAGAAAATCATAGGCTTTCCAACTTTAATTTCTCTTGCTCATGGGCAGACATTAACATGCTTGCTATCTTTGCTGAGATACTCTATGCTTATGCTTGCGAGTTTGTCCTTTCTTCTGTAGTTAACTCTGAAAAATAACAAGCAGGATACTGGAAGCAGAACCACATAGGGCAAAAGCCTGACTCACATGGTGGGGGAGTCTAAAGGGAACCATGTCTGCTGATCTGATCCCCTCATCCTGTGGTTGAGTTTCCAGAATTCTGGTAAGAGTCATGCCTCTGGTGTCAATTATTGAGCCAAAATCATACAATGACAACCTAGACAAACTGTCAATATTTTTGAATCTCAAATCATGTCATTTTCCTCTGGTACTTTCTTGTGAAAAATCTAACCTGTATATCTAGCTGTTTAAGCTAAGAACTTATACTAAGTGTCTTGCACCTACAGCTGAATGATACTTACTGTAAGGAGATCAACATACAGCACTGCATTCTTTGCCAAAATATATTTTAGCACAAAGCAAAGACCTTTCCTCTTACTTCATCTAATATTAGCAGGAGAATGCCTTTTAGAGGTGGAATATATCTATTATTCTTGTCTGAAGTCTGAAGTAAATGTTTTGGAAACTTCCCTAAAGAAACTTGTTCAGTCATTTACAGGTATGTGGTAATAGATATTGAAAATAAAAACATATATTTTTTCCCCCTCTAGAGTTTGAGGGTCCCACTCTCCCTGCCTCCCTTTCTGGGAATTCTTTACCATGAATATAATGGCTTCACCTCTTTGAGTCTTGGTTCTTCCATTTATCCATTGTTTCTCCTCTGGACAAGTGACTTAGATTTTCCAAGACTTGCCTTTTTCATTTGGTTTGTTCATTTTCAGTACGAATGCCCAGGGCTTTAACTCCATTAGTCATCTCCAACTTCTCAACCTGAAATAGGGTCCACCAAATCAATGGTTCTCTATAATGTTCCCCAGTAATTTAAATCTGTATATGATTCATCAGTTAAAAAATACCCCATGTATTTATTCATAAAGAACTTGGTTATATTTTTAGTCATTTAAAATCTAAGCATAAAGTTTGGGTTCATACAATGATCTTGGGTTCTTTTTTAGAAAATGGATTCTAAGTAAGAGGATTAGTTAAGGCAGACTAAATGTGGGAAAGAACAGTTACCACAACAGAATATTCTTGAAGAGATCAATAATTATTTACCCCATGTATTATTCATATTTATAAAACCTTGCACTTCTGAAATACAATTAAAATACTATTATTCCTACTACATATCCGAGGACGTGAGAAATCCATTTGTTTTGTGATGTGAGATGTAGATGTCATATATGACTTTCAAATTAATTTCTGTATTTGATTTCTAGTTCGAATCCTTCCTTTAAGAAAATTGTCTACAGAGAGTACGAACCATATTTTCAGAAAGAAAAACCACGATCCAAAACTTCAGGTAAGCCTGAAGTACACCATTTAGTTTTAAAGATAAATCTCTATGATAATTTGATATTCCTGGATATCTAAAGTATCTATTTGGTGACATTTTTTAGAAATGTGTGCTTTTGTCGTTTTTAACCAGTATGGGCTTCATAATTTGTGGAGCCCAGTGAAAAATGAAAATGTGGGGCCTGGGATTCATATTTTTGAGAATTTCAAAACAGTGTCAGCAAAGCATTAAGCCAGAGGGCCCTTCTTGCCCATGAGAGGACATGCTCATGAAGCCAGCTATTTTTAACACCAATCAAAAAGCTCAACAAAACTTTTAAGAGTTTGAATTTTATTCATTCATCGAACAAATTACTGTTGAGCACCTGCTATGGGCTGGGTATTGAAGAAGGCACTATGGATGCCACAGTGGACAATGCAGAACCACATCCTGCCTTCCTGGAGCTTATGGTTTAGTTTATTGAGTGCAGATGAACCCTAGCAAATGATCTTTGCTTCCATCCAGCTCCCTAGACTCATTCAAAGGAACCATATATGGCTGGTTCTTTTGCATCTGTTTTTCCCATCTCTTCTCCTGATTTATTTAGTGTGTGGTATACAACAGCTGTCATTTTCAAAGAAAAATCTTTTTCCTCATCTTTTTTTTTTTAAGATTTTATTTGTTTATTTGAGAGAGTGGGGGGAGGGGTGGGGAGGGTGAGGGAGAGGAGCAGAGGAAGAGGGAGAAGAAGGCTCCCTGCTGAACTCAAAGCCACCTGAAGCCTGATATGGGGCTTGATGTGGGGCTTGATCCCAGGACTCTGAGATTATGACTGAGCTCAAGTCAGATGCTTAACAGACTGAGTCACCCAGGTTCCCCTTTCCTCATCTCTTCTTTAATCAAAGAAAGTAGGTTGAATGGGTTTTGGGGTTCTTAAATATGGTACCATATTTCACAGGAATGATAGAGGCCATTAAGAAAGAACTTCTTCCCTTGGGTCCCCTGGTCAATAATTCTCTCATCCTTTCATACTAACCAAGTGAAGACCAGTCAGCTTTCCCACACTCATCCTTCTAACTCTCTGTGCAAATTGTTTTGTCCTGCCTCCTCTGATCTCCTTTTATCTTCAGTCTTCCTTTGGCTAGAGCCTTCCCTTCAGTCAAAACTCAACAACAATAAAACAAAGCACGACTGTGTTCAGGTCAAACCTTATCGAGAAGAAAATCTCCCCTTGACTCTGCTGTTTCCTTCAGTGCCGTTTTCTATACGAGTCGTCCACTCCATTCTCTGTTAACATTGTTTCCTCCCTAATCCTCTCTAATATAAGTCCACTAAAATGACTCTCAGAAAAGGGCACCCATGACTCCGAGATGCCAGAACCAATGGTTTCTTTCCAGTTCTTTTCCCACTTGACATTGCGAGGACATTTAGTGATCTCCCTCTTGAAACTGCCTTTACTGCTTTCCCCAGCGCCACTTCCCTTGGGAATGGATGTGAAGGAGGAAAATGAGAGCAGGAGGAACTTATAGACAACTCTTTCCTGAAACTTGGCTCCACATGCGAGGAGAGACAGGGTAGTTCTGGAAGGGAATGAGGGGCTTAAGTATATTCTGGACTTTTACAAACAAGAATACAGTGACTTAAAATATCCAGTAGAAAAGGGGAGGGTAATAACATCTGAGGGAGAATAACGGCTGGAGCCAGACTCAGAAGAAATAGGAAGTGATGCGATTCAAAGCTTGGGCTGAACTGGCTTGAGGTAGAAGAAGTACTACCTTCACAGAGGCCGGCAAGGCAACAGACCATAACGTTACTCCTAAAATTGAGTTTGTAGTTGTGCGCAGGAAGTTGAAGGATCTCCTGTCCTCTGTCACAGAGTCTCTTTGTTTTCATAGCTCTGGCTCCAAGCTTAGTATATACATCAGACACTTAAGAAATACTTAATTAAATTAAACTGTAGGTGGGTAAAGGGAAAATGAGCTGGGAAACATATTCACTGGGCCTGGAAAAAAAGAGGAATTGGATAGGTGTTTAGAGCCTTACCTTTGTGATTTTTGCCAAGTTAACTGAATTTAAATGTCTGGACCCTGTAGCCCACTATGCTGAGTACCATAAGTGTTAGAAAGGCCAGGGCCAGGCTGGAGACTATCTTCTGAGCAGGAAGGAGTCACTGGTAGTTTTTGGAGAGGAGAGTACTGTGATCAAAATCCTTTGAGATGGGGCACCTGGGTGGCTCCGTCGATTAAGCGGCTGCCTTCGGTTCAGGTCATGATCCCCTGGGATCATCCTGCTGAGCAGGGAGCCTGCTTCTCCCTTTCCCTCTGCTACTTACCCTGCCTGTGCTCTCTCTCTATCAAATAAATTAATAAAATCTTTTTAAAAAAATCCTTTGAGATGATTAACTTTTGTAGAAATTTCCTGATTCAACCTCATTAATAAGAAGTAGACCTTGATCATTAATTTATGTTTAAGCCCTGTGCACTTAAAACATCATCTTTCTGTTGACCCCTGTGTATCTCATAACACATTTGTTTCATGTGAACTCTGAGGCATTTTAACACCATTTTTAAGCAGCTTCTTCCTGAATTCTCGAAGTTACTTAACTATAAATCCCTGGAAGGCAAAGGTAGTATTTTATTCATCTTTGTATCCCTGTAGTAGCTGATACAGTGAGGCAAATCTGGGGTAAAGCCTATGAAGCTCTGAGTGTAAACACTGCCATTGACTATGTGACCTGCCCCATTCCCAGCCTGGTCCTAGGTCATTGGCACCTTTCCCCTATTTCCCGCTCTGCCCATCTGGCGGGTGTGATTCTAGCTGAACCCTGAACAAATGAGTCGTATGACACTTCTGCCTCGTGAGCCCAGAAGTCACTGTAATTGTGGGTGGGGCGAGGCTGTAGGACTGGGGGTCTGAAGGTGTCCATCCAGCGAGGTTTGCAGACATGTGGACAGGTGGAGGTGCTGGGCTCATTTTCAGGAATCCTGCCTGGGGCTTTAAAATGGCTAGTGTTGACTCTGAATTTTTTCAAGGAAGGTTATGAAATGTTTGCTCCTGAAGGGGTTTTAAGCTAGCTGCAACAATGGGCTTCCCTATTTTCTGTAATTTATTATTCACCTGAGTGCAGGGGATTGGATTAGCTGACTTCATGATGTCCCTTCCAACTCCAAAACTGCATGAAATTGGGTACATGCTGTGCTACCTTCCTGGGGCCACAAGATAGGCGACTCCTTCCCCCACTTCAGTGGCTGGGTCCCAGACTATGTGGCTGACGGAGGAGCTAACCAGAAGCTCAGGCAACATTCAGGCATGTGTTTGCCCACATGCAGGAAGGTATTTGGTTTGCATTTATGAAAACATCCCTTTGTTTTGCCTTAATTCCGAAGAAACAGAAAGGGAGGCAAATAAATACTCCAGACCATTCATTGCAGCAAGAGGTCTTATTAGGTTAAATAACTTAGGAGACTTATCCTGGGCACTGGGCATTTGTAGCCATGTGATGCCAACAAACAAATCACCCGAGCAAGGCAACCATGGCAACAAAATGCAGTGCACACTGTAACAACACAGTCGACACTCTTGGGCTCCTGGGCATTCCCGGCAGGTGGGAGTAGCCAGTGGGGGCTTCCATCAGGAGCTAGGACTGAGGGCGGCAGCCAGAAGAGAGAGGTCAGCTAGTGCAGCCACATGTGGTCAGGAGTCAAAAATGGTGTAGACATTGGAACTATTTCAGGAAAGGGGGTGGTTCTGAACCTTCGCTGTGCAAGGTAGTAGAGAAAGCTTTGGTTCAAGAGTCCAGAGACCTAAGTTCTAACCCCAGCAGTGCCACCCAATGATTGACTGACCTTGAGCAAGCCATCCTCCCTGCCCCCACATCCCAGGCTTTGTAAGTATCTCTAAAATGAGGATGGAACAATGTGACCTCCACAGTCCTGTGTGAAGCTAACACACAAGCAAACAAAAAGCTTCAGGCACAAGATCGGCATAAACTCTAGTACTGGGAATTCAGTGAAAGCAATAAGAAAACTGCAGGTAGAAAGATAGAAGTAGGGGAAGAGGGCTTCTGACTCAGAGATCCTGTTTTCCCATTGCCAATAGGTAACAAATTGCTGCAAACGGTAGCTTAGAACAACACAAATTTATTATCTTATAGTTCTTGAGGTCAGAAGTCCAAAATAAGTTTCACTGGGTTAAAATCAAGGCACTGACAGAGCTCTCCTCCTCTGGGGGAGAATCGTCTCCTTGCCTTTTCCAGTTACTAGAAGCAGCCTGCATTTGTGAATTCATGGCCCTTTCCTCCCTCTTCAAATCCAGCAGGGTTGCGTCTTCCAATTCTGAATTCAGCTTCTCCTGCATCCCATTTATAAGGACCCTTGATTACATTGGGCCCTCCTGGATAATAATCTAGGAAACTCTCCCATTTCAAAATCCTTACCTTTGTCACACCTGCAGAGCCCCTTTGGCCATCCCAGGGAGCGTATTACAGGTCCCAGGAGTTAAGATGTGGACGTCTCTGGGGGGCCATTATTCTGCCTACCATATCTACCAAACAAAACCCTCCCGCAGTGTCCTCATTTCAGAGAATGGTACCCCTGTGCACCCAGGCCCCCACCCTGCCACCCAGCCAGAACGTCACCAGCTAGCCACGGCAAATTGGTCTCCCTCACCCTCCACCTGTATCCCATCCATCAAGTCCTGAGAGTTCGATCTCCTAATAGCTCGCTAGTTTGTTCTCATCTCCACAACTATCACCTTACACTAAGTCACCAACATCACTGCCCTGGAGCTTTCTATCTGTTCTCTCAGCGTCCACTCTGAGTTCTCCCCAGCTCATCCTCCACCAATGCACCCAGAGATTTAAAACCCAAAATCTGGTCCATGTCTCACCCCTGCTAAAAACTCTTTATTGGCTTCCAGGTACACTCAGAGGCAAAACTCTAAAAGATGTAGAAGGCTGGGGCGCCTGGGTGGCTCAGTTGGTTAAGCGACTGCCTTCGGCTCAGGTCATGATCCTGGAGTCCCGGGATCGAGTCCCACATCGGGCTCCCTGCTCGGCAGGGAGTCTGCTTCTCCCTCTGACCCTCCTCCCTCTCATGCTCTCTGTCTCTCATTCTCTCTCTCGCAAATAAATAAAATCTTAAAAAAAAAAAAAAGATGTAGAAGGCTGTACATGACGGGGCCTCTGATCATGCCTTCAGCCTCACGTTCTGCCTCTCTCTTTTACCTTTTAAACTTTACCTTCACTGTGGCCATCTGTCAGTTCTCTGAATAGGCCAAGTTTTCTGGTGCCACAGGCCCTTTGTGCATGCTCATCCCACTCCCTGAAATGCCCCTGCCCATGCCTTTGCCTCTTTGCCTTTGGACTTCAATTAAAGCATTGCTTCCTCAAGGAAGTATTTCCCAACCCTAATCCCCTCCCTGCCTCCAAGATTAGACAAGATCCCTCTGTCAAATGCTTTCCAGAGTATCCTGTGCTTTTCTTTCATAATACTTTCCACAGTTTGTAATTTAATGTTTGTGTGATTATTTGTTAAAATCTGTCTCTCCTACTTTTTTTGTAAGCTCTGTGAAGGCATCTATTTTACTCACCATTACAATTCTGTAAGTGGAGGCCTTATAAACATGATCATCACCCCTGCAAACAAATACTGGTTGAATTCCATGACTGCTGTACCTTTCTTCTCAAGCTCCTGTGATCCCTGCTGGGTGGAAGCCAACCCCACAGAGTTTACAGATGGCTGGGAAGTGAGAGCAGTCAACTCTTGTCACTTGTCTGAAATAGGACTTCTGGTGACAGGTTCTCAAGCTTGAAAAGACATCAGAATCGCTCAGGAGCACATGTTAAAAGTGTGCTCCCAAACTCCACCTCCAGAGGCTTGATTTTGGGGGGCTGAGATAGGAATCTGCCTTTCAGTTAGACCCCATGAGATTCTCATGCAGAGAATCCAAGGACTACATTTTGGGAAATTCTCATTTATGATTCTTCCAAAGTCCGATTCAGATATCACCTCCTCCCCTAACTCCTCAGACAGAACTGGTCCTTCCTCCCCTCTACTCCTAGAGTACTTTGCCCACATCTCAGCGGTAGCTCCTACCATATGTTTATCCCCAAACTAGCTTGAGAACTCTTTGAGCACAGGGAGGGTGTCTTATTTACCCATGTGGCCCCAGGACTCAGCACGCCTGTCATGTAGTACATGAAACCTCACTCTTGATATCTGCACCTATAACCTGTCATCCCACTGTGTCCCACATTGAAGGAAGTGATAACATTGTTTACCCAGTTGCGCAGGTAAAAAACCTCAGGGTCATTCTTGACTTCCCTCGCTCACATTGCCACCTCCGACCCATCAGCAAATCCAGCTGGCTCTACCTTCAAATGTCCGGAATCCAACCCCTTCTCACCACTTCCCTGCCACGCATGCCGGCTGGTCTGTACCATCTGCTCTCGTTTCCACTCCCGTCACTGCACAGATTGTTCTCTACACAGCAGCAAGGAAATACTTTTTTTTTTTTTTTTCAGAATGCACTTTTAAAACCATGCCTGTCTGCTGCACAAAGCCCCAGTGATTTCCCATTTCATTCAGAAGATAATCCAAAGTCCTTACCGAGACCCGTAAAGCCTCACATGATCCGCCCCCTCCGTCATCTCCTCTCGCTCTGCCTGCACTGTTTTTCTTACTGTTCTTTGGACACATCAAGCTCACTCCTGCCTCAGGGACTCTGTACGTGCCTTAGGACCAGAGTACCCTGTGATTTTCTCCCTCGCTTCATTGGGGTCTCTGAGATCTCCCACCACAGGGAGATCTAACAGAGCCAGTCACCTTCCCTCAAATCACCCTGCATAACTGAAAATGAACACCTTTCTTTTCTCGACCAAAGACAGTAATCTCCAAAAATGATAGTGGTCAGAATGGGGTAGACATGGTCAGAACTATTCCTTCTCTCTCTTGACTTGCCTGGGGCCCAAGACAAGCATTTCTACCTTCCTGTTCTGACCTGACTGCATGCCATGTAGAGACAATGTGCTGGCAAAACCTTCTAGATTGAAGACAAGCAAGCCAGCCTCAGGACCGGAGGAATGACAGCCATCACTCATGGGGTTCTCTGCATGTCTCCATGCTTAGCAGTTCTGTCTTTGGTAGTCCTGAACATAGATATATTATAAATCCTTGTTTCCATAGGACTTCTTGGGCCTACTTTATATGCTGAAGTTGGAGACATGGTGAAAGTTCACTTTAAGAATAAGGCAGACAAGCCTGTAAGCATCCATCCTCAAGGAATTAAATACAGTAAATCCTCAGAAGGTAAGAGTAATTTAATATCCCCAGTATCAGACATTTAAAACCATATTTTTAATCACATGTTAGAGAAATCTGCTTTCCTTCAACTGGTAATTATGAAAGTTTTTGCCTTTGTAAGTTTCAGAGAGAAAAATGAACAAATTCTGGAGTCATCTAGACCTCAGGTTTTCACTAGGTTCTTGCTCTTTAACAGCTGGATGGGCAAATTACCTAATCTTTCTGATCCAATTTATTCATCTGTAAAATGAGAACAGTAATACATACACATTGCAAAATGGTTTAAAGCAAGGGGTCCACAAACTTCTCTGTGAGAAGCCAGATAGTAAGTATGATTGGCTTTGGGATCTCTGTTGTAACTAGTCAACTCTACCTTTTAGTACAAACACCATCACAGACAATGTGTAAGTGAATGAGTATGGCTGTGTCCCAGTAAAACTTTATTTACAAAAACAGACAGCTGGCTGTATGTGGCCCACGAACCGTAGTTTGAAATAGTGACATAAGACTAACCTGACACATAAAGCTCACTTAATAAGTGGTATTTGGTGGTGGTGGTAGTAGAAGTGTTATTAAAATTTTGGACAAAGTGAAATGGTTAAGAACATAAGCTTTGAAGGCAGACTTAGGTTCAAATTCCAGTTGCATCACCTCTGGTTCTATGAACTTAACATCTCTGAGCTTCAGTCTTCATCTATAAAATGTGAAGTTATACCCACCCTGTAAGATTGCTTTGAGGATTAAAATGAGACCATTTAGGTAGTGTATAAAATATGATTCCTAGAACATGGTAAGCCCTCAATAAATCACAACGATGATGATGACAACAATGGCAAAGTTCACGAAGATGAAGGTGACAAAAGTGACCACATCAGCCACGTGGGAGTAAGTACCTGTTGTTGACCTTGTTCTGATTATTTCCATTATGCTGATGTTCAGACCACAACAAGAATAGTGGAGTTCTCTCAGGAGCTGATATAAGGAGATTGTATCCATATTGTAATAGATACTAGTATAATAATAGTTTTAAATAACTTCAGACCTTTCATGACTCACAGATCTTCTTTTTCCCATGTGTTACAGCCATCATACCTTTGAAGGGGGCAATTGTGGTTTACAGTTCAGGTTCTGGAAGTAGACTGCTTGGTGCAAATCCTGGCTTACACTTATTAGCTGTGTGACTTTTGAAAAGTTACCTAACCTCTCTGTGCCTCATCTCTCTCATCTGTACAATGAGACTAAGAATCATATCTACCTCATATGAGTTTGTTGTCATGAAATCTTTGGATAATGCCCAGCATATAATAAACTCTTGATAGATATTAGACATGATGGTGAAGTTGATTCTTCAATCAAAATGTGTTCCAGTTATGTTTAAAATTTTTAAGTGTATTCAGATAATTTCATATTTACCTGATAATTTATGGATTACAAAGTGACTTTTACATTTATTATTTTTTGTGTAAATTAGTAGTCAAACTCATTCCAACTAAGGTATATATGACTGATAATAAGTTAATGAACTACCTTTCCAGGAATATTTGCATTAGCACTTAATCTTTGGCTTGAGGAAAAACAATGAAGCATTAACTGAAATTTCAGGCATCTTAAAGGGCCAATTTGGCAAGACTCTGAGTAGCATGCATAGGCGTCTCTCCTATGTCCCTAAAATCATACAGTAGCATAGCAAACAACCATTTAACCTACTTCCAAGGCTTCCAGGCAACTGCATCAAGAATTCAGCAATGTAATGCCAGAGGGAAGAAACCCCAAAATGTCACATCCAGGTTCCATTTCAAATATGGGAGGAGGTAAGTTTAGTGGACTTTGTATTCCAGCTGGACTGTTTGCATGGGGAATGAATCTTGCAACATTATCCCCCTTTCTTTACTCTTTATTTGTTCCTGCACTCCCCCACAGCCAGTCATCTATGAGAAACTGTTTAAGATGCTCCTACCGCTTCCACTAGTCACCTAAATCTGAGAACGGTAGATACAGATTGGTGGGAAGTGAAATTTTATTTTGGAAATGAGATGCAAACCCTATCTATTTAAGATCGAGTACCCTATGGTAAAAGAGAAGTCTTCTGTTCATTTTAGTGTGCCCTCTGTGTTAAAATAAGACATCTTCTTCTTGCCTGACACTCACCCTGGCCCACAGCCATCCTCTATGGTTTGAACTATTTGGGGCAGTGTGGAAATCAATTAACCACATACTGAGGCCAGCTACATGAGAATCCAGATTCCTTTTTTTGCAGAGGTAGGTGTTTGAGAGATGGATGGTGGGAGACTGAGAAAATATACTAGGCCTAAGGCAGGACTCAATCCTTGCCCCTATGGCTATTTGATCTAACCAGTCAATGATCCTTGACAGCAATCCTACTTCTCTGGGAATTAATCCTTGAGCCCCAGCAGGGATGTGGAGACCTACTCTCATCAGCTAGAAGGAAAAGATAGCCATGGGAAGAATGCTGGCTTTAGAGCCAGAATGAGCTGGCTTTAAATTTGGGCAATTTGGGGCAATTTTCTTTACCACTAACCTTTAGTTTTACATCTGTGATATGGACATAGCAATTCCTGCCATCGAAGGCTATTACGGGGATGAGTCATAATATGTGTAAAGTTCTTGGCACATAGTTGGTACACAACAATGTTAGTTGCTGTTGGTGTGGTTATTTCATGGCTCTTCATGGTGCAGGCGTTGAAATTTGTTTTCAGTAGCTTAGATTGAAGGAAGTCCTTGGCCTTGAATAGTGCTCATCATTTTATTTGTACTCGAATGAAATAAAACTCTCCCATAGAATTTGGATGTCGAAATGAAATAAAATTGCACAGAAAACCTCAGTTATCCAGAGCACAGAGGGATGAATCATTTTGAATTATTACATTTTCCAGATAGTTTGGGGTTTACTTCTTTAAGTGTCTGAGATATATTTTAATCACTCCGGATATATGTTATATTTCCCCAGACTCTTTAAAACGGAGGATGAGAAGTAAAATTCTAACTCTAAAACTCTCTTCCTAAGCCATTACTTCTACTCTGTGAGATTGTACAAATGTTAGAATTATATGCAGTCTAAGTAAATGACTTGAAACGAAGGTCTATATTATTGTCTATGGTATTGTCTATGGGTAAAACCCTGAGCTTTCATTCGTGTTTTTTTGTTTTTTTTTTAATATCTATTTTGCTTGCCCAGAAGTCTTGTTGCTTTTTTAAATTCTTGACTATGCTTTAGTTAGTTGATGGTTGGAAATCTGAGTTCTGGCCAGGATAGATGCTACTGAGTGTAGAAGTCTCATGCTGGCCTTTCATCCATAAATTGGCAGCACCCGGCATAAATGCCAAGTTGTAGCTTGGTGTTGCCAAACCACTCCCACCTGCACCCCTCCCCAGGCATGCCTGGGAGAAGCCTCACTAGTGCACAGGGCGAGGATGAGTAACCCATTTGACAGGTTGGACAAATCACGATTTGTAAAAATACAAGAACATTTCCTTTAGGCATGTATTTGATAGGAATACATTTTTAAACCAGGAAATAAAATATCTGCAGCTGTACCTAATCACTTAAACACTTTCTATCACTAAGCATGTCAATTTGAGACTAAAATTTCAGAAACTGTAGCTTGCTTGCACTGAACTGTTTGTAATGATGCACCTTTGAGCAAATTTTGTTCTTCAGTAAGTTTTCTGTAGCTGTTTTGGTCAATTAACTTTTGAGAACTTCTAAAGGCAATGGAAAGAATGCCACTTTCCACTATAGGAATTTCCTATGATGTTTTGACAGCTGGAACAATGGAAGCATCATGTCCAGGAACATCATTTTCTAACTTCATGAGGCCAAGAATCAGGAAGCATTGAATAAGGGCCATCATACTTGATTCAAGATAGCTCTAGTCAACAACTTGCCATGCCAGGTCCAGCCAATAGACAAGGTTTGACCTGCGAGGGCAACTCTCCTTATCAGACCTGTTTGTTCTTTGCTTCCAAAGCTATTTTGTAACTTTCCAGAGACAATTCTTCCTGTTTATTAGCAGAGGCTCTTCCTTATAAACTCTTTCTTTCTTTTTGATTTAGACTGAAATAATATTATTACTCTCAGGAAATTGTTCAAGCTTTTAACATTTCTCAACTCCTTATTATTCAGATTATAATATTCAGATCCTTTTCATCAACAGAGTGAAAGTTCAGCCTATGGTCGATATCGATTATCCATGTCAAACTATCTTTGAGGGGAAGAAAAGATACAATGGAATCCCATGTTAAGATTTTCACTAGCACAACAGTCACAACTCAGATGCCTATAGCAGTCAGGAGGCTAATTCAATGAAAAAATATGTCCTTTAGGGACTGGGGGCCACAGAGTCACTGTCCTAACTAAAGGAGGTAGCCAGGATTCAGGATAGGCAAATTCTATGCAGGAATTTTATCCAGTGTCACAAGAACAACATTTTAGTTGTTATTGTTGTTGTTGTTGTTGAAGACAGCAACTCAGATTCTTAGATAGTATCTCCATAATGTTAATGTTGGCATTTAATTTGTTGTGATACCATGCAATCTTAAACACCTGTGAGCTAAGACTTGATAACCTTGATTTTAGCCCACAGGGTCTTAAATCTTAGGAATTCAATACACTCTCAGTGAGCACCTTCTCCATGCTAGGCACTGTGCAAAGTACCAGAGATATTAACACAGATATAATCCAGCACCTGCCTTTGAGTTGCTCACATTCTGGTGACAGTAATGTGTGTGATACAAATAGTTATTATCTAGTTGGAGAAAATGAAATAAATCATACAGTGCCATACCTGTTTAATTATAAATCATGATGGGTGCTGTAAAAGAAAAATACGTAGCACAATTAGAGATCAGGAAAGGAGTAAGCTTACATTTAAGGTGACATCTAAAGGATGAGCACACATTTATCCAAAGGAAGACAAAGAGGTGGAACACTCTAAGCAGAGGAAGTGGTATCTGTAAAGACCCTGAGGTAAGATGGAATTTGGCTTGTTTGGGGAACTAAAAGTTGGCCCAAGAGAGGGATACATAGTAAACAAGGGGAAAAGTCACACACAATGAGAGTGTAGAGAGAAGTAGGGTGGTCCATATTAAGAATTTTGTGAAAGAAGAAACTATTTTTAGGATTTTAAGCAGGAATATGACAAAGTAAGATGTGGAGTTTCAAGGGATTATTCTGTATACAAGTTGGGAAATGGATTGGGAGGGTACTCTTGTACCAGAATCCCAGTGACCAGTTAATAGGCTAATTCTGGAGTCTAGTTTTATCCTAGGGTGATGGCATTAGAGACACAGAGAAGAGTGCAAACTTGGGATATATATTTTGGGGGTAGTTGGTTGCTGTTGGAGTACAAAGTGTGCACAGCTTAGAGGGTATGGAGGGAGATGACACTGGATAGGTAGACTGGAAAAACTCATGAATGACTTCAGCCACCATGATAACAAACTTGGACTTTATCCTAGGCTCTTGAAAGTTTTGCAGAATGAGTTAACACAGTTGGATTTGTGTTGAGCAAATAGTAAGCTGATTCACTCTCCTGTCAAGACTTTATGGTCCCGCTGTAACTAGTCTTTTCCATATACCATCACTGTAATCACCATCAATAAATTGTCAGCTTCTAAGAGCATTAAAATCCATCTTCGTTTCCTATCTGTAAGGCTGATATCATGACTATCATATTATTTCAAGTTTGTTTGTATTCTTTCCCATACATATAAAGATGATGCTCTGTCCTATGGAGATATGTCAGTAAATCTAGATATCTCTACCAACTCTTCTATCTCATGGCTTCCATGCTCAGAACCTCATGTGGTATAGTAATGCATGTTGCTGCCATGCCTGAATGCCTCATTGATGATGGATGCATGTGCCTTATTTCACACTCCTATCTGGAGAGCCCAAACATATGTTGATGCTGTGCAAGCTCACATGAGTGTGAGTGGAATTGATTTTCCTGATGATGTGCAATTAGACAACAGTAGCTAACATTGTTGCAATATAAAATATTCTACTTAGAAATTTAGCATCTCAGACTTTGACTCCTGGAAATGAGGGATCAGATTTACCCTTTTGCTTAACAACTAGACAGACAGACAGACAAAATACATGAGACAGCAGTTGTCAGACACTGAACAACAGACAATACAAGAGAATGCTCCATGGGAGAAGAATAACAAGTGAGGTGGGTCCTATGTGTACCCAAGCTCACTGCATAGAGAGGGTTTCAAGGGCATAGCATAATGAGGGTGAACCCAAGCAGAGCTCAATAGTCCTTTGAGTTAAGAAAACACAGTTTAGACTTTTGGTAGGCCAAAGTGTCTGGATTTGCAGGACAGAATCCTGAAGAGGATGGTACAGACACAGAGAATGAGTTCTTGAGAATCTATGCAGAGGTCTTGTCAAAGTCTTTAACTAAGTGCTGATCTGCACATGCATGTGAGGAAAATATTAAAAGTAAGGAAAATACCACCAGAAAGTAACAGGCAGAATAGTCCCTGGACCACACACATAAAAATAGTTTATGTTCCCATCATCAAACATGGAAAGACCTCCTAACAAATGGGCACTGAGTAGAGATAGAAGCAACAGAAGGTACAGGAGTCGGATAAAAATAGTCTAGACTGCAGACTACTCAGAAGGTGACAAAGCCTTAAAAACAAGACTTGAAAGTATCAAATCAATTCCATGTCTCTTAACTGTTTGCCAACATAAAATACTATTTACAAAAATGGAACAAAATCCAGCAAGCAACATGTAAAACTCACAATGCTAATAAAAATTAATAAGCATTAAAATAAGCAGGAAAAGTACTACCCATAACCAAGAAAAAACTTAATCAATAGAAACAGATCCAGAAATAAAAGAAATGATAGAACTGGCAGGCAAAGTCATTAAGACAGCTATTATAAATATTCTTCATATGCTCCAGAGCATGATGAGGAGAGAAATAGAAGACATAAAAACGCATAAATGGAAACTTCACAGATGAATATAATAGCTGAAGTGGGAAGTACACCACCAGATGAGATTAACAGCCTTGTAAAAGAAAATATTAGAGAATATTATATATAGCAATAGAAACTATCCAAATGAATCATGAAGATAAAAAAGACTGAACAAAATTAACAAAGCATCAGTAATCTATAGGACAATATCAAGTGATGTCACATATGCGCAATTAGAATCCTAGAATGGGGAGAAACAGAAGAAATATTTGAAGAAATCAAGGCTGAAAAATTTCCAAATGTGATGACAGCTATAAACCAACAAAGGCTTGACAAAACCAAGAAGAAGAAAAATGAAGAAAACCATACCAAGGCACATCATAATCAAGTTACTAAAGACCTGTGATGAAGAGAAAATGTTAAAAGTAGTCAGAACAACAACAAGACACAGAAACAAAAATAAGAATGACAGCAGACGTCAGTAGAAACAATGCAAGCCAGAAGACAGTTAGGGATATCTTTAAAGTACTGGTGTGGAGTGGGGGAGGGCAATTTGTCCACTTAGTATTCTATACCAAGCAAAAATATCTATTTAAAATGAAGAAAAAATAAAGGCTGTCTTAAGCATAGAAATAAGAAATAATTTCTCACTAGCAGACCAGAAAAACATGTTAAAGGAAGTCTTTTAGTCAGAAAAAAAATGATATTAAAAGGATATTTGGATCCACAATAATGAATAAAAAGCTTCAGAAATGGGTAATATAGAGAAAATTTTTCCTCATTTTTAATCTGTTGAAAAAATAATCATCTAAACTTTAAATTTATTTACTACAATTAAATATGATTTATTACAGGGTATAGTATATATGCAGAAGTAATATGCATACTAAACGATAGCACAAAGGCTAGGAGGGAGGAAATGGGAATTTACTATTGCAAGTGTCTTATAAGCGAAATGGTATAAGATTATTTGAAGGTAGACTCTTAAAGTCTTATCTTGTAAACTGAAGAGCACCAGTAATAAAACAAAGCAAGGTTAATAAAATAATAGGGGAGATAAAAAGAAATATTCAATTAATCTAAAAGAAAGCAAGAAAAAGAAAAAGGAATAAAGACCAGATGGATAAATAGAAAATAAGAGCAAGATGGTAGATTTAAACTCAACCATATCAATAATTATATTATAAGCAAATGGGAAGAACACTACAACTAAGAGACAGATTCTAAGACTGGATAAAAAGAAATACCTTACTATATGCTGAATTTGAGAAATCCACCTTAAAGACAAAGACAAGAAAAAGTAAAAGATGGAAAAAGATATACCATACTAACTAACACTAACAAACACAAGAGGGTATATAATGTATTATTCCACTTATATGACCTTAGAGGCAAGAAGAATATAGTGACAGAAAGCACATCAGTAGCTGCTGGGCCCAGCAGGTAGGGGAATATACTGACTGGAAATGGCACAAGGCAATTTCTCAGAGTGATAAAACTGTTCTGTACCTTCATTGTGATGGTAGCTATACAACTGTACACATCTGTCAAAATTCAGCAAACATTATACTTAAAATTGGTGGATTTTATTGTATGCAATTTCAGTAAAGATGATTAAAGGAAGAGAGGGAAGGAGGCAGAAAAAGAGAGAGGAAGGAAAGGAGGAAGGGAGGAATAAAGAGAAGAAAAGGAACAGGAAAAGAGAATGGGCGGAAAGAAAATAATCATTTGTTTTCAAAAAGCACAATCACTTCAGTAAGAATAGTTTGCATGAACCCTTCACCCCATTGTGTAAAACATTTGATCCCTTTTTTCTGATCCTGATTGCCTGCCTGTGTCTCCACTCTGATGGTCTCCCTTTCGATGTCAAATTTATCAAGCTGTTGTACCAAACAAAGGTAAATGCATCCCAAGAGAAATTCCTGCACCAGCTGATGATAGTGAAACTCACCTAATTAAATGAGGCATGGCTCACACATTTGGCTGTCCATAACACTGACTTCCCCTTCCTGACCTCACTTGCTCCATCTCTAACCACATCTTTTTATTGTTGAAATTCCACCCAAGACTCTGCACTTCTTTTAACCAACAGCATCTCAGTTCCCTCTCTTCAATAAGAAAGACCAACTTGTACATCCTCCTCTCCCACCAGTCAGGCCCAGAGTAGATATGGAGGTGTTAATGGTGGGTCTTCGGATACACAAAGGGCAGGAGTAAGACATCTAAACTTCAGATGGTAGACACATTTCATAACCACAACAGCAACTAGACGGCATAGAGGAGCTGGACTCCAAGGCTCTTGGGACAGCTGGGATGTTCAGAAGATGGAGGTATGATAAAGCAATAAAATAGGGCTGAGGGTGGCAGAGGTGGGGAAGAAGATGTGAAATACAGAAGAAAAACAAAACAACATAGAAACAGCTCTCAGTGTACTCACATCCCATGCTAACAGGCGGTTAAATGGAAGATATCTTGTCAAGCACTATAGAGAAAATAGAAACAAAACCCATCTCATATCCTGAGATGATTTACTGATCAAAGGTGATTCAGCTCTCTGATTATATTTAAGTAACAATCCTTTAGGTAGCCTGGAAAATTAACTTTCTAAACCTTAACGAATATACTAGTAGCTCTCTTATTCAATTCAGATCACCATAGACCAAAGCCCTTATAATTGCATAGACACAGAAGTGGGTATATGGGGATCTTTCCAGATAATGAAGGTTCACTATAGAAAGGCGTATATAGCTCTATAGAGATCTTATGTTCCCCCAGATTTGAGGATGATGAAAAAGTTGTCCTCAGTGACTGTCCCGATGTTTTCATGACTCTTCTTCTCCAGGTGCTTCTTACTCTGACCATACATTCCCTGTAGAGAAGATGGATGATGCCATAGCTCCAGGCCAGGAATATACCTATGAGTGGAAGATCAGTGAGGACAGCGGGCCCACACACAATGACCCACCATGCCTTACACACATCTATTATTCCTATGAAAATTTGATACAGGACTTCAACTCTGGGCTAATTGGACCTCTGCTTATTTGTAAGAAAGGTAAAAAAAAAAAAAAGAGCAACAACTAAGATTGAAATGGTAAGATGTACTATAATGGAATGAGGCTTGGGAGAATCTTGGAACCTTTTTGTAAATCAAACAAAAGGAGAAGCACAGAAACCAGATCCTTGCTTGACACTGGTATTGGAGGGTTAGAATCTTCCGGTTTCTTTGAATCCTTCCTTTGTCTCAGTCCTGGGAGACTCTCCCAAGTAAATCCCTGTCTGAGAGTATGTTCTGATACCAGGCCCATATGATGTATAACATTTACCTCAAGGCCAAGTCTTTTTGAAAGTATACAACAGCCTATACATTGCTGAGAGTACTTGGAAAGAACTTTGACTAACATAATTGAGGTTTAGGTTGGTAATATGGTATACAAACATTCAAAACTCCAGCTTCCTTTCTTATAAACAAGCTGGACACTTCAGGTGGCAGATTTTAAACATTCAATTGACTTTATAAAAAAATGTCATTGGCTGGGCTTAGGAGCAAGCATGAATTTTCATTTACCCCCAAATAATTCAACCATCTTTCATTAAAACAATAAACAACCACAAGAAACTACACTGTGGGAAATAATATGATAGATTCACCCTCTGTCTATACATACACACATACATTCATAACTCACTTATTCACTACACAAATACACATTTTCATTGCCTGATATAAAAGATACTGTGATGGCACTGAAAAAAATTCAAATTTATAAAAAGCTCTTATTTCATTTTACTTTCATTTACTGTCAACTGCCTTTCTCAGCTGTGAGAATGGATTAATCTTGACCTCAACAAATTCTCAAATGCCTCATTACATGTACAAGCAAGATGGCTGTATGAAACTTGGAGTGTACTTTGCTAACTGAGCTAAAGTACATCTTTATTGGCCTGTTGACACTAGAGGAAATGAGTACTTTCACTAAAGCCTTGACAGTCACCAGATGTTTTTTCTTTGTGCCTGATCAAGTTTACCTTTAAATCCCCATTCCTCAAGGCTATGAGGTGTCAGAGAAAATACTTACTGTGGCACCAGGATTTTAATAAGCCCCCAGTCATTATTACTGGATAAAGATGGTATTTTTTTTTAAGATTTTAATTATTTATTTGACAGAGAGAGACACAGCAAGAGAGGGAACACAAGCAGGGTGAGTGAGAGAGGGAGAAGCAGGCTTCCTGCGGAGCAGGGAGCCCGACAAGGTGCTTGATCCCAGGAGCCTAGGATCATGCCCTGAGCGGAAGGCAGACGCTTAACGACTGATCCACCCAGGCACCCCAAAGATGTTATTTTTTAAAGATTTATTTATCGGGGGTGCCTGGGTGGCTCAGTCAGTTAAGCATCTGCCTCTGGCTCAAGGCGTGATCCCAGGGTCCTGGGATCGAGCCCCACATCAGACTCCCTGCTCAGCGGGGAGCCTGCTTCTCCCTCTCCCACGCCCCCTGCCTGTGTTCTCTCTCTGTGTCTGTCAAATAAATAAATAAAATCTTTAAAATAAATAAATAAAGATTTATAAATAAATAAATAAAGATTTATTTATTTATTTCAGAGAATGAGAGTGTGCAAGTTGGGGGAGGGGCAGAGGGAGAGAGAATCACAAGCAGATTCCATGCTGAGTGTGGAGCCCGATGCGGGGCTCGATTGCAGGACCTGAGATCAGGACCTGAGCCGAAGTCAAGAGTCAGCTGCCCAACTGACTGAGTCACCCAGGGGCCCCAAGATGCTATTTTTTAAAATAAGAACTTCTTAACGTTATCATTATGATTGACTGCTTGCCTTAATTTTTTTTTTTTTTTTTTTTTTTTTGCTATCTAGGAATACCTAGTGAGAGTCTTCTGTCTGGGATGCTATTAAAAAGTATGTCTTTTCTTTCATAGGCACCCTTACTGAGGATGGGATGCAGAAGATGTTTGACAAACAACATGTGCTGATGTTTGCTGTGTTTGATGAAAGCAAGAGCGGGAGCCAGTCATCATCTTTAATGTACACAGTCAATGGCTATGTGAACGGGACGATGCCAGGTGACGCATGGGCTGCATGCTATCCAACCACAGCAGAAACATCAGTGCCTCTGGTCCCATTGCTTTCCTCAAAGCCATATGGAAGTTGACCAAATTCATACTCACTATTTTTCAACTCCTAATCAAAAAGATAATGTAATCCACCTCAGTGGTTGTCAAGATTCCATCATCTGTTTTTTGGTTGTTTTTTTTAATGTTAATACTATTTTATTTAAACTGATATATCCAAAATGTTATCATTTTAACATGGGATCAATATAAGCAATTATTAGTGAGATAGTTTACATTCTTTCTCTTTATAGTAAATCTCTGAAATTCAGCATACCTTTTACCCTCATAGCACAACTCATTCCATGTTCAAGAAGTGACAACCATCTTGGACATGCAGCTCTACACTTTGAACTAACGGTGTCATAAAGGGTTAAAACCGCCCCCCAGGGGGGTGACTTAGGTATTTCAAGGGTCAAATACATAGATGGTACATGTGCACAAATGCTGCCATACTTGGACTCTTGATTCATGAGAAGCCTTGAGAAGAGATCCAAGAAAGCATTTCTAGAACATTCTTCAGAAGAGTGTATTGTTATCATTTGCCAAATTCATGGCTGTTCACTTGTCAAAATATTTTTTTGAGAAAAGATGCATATGTGGAGAATTTTTTTCTTTCTTTTTTTTAACTTTTATTTGAATTCAATTAACATATTATATATTATTGATTTCAGAGGTAGGGGTCAGTGATTCATCAGTCTTCTATAGAAAAAGAGCGTGCAGCTTAATATATTGGATGTAGGGATCCAAGTAGGTTTCACCTTGCCCTGTGCCTCCAGGAAGATCTCCAAAATACTAGCTCACTCTCCTTCAGTGAGTTCTGTGGTCCCTGCTGCATGGTCCATGCCTTCTTCCACAGAGGAAGCCCTACGAAATACAAATTCGAGGTTAATCCCTAGCAGGAAGGATCAACAGAAAGAATTCAAGGAAGACACTTACAGTGAAGATGAATAGATTAGGAGAAATACCCCACATACAAAAACACTCTGAGCATTTCAAAAGGTGATGGATTAGTAATATCCAGTGGCATGTAGGATGTTCTCTCTTTCCATTTGCATGGAGACTATTGTGGAAAAGCAAAATCATAGCAACAATTAAGAGAAAGAAAAACAATAAATCTGACTCCCATCCAGACTTCTTCCATCTCTCTGATAGAAATGACTTAGAACCAAAGATCCTGAGGAAAAAGAATGGAAAAATGAAAACATTATTTTATTAAATAATTCCATATATCAGAACACTAAGCTTCTCAGAAGTCATTCTCTGTACTAAAAATCACAAGTGGCTTTACTTACTAAAAACAAAACTTGTCAAAAGTTGAGATCTGGACATTGTTTTTAAATTGTATTCTATTTCATTTGGCTCTATCTTCCCACCTGGGTTATTACAGATGTACTCAGATGACTCTGGTTTTGATTCAGAGTTCCAAACTTAGTCAGTTGACCTCTGTCTTAGGAGATCTGAGTTCAAGCCTTGCTCATATCTCCAGCTTAGTGTGGTCCTTGGAAGTTTATTGTCTCAATGTGCCTATTTACAAAAATGGATTAACCATTTATCCTGGTGCAGAGGGTGTTTAGGAATTTTTTTACATATAAAATAGCCTTGCCGCTGCTATAATCCTTAGAGGGGAGTGATTAAAGAGACATTGTATCTGTGTTCTAGCAGGTGAATCATTCCTGTATATTTATAGAAGGCAAACAAAAGCAATTCATATGCAAAAAATTAATAACTTGGTCAGTGCATAGAGCCTATGAATTTAAAGTCAAAAAAGAGTAGTTGGGGCTTAAGAGAGGCAGGATAGGGGGCTGTCGTTAATAGAAACAGAAAAGTTAAAGCTGTACAATTGTCTTATGGAGCAGGGTAAATTAAATAAATATGATAAATGCTAATATAGATATATTAAATGCTTAATTCAGCATAAGCATTTCTTTGGGGTAGATAAATACTTTCATCAAAACCTCCTACCTTCTAGGTTCTTGTTCGCAGGTTCTAGCTTCTTGTTCTCACTGATGATCTAGGAATCCCTGCCAGGTTACAAGGGTCTCCTAAAAAATATAAGCCCCTCAGCCTCTCTGTGGGTAAGGGACTGATTCTCAGCCCCATAATTGTAGTATCTAGTGATTATGGATCTGAAATTTAAAACCCAAACCAAGGATGGAAGCCAGGGTTTGAATCTCCTGCAGAGCAAATTAGCATTTTCCTAGTTACTGTGAGCACAAAGGAGGAAAACTCAGCTTTTATTCTGTTTTCATTACTTCATCCATGAAATGCTCCTAGTGGCCTAGCATAATGAACACTTGTCCATTGCATTTAAGGAGAGCCTATATCCCACAGAGTAATTCATTGCCTCGTCATTTAAACAATCAACAAGGGGTTAAAGAAGCAATCAAAAACTCTTAAAGCATCTTCACATCTTTCCCTTAGGCAGAGCTTTGACATCTATCCAGCTGAGAGGATTAGACCCCTGAACTCAGCCTTATTGGAGGCTCTGGTGACTCCTTCCAGCTGAGCCCAAATTGATTCTAGATTTCATATGGCTTTCCCAGTTTTAACACTGAAAGTCCTGCCTCCTGAGAAACTCCTCAGTCCCTGGTAGACCAGGATGGTTGATGACCTACTTGGTTCCCTCCTTGGCCTAACCCTTTAGCAATCCTTGTGTTTCTGAACTAACTTTCCTCATCTTTGGGCTCTATTCTTACCTCTAGAGCACCACTCATTGCAATGAGTTGTGACTGCTTGTTTGCCCATCGCTTAGACATCTGCTTTGCTCGGGCAGGAACCACAGTTGGAGTGTCTCTACACCCAGAAACAATGCTTGATGCATAGCAGGTGCTCAGTACATATCTGGTGAGTGAATTTTTTATTACAGAGGCTGACTGCCTGTTTCACTTCCCATCTCTCTCTCTCAGATATCACAGTTTGTGCCCATGACCACATTAGCTGGCATCTGATCGGAATGAGCTCTGGGCCAGAATTGTTCTCCATTCATTTCAATGGCCAGGTCTTGGAGCAGAATCATCATAAGATCTCAGCTATTACCCTAGTCAGTGCTACATCCACTACTGCAAACATGACTATGAGCCCACAGGGAAAGTGGATCATATCTTCTCTCATCCCAAAACATTTTCAAGGTAAGAAATTCTTCCAATAGTTTTGCTTGTGAATACAGGATCTTTTCTTCCCAAGCACTAATTCCCTCATTCTCCTTTGCGCTTTCAAGCCACACATGCTCCAGACATACATGCCTTTGTCCTGAGAACAGAATTTCGTTTTTCTGCCCTTAGACTTATAACACATTAGTTGGGATAGAGGAAGTGGAGAAATTGACAAAGTTTTTTTTTTTTTTTAATGAAGCAAAAGCTGGAAAAAGGTCTACTTCCTCAAAAGGAGAAAAAGGGAAGGAAGTAAATGCATACATAGAGATATTCTTCTTTGGGCTTCTTAGTATTCAGCCAAAGAAAAAACCTAAGTGCTAGAACAAATCAAACATCTGCAAATTTATGGAAGCACTAAGTTATAGAAAGCACAAAAGATTTAACATGAAAAGATTATCTTTTATAACAAGATGAACACAAAACCTGGCACAAAGAGGAACCCAGTGGATGATGTTGAATAGAAAAAGCATAGTATTTAGCTAAGGAGTGAACTTTAAAGAATATCGTAAGTTTTGGTAGGAAAAGAAAGTCAGCCCAGGTTGTTATGTGGTATCATATAAACAAAATAACAATTGTTCTATTATACATTGTTGCTGTAAAACTGTTGGGAATACCCCTGAAACAAATAATACATTATATGCTAATAATAAATAGGGGCGCCTGGGTGGCTCAGTTGGTTAAGCGACTGCCTTCAGCTCAGGTCATGATCCTGGAGTCCCAGGATCGAGTCCCGCATCGGGCTCCCTGCTCGACAGGGAGTCTGCTTCTCCCTCTGACCCTCCTCCCTCTCATGCTCTCTGTCTTTCATTCTCTCTGTCTCAAATAAATAAATAAATAAAAATCTTTTATATGCAAATAAATAAATAAATAAATAAATAAATAAAAATAAAACTGTTGGGAAGAGCGTCTGCGTAAATAGAGACCAAAATGGAAGTAAATGATATCCCTATAGGAAATTATTTTCTTACCAAAACAATGTATATAAAAGCCAGACACATAAGAAAGAGACATTTTGATGAGACCGTTTGTTTCCTGTTCACACTGAGCAACCAAAATTATATTTGAAATCATGAAATTGTCACAATACCCTTGGAAGATAGAGTCCCCAATAATAATAAAACAACAGCAACAAAACTAACATTGACATTAAGCACTATGTATATTAACTTATTTAATTTTTAACAACAATTTTATACAGTATGTACTATTATTATCTCCATTTTACAAATAAAGGGACAGATAACAGGAAAAATAAGAAATCAACAAGACTTAAGTCATAAGATTTTAAGGATCTAGAAATTACATTTTTTTCCTCTGAAAGAAACAAAGGAAATCTTTTCATGTTTTTTCCCTAACCCATCCTCTCTTTCCTTTGCTTTTAATTCTTGCCCTTTCTCTATGACACTAAAATAGCTGCAAACCAAAATGTTCAGAAGTTTCCTGAGCAGTACTTTTACTGTTATTATTTAAACCTTCCACAAATTTATTTAAAAGATAGGCATTTTGATCAGCTGTAATTTCTTCTCTCAAATTCTTTCATTGCCTTTGTGTTCTAATTCAGCTGGGATGCAGGCTTACATAGACATTAAAAACTGTGCAAAGAAAACCAGGAATCCTAAGAAACTAACTCGTGATCAGAGGCGGCACATGAAGAGGTGGGAATACTTCATTGCTGCAGAGGAAGTCATTTGGGACTATGCACCAATAATACCAGCGAATATGGACAAGTGAGTTTTGGGGTGCTTACCACTATGTGAAGGCTCAGGGGTCTTAGATGCATGGGGTGAAATGCCATGAGTTGACAGCTCTCAAGGGTATACATGTATTGCGTTCAGGTCTTGTTGTCCAAATCAACCTGGAATTACTCTAAACTCACCATGGGAACTCAGCAGCATAAGAGTAGTAATAGTAGTAGTAGTAGTAGTAGTAGTAGTAATAGTAGTAGCAGCAATAATATTACTAGTAATAGCGGCTACCACTTGTTGGATGCTTGTTATTGCTAAGCACTGTGTGAAACATTTCCTATGAGTTTTACTTTAACTTTCCATGTTAGAAACAGCTTTTAATTAATATTAAAAGCTGAGGAAAAGATGTCAGAGAGAGTAAGAATTTTGGAAATTCAAATATCTCTTAACACTTGAAAAATACTCAAGCTCACTCACAATAAGAGAAGTGCAAACTGAACTCCACTGAGATACTATTTTCCACCTCACAGACTCACAAGTCCAGATGACATGATCTGTTGGCAAGGCTGTAGAAAACAACCACTATCATACATTATTAGTGGAAGAGTAATTTGATACAGCCATTCAAGAGCATGATTTGACAATATGCATCACAATTATAAATGCATATGCTCACAATTATAAATGCATATATCCTCTGACCCAGCAATCTTACTATATAGATATACTTGTTCACATATGAAATGATGTTATGTACTGGATATCCACTGCTGCACTGTGAGTAGTAGCAAAGGTTTGGAAACAACCCAAAATGTCCATCAATAGGATATTAGTTTAATAAATTATGGCATATCCATATGATGGAATACTATACATCTGTTTTCAAAAGAGGATGTAAACACTCTCTATGTACTAGTATAAAAAGTTCTCCAAGTGTTGTTAGATTAAGAAGTCAAGGGAGGAAACAATGGCAGAATAGGAGGTCCCCTGCTCATATCCCTCCACAGCAATAGTAATTTGACAGCTATCCACAAACAAAAGTACTTCTGTGAGAGCTTTGGGATCCAGGTAGGAATTTGAGAAATTCCAAGATCTTGCAATGGAAGCCAAGACCAAGGAGGGATATTTTGAGAAGGCACATCATGCTCAGGTAGTAGATTCACTGACAGTGCTCCCAGGTACAAACCTGGCTACAGCCTTGTCCCATTATGGACTGAGCTACAGCCCCACTTGGCCTTGGTCTTGACACCAGCATCATTTGCCAAAGGACCCGGAAGAAGTCACACCTGTCCATAACCCTGGAGGGTGGCCTACAGACCTTGGTCTGAGTATGGATCTTAAAGTGGCCCTGTAACCAGCTCCAGCCTTGGAATAGTCCTGCCAGCTCAGGGACTTTCAGAGAGTCACGCCCATCCATGCCCCAGGAGGCTGGTCTGCAGACCTCAGTTCCTCCGAAGATCTTGAAGCATCACTGTAACCCAGCTCTGACTCTCCCAATTGTAGTCTTGCCCACCCAGGGACTACCCAGTCACCTGGTGGGAACATTCTCAAGGACCAGATGGGAGCTATACCCATCAAAAAACCTAATAACAGCCCTGCCATTTACAGACTCAACTTTAGATCTTGAAATAAGCCACTAACCCAGCATTAGCTCTACTGACCAAGGTCCTAGAGGCAGTCGCATCTTCCCAGAGACCAGACAGGATCCATGCCTACTGAGCCCCTGGCAAAAGGCCCACTAACCACAGATATTGCTACAGGCTCAAAAGCAGCCACAGGAACTTGTTCCAACTTCACTCATCACAGAGGCAATCCCAGCAGCCCAGAGACTTGACAGGAGAAGGTCTTTACCTGACAAAATCACTCAGTAAAGACTGGAAGAGGGTGTTTGCTCCTTCAAATGTACATGAACACAAGGCTGCATGAATCACAAAAAATTAGGCAAATATGACACCACCAAAGGAAACTAATAAAGCTCAAATAACCTATGTGAAAGAAATAGAGATCTACAAATTGTCTGACAAAAAATTCAAAATAATCTTAAGGAAGCTCAGTGAGGTGCAAGAGGACAGATAGGCAATGAAATGAAATCAGGAAAACAACGCATGAATAAAATAAGTGTAAGAAATAAATAAAAACCACAAAAAATAACCAAACAGAGAACCTGGAACTGAAGGATATAATGACAGAACTAAAAAATTCAATAGAGAACTTCAATAGCAGACTTGATCATGCAGAAGAAAGATTCTGCAAACTCAAAGATAGCTAATTTGAAATTATTCAGTTACAGAGACAAAAAAGGAAAAAAAAAGAATGGAAATGAGTGAAGAAAGCTTACAATACCTATATTCACCATCAAAAGAATTAATATATACATTATGAGAGTCCCAAAAGGAGAAGAAATGAATGGGCAGAATGCTTATATAAAGATAATGACTAAAATCTTCCTGAATCTTGGGAGGTTATAGATATACAGATTCATGAAGCTCAAAGTACTCCAAGCAAGATCTACCCAAAGATTATCCTGAGATACATGATAATCAAATTGTCAAAAGTCATAGACAAAGAGAGAATCCTGAAAGTAGCAAGAGATAAGCAACTTGTCATATAAAAGGGGATCCCCATAAGACTATCCACAGATTTCTTAGAAGAAACATTGTAGGCTAGGAGAGTGTGGGATGATATACTCAAGGTGCTGCAAGGAAAAAAAAAAAACCCTCTGCCAACAAAGAATAGTATACTATACTAAGCAAAGCTTTTCTTCAGAAGTGAAGAGATTTCTTCAGAAGTGAAGAGACATTCCAAGACAAAGAAAAGCTGAGGGAGTTCAACATCACTAGGCATGCCTTACAAGAAATGCTAAAGAGAGTTCTTCAAGTTGAAAGGACACTAAGTAACAACATGAAAATATGAAAGTATAAAAGTTTCTGGTAAAGGTAAATATATAGTCAAATTCAGAATATTTTAATACTGTAATGGTGGTACATAATGACTTTTAACTCTAGTTAAAATTAAAAAAAAAAAACTTTAAAATAAAAGTCTAAAGACAAAAGTATTAAAATCACCAGGCTAAAATACTTTGTTAATGGATATACAATATAAAAAGATGTAAAGTGTGACATCACAAATTGGGAGGGAGTAGTAATAGTGTAGAAATTTTTATGCAATTGAATTTAAGCTGTCATCACCTTAAAATAAACTGTTAGAACTATAAGATGTTTTATGTAAGCCCCATGGTAACCACAAGCAAAAACTTCTACCTCTAGTAGATACACAAAAGATAAAGGAATTAAAACCTGCAAATACAAAAAATCAACAAATCACAAGGAAAATAGCAACAAAGGAAGAAAGGAACAAAAGAACTACAAAAAAGTCAGAAAACAATAAAATAGCAATAGTAAGTCCTTACCTATCAATGCTTATTCTAAATGTAAATGAATTAATTCTCCAATCAAAAGATAACAGAGTAGCCAGATGGATAAAAAAACTAAGATCTAACAATGTACTGTCTACAAGAGACTTACTTTAGCTTTAAGCACACACATTGGTTAAAAGTAAAGGGATAAAAAGATTTTCCATGCAAATGGTAACCAAAGAACAGGAGTGGCTATACTTATATAAGACAAAATAGACTTTAAGTCAAACTGTCATAAGAGACAAGGTCACTATATGATAAAGGGGTTAATTTATCAAGAGGCTATAACAATTATAAATATATATGCCCCTAACATTGAACCACCTAAATATATGAAGTAGATATTAACAGAACTGAATGGAGAAATAGACAATACAATAATAGTGGGGGATTTAAATACCTCACTGTAAACAATAGATAAATCATTCAGACATAAAATCAGTAAGGAAACTGAAATTGAATAACACTATAGACCAAGTGGACCTAATAGACATGTAAAGAACAATCCATCCAACAGCAGCAGAATACATATTCTTCTCAAGTGCACATGAAATATTCTCTAAGATACGTCATATGTTAGGCCACAAAATAAGTCTTAACAAAATAATATCAAGTGTCTTTTCTGACCACAGTGGTATGAAACTAAAAATCAATAACAGAACAAAAATTGGAAAATTCACAAATATTTGGAAATTAAACACACTTTCTAGAATGGTCAAAAAGAAATCTAATGGGAAATCAAAAAAATATCATGAGACAAGTGAAAATGGAAACACAACATACAAAAACTTTGGAATACAACAAAAACAGTTATGAGAGTTTATAGAAGTAAATGCCTACATTAGAAAACAAAAAAAGTTCTAAAATAAACAACCTAACTTTATACCTCAGGGAGCTGGGGTGGGGGGGATGAGCAAATTAAACCCAAAGTTAGCAGAGGGAATGAAATGAAGATTAGAGGAAAGATAAATGAGGTAGACACTGGAAAAACAATAGAAAAGATCAACATAACCAAGAGCTGATTTTTTGAAAAGATAAACCAAACTGACAAACCTTTAGCTAAACTAACCAAGGGAAGAGGACTCAAATAGTTAAAATTATAACTGAAAGAGGAGACACTACAATTAATATCACAGAAATGCAAAGGATCCTGAGAGACTACTATAAATGATGATATGCCAACAGATTGTATAGTCTAGAATAAATGGACAATTTCCTAGAAATATACACCCTACCAAGACTGAATCATAAAGAAATAGAACATCCGAACAGACTAGTAACAAGTAAGAAGATTGAATCAGTAATCAAAAATCTCTGAACAAAGAAAAGCCCAAAATCACGTGGCTTCACAGATGAATTATACCAAACATTTAAAGAAGAACTAACACTAATCTTCAAATTCTTCCAAAATATTGAAGAGGAGAGAACACTTCCAAACTTATTTTACAAGGCCAGCATTATCCTCACACCAAAGCCAGATAAGGACAATACAAGAAAAGAAAATGATGGCTCAATATCCTTGTTGAATACAGATGCAAAAAGCCTCACCAGAATATTAGCAAACCAAATACACAGCACATTAAAATGATCATACACCATGATCAAGTGCGATTATCCTTGGGATGCACGGATTTTTCACCATGCACAAATCAATAAATGTGATCTACTACATCAACAAAATGAAGGATAAAAGTCATAATAACAACCCAGTTGATGCAGAAGAAGCAACTGACAAAATTCAACATCTTTTCATGATAAAAACTCTCAACAAGTTAGGTGTAGAAGAAATGTACCTCAACATAATAAAAGCCATATACGACAAACCCAGAGCTAACACATACTCAAAGAAAGCTGTTTCTCTAAGATCAGGAACAAGACAAGAGTGCCTACCATTTTTAATCAAGATAGTGCTAGAAATCCTAACCAGAGCAATTGGGCAAGAAAAAGAAATAAAAGATATCCAAATTGGTAAGGAAAAAGTAAAATTATCTCTCTTTGCAGATGATATGATTTTACATATAGAAAATCCTTAACACTCCACCAAAAATCTATTAAAACTAATAAAAGAATGCAGTATGTCGCAGGGTATGAAATCAACATATAAAAATTAGCTGCACTTATTCTTTTTAAATATTGTATTTTTTGAGCAAGTGAGAGAGAGAGAGCATGAGCAGGGGGCGGGGCAGAGGGAGAGGGGGAAGCAGACTCCCCGCTGAGCAGGGAGCTCAATCCCAGGACTCTGAGATCATGACCCGAGCTGAAGTCAGATGCTTAATTGACTGAGCCACCGAGGTGCCCCTAGCTGCACTTATTAAACTAAAAACAATCTATCCAAAACAGAAATGAAGAAAACAATCCCATTTCAAAGAAATAAAAATAATAAAATGCTTAAGGAATAAATTTAACCAAAGAGGTGAAAGATCTATACACCAAAAACTGTAAGATACTGATGAAAGAAACTGAAGAAGAGACAACCAAATAGAAAGATGTTCTATGTTAATGGATTGGAAGAATTAATTTTGTTAAACTGTTCATATTAATCAAAGCAATCTACAGATTCAATATAATCTCTATCAAAATTCCAATGGCATTTTTCATGAAAATAGAAAAAACAATTCTAAAATTCATATGGAACCACAAAAGATTCAAAATAACCAAAACAATCTCGAACAAGAAGAGCAAAGCTGAAGGCATCACACTTTTAATTTCAAACTATATTACAAAGCTATAGCAATCAAACAGTATAATAATGGCATAAAAACAGACACTTAGACCAATGAAGGCAAATAGAGAGCCCAGAAGTAAACACATACATATATAGTCAACTAATCTTTGACAAGAGCACTAGAAATACACAATCGGGAAAATATAGTCTCTTCAATAATTAATGTTGGAAAAACTGGATATCCACATGCAAAAGAATGAAATTGGACCCTTAGCTCTATACACAAAAATTAACTCAAAATAGATTAAATATTTAAACATAAGACCTGAAACCATAAAACTTCTAGGAGAAAAGGTAGGAAGAAAACTCTTTGACATGGGTCTTCCCAATGATTTTTTGGGGAAAACACAAAAAGCATAGGCAACAAAAACAAAAATAAACAAGTGGGCCTACATCAAACTAAAACGTTTCTGTACAGCAAAAGAAACAATAAAACAAAAAAGCAATCTATGAAATGAGAGAAAATATTTGCAAACCATATCTCTAATAAGGTGTTGAAACCTAAAATATATCAAAAAAACTCAATGGCAAAAAATTTTTTAAAAAACCACCTGATTTAAAAATGGGGAAAGGTGGGCCTGACTGGCTCAGTCAGTGGAGCATGGGACTCTTGATCTTGGTGTTGTGAGTTCAAACCCCATGTTGGGTGTAGAGATTACTTAAAAATAAAATCTTTAAAAAATAATAAAATAAATTTTTAAAAAATGAGCAAAGGACCTTCCAAAGAAGATATATAAATGGCAAATAGATATAGGAAAAGGTGTTCAACATCCCTAGTCATTAGGGAAATACAAATCATATCCACAATGAGATTATGACCTCATACCTGTGAGGATGGCTATTACAAAAAAGAGGTAACCAGGGTTGGTGAGGGTATGAAGAAAATGAACTCTGTACACTGTTGGCGAGAATATAAATTGGTACAGCCATTATGGAAAATAGTAAGAAGGCTCCTTCAAAAATTAAAAATAGGAGTACCATATGATCCAGCAATTCCACTTCTGAATAAATATCCAAAGGAAATGAAATCAATATCCTAAAGAGATATCTGCATTCCCATGTCCATTGAAGCATTAGTCACAATAGCTAAGATATGGAAACAATCTGAGTGTCTGTTGATGGATGAATGGATAAAGAATATCACACACACACACACACACACACACACACACTGGAATATTACTCAGCCTTAAAAAAGAAGGAAAGAAGGAAAGCCTGCCATTTAAAACAATGTGGATGAACCTGCAAAACATCATGCTAAGACTCATTCCAGACACAAAACGACAAATACTGCATGATCTCACTTATATGTGGACCTAATTAAGCAGTATGGTGACTATAGTTAATATTTTATACTTGAAATTTGTTAAGACAGTAGATCTTAAGTGTTTTCACCACAAAAAAGAAAATAATAACTAGGTGAGGTGACGGAAGTGTTAATTAGCTTACTTGTGGTAATCACGTATATACATATATAAATCATCATGTTGTACTTCTCAAATATATACAATTTTTATTTGTCAAAATCACCTCAGTAAAGCTGGGAAAATGCAAAAAGAAAAAGTCAAGGTGCCTTTTGTTAAAAGAATAAGAGTATAAGAATATTTATATTTGCAGTCATATTTGCTTACTTATGCCTTATGCATAAAGATGCTCTGGAATTATACATATGAAATTAATGCAAGTGAATATGTAGAAAATATTTAGAAAATGCGGGGAAGGTCAGGGAGGTGGGGTTGATGGGAAAAAAAGTGTGAGTGAGAGCTCTCTATTGTAATCAAAATCATTTGAATGTATTTGCTATTCAAAAAAATTTGAGAAAAAGAGCTAAAAAGGAACTTGCTCAAGATTATGTAATAATAATTGATGGAACTGAGATACGATTCCAGGATTCTGGCAATAGTGTGTGCTTTTTATTGTGCAAAATAAATGCAGAAAATGAGTAAATTCTGTCATGGAACTTCTGTTTTTGCAACCTAAGGCAATAAAGAGGACCAAGAGGAAAAGTGGTTCTTGTTGCTGCCCCAACTCTTGTATCGAGGTAGCTACAGAAGATGGGTGGAGGTGGTTGCTTTTTAGTTGGCACTAGGATTGGGTGGATGGTAGGAGGGTGAGCCCAACAGCACAAAACTATGACTAATAAAGATAGTCAAAGCTTCCTAGTGTGGGAACATAACTTTTAGAGATTGAGACACATCTGGGAAGTCAATAAAGTTACCATAAATTAAGTGATAACGAAGACTTGAGAAAAAATTCACAGTATGTCCTCTCCTTTCTTTTGGATAGACATTTTCCCAGAGATATCTAAGATCTATTCTAGTGACCAGAGTGACAGGAAGTTCTAAGTAGCTGTTTCTAACCATGTCTACAACTTTATCAGTGATGGGAGAGACAAAGGTTTCCAGTTTTCCAACTAGAGAGGAGATATTGGGACTTTGCAAACCACATTAAGAATTTTTTTTTTTTTTTAGAAAACTAGCATTTTAGCTAATCCAAGAGCAGAACTTCTAAGCACAAAGATTTCCTCATCCTACAGGGTCTTTACTTGAGCAAACGGTTTAATTTTTTAAAAAATTCATTTCACTTTAAGAAAATACAGATCTCTGCATTTGGATAATTTCTCAAACCAAATTGGAAAACATTATAAGAAGGTTGTCTATACACAGTACCAAGATGAGTCTTTCACCAAACGTTTGGAGAATACGAATATCAAAGAAGATGGGATCTTGGGCCCTATTATCAGAGCCCAGGTCAGAGACACACTCAAAGTAAGTAACAGAAATAGAGTACCATGGGAGAAATTAAATAGGAAAGACAGTTTATAAGTACTGGTTATTTGTTTGTACTAAAAAGAAATATATGTCCATGTAGTTTTTAATTCAAATGCAACTTTAGTTTTTATGTATTTGCTCTGATTTATAGCCTACCTTATCTGAGACAATTTATCAAATTATAAAGGAATAAAACAAAGAGCCGATGTAATTGAGGTGAAGGATAATATGGGGACAAAGAAAATAAAGCCATGGATAAGTATAATGAAACACATGCCTTATGCTCCTATAAGGTTGCCTACAAATTTTGTCCAAAGCTTTCTAGCATCCGAGTAAAATATGTCAGGGCAAGATTCACAGTAGTCATAAAGAAAACATAATTCCCCTTGACACTGAGGCCAATTTATCCCATGGATCCTTAAAAAGAGGATGCTGTATAATACAGTGGATGGAATCCTTGATAGAATCCCTACAATTGATATAATAAATAAGTTGCTGGGGCGCCTGGGTGTCTCAGTCAGTTAAGTGTCCAACTCTTGATTTTGGCTCAGGTCATGATTTCAGGGTCCTGAGATGGAGCCCACATCAGGCTCCACGCTCAGCGTGGAGAATCTCTGCTTGAGATTCTCTCTCTCCCTCTGCCCCTCCTGCACCACGCGTGCACTTTCTCTCTCAAACAAATAAATAAATCTTGAATGAATGAATGAATAAGTCACATAGCTTTGTAAAATAATGTTTGTCATTATGGCTGAGAACATAACAGTAAATACAATTGACTATAAACAAGTCATCATTGTGCTCTAGGTATGTAGTTCTCCCATGACTGGTCTCTGAGGGAGGTAAATTTAGATATGATTCAAGAACACTGAGTGTTCTTCAGACAGCTTTCCTTAAATAGATGTCACGTCATCGAGCTTCTGATAGGAACTGGGCAGCAGAGAAGTAAATGTTGCAAACTTCGGCAGGATTCTAGAATGTGGGTAATCTACAGATTAAGGATGATCCAAATGCTTTGGCAATCAACCAACAGCAGATAAGATTAAGGTTTTCTTTTGAAGATTAAGAAGCCTAACTAGGACTCCCGTGTAAATAATGCTCCTCCCTTCACCCCTTTGTGGGGGTGAACTAACATATCTGCACACAAGGACAATTCTGTTCATTTAAAAATAACGAAAGGATAGAAAGCAGCCTTTCTCTGTTCTTCTTTCCCTTCCCTCATTTCTGATTTCCCCCATCCCTTTTAGGTGATTTTTAGCAAGTGTAAATATACCTCACTGGAAATTCAGGATCTGGCTATTTGTGTGCCCCTCAGAAGATGACACCAAGGACAGTGTCCTAGGAGATCTGCCAGGCTGGGGAAGGAGATCATGGTCTAAAGAGAAGGAACAGATCTGAAGGCAGATGTGGTCCAAGCTGAGAGGAGAGGGGAAGGGGAATGGGGATCGAGTGATATACTTGGAAAAAGTGATATATTGTGAGGAAAATGTCACTTCTAAGGGCAGACTTCTCTTTCCATTTTCCATCTTACCATGTGAGTGAAACTGTCTCAAAAGTATCTGCCAGGTTACGGGGAGAGGTTGCTGCTCAGAGAAACAGAACTAGTTTGCGTGCATGCACACACGCACCCTCCAACAAGTGAATTTGCAAAGCTAACATCCTATATTAATTCTCACAATTGAACTTAAGTCCTGAAATAATGAATTTGAGTTAACTTTGTAGATCGTGTTCAAAAATATGGCCAGCCGCGTCTACAGCATTTACCCTCATGGAGTGACCTTCTCCCCTTATGAAGATGATGTCAACTCTTCCTACACTTCAGGTTTGAATCAGAGTCTGCTGAACGAAACTATTCACCTCTGAGAGGCTGCCATATTTTCCTAGTGTCCTCGTTGCTCAGTAATATAACTTGTCCAGTCAGGTAGTATACAAGTAGGGTATCCTAAAAGTCGGAACCAAACCCTTCTCACTTAGGGATTTTGTTTACCCTAGTGCTTACCAAATTTGTTGGTGCCATAGCGGCCTCTAGTGGAGCAATCTCTAATGGCGACATGTAATCCAAGGTTAAGTGGAACTTGATAGAAAAATATTCCTTTCCTAATATTAATTGGTTCTAATGAGAACTCACTGTTTGTTTAATGTAATAATTTTGAAAATGAAACAATATTGACTCTATTTTCTTCCAGACAATTACACCATGATCAGAGCAGTTCAACCAGGGGAAACCTATACTTATAAGTGGAACATCCTAGAGTCTGATGAACCCACAGAAAATGATGCACAGTGCTTAACAAGACCATACTACAGTAATGTGGATGTCACAAGGGACATTGCCTCTGGGTTGATCGGGCTACTTCTAATTTGTAAGAGTAGATCCCTGGATAAGCGAGGCATACAGGTATTCTGTCCACAAACTAAACTTTTAGAAATTCCAGGAACTGCTTCAGGCTGGAACAGATTAGGTCTCCTTGCTAAATAATGGGGCCTCTCCTTCTAGAGAACAGAAAATATTATGTTATCTTCTTTAGAGCAAATGTGACATTTATTCCTTTGTGGGTTTTTTTTTTTTTTTTTTCTTGTCTATTTTCATCTAGATTCTTACTCTGGAAGGCCGTTCTATAGTGTGACACCATATTTTGTTTTAGTTTGAAGTTCCAGGTCTTCTGCTATGTCATCAGCAAGCCACCTAGCCTCTCTTAATTTCTTCCTTTTATCAAATGGGTAATATCCTCCTAAAAAATTTTTACAGGGTTTTTTGGGGCTCAGCAAGATACCACCTTGTAAAAGTGTAAAACTCTCTACCAGTCCTTGTTATTTTTAGAGACCTGCACTGGGAGAGATAAGAGAGATAATAGTTTGGAGACATAGAATCTGGTGAAGTTGGACCCAGACAATGGTCCATCTCTAGTGAGACTAAATTATAGAGAAAAAAGTGAACAAAGAGACAGATCTTCATTGGAGAATAATAGTCTCATATTATTAACTTAAAATTCCCAATCAGGCTAAGCTATAATCAAAGAAGTTCATCCTAAGGCATACAAAATAAATATATGCCTAGAAAAATCAGAAATGGACATTTGGAAGACCTTAATTTATTGAGCTATGAAAGGAAACAGGAAGGGAGAAGTAGAAAGCTTTCCTATTGCAACCTTCTGTTTTATCCTTTGCAACTATTTGGAGCATGTCTAGTCAATCATTCAGGTTGAAAGGTGTCTACTTACAGAAATAAAACACAATTACAGCTGCCATGTGGAGATGGAATTTTTCTATTAGGATGTTTTAGTCTCTGAATTTTCTGATCTGCTTTGTTTGTCCTTGCATATTACCTTTGGCTCTAACAAGGGCTTTGTACAAAATGGGCTCTCATAAATGCCTGAATTTATGGCTGCAGTGGCCCCTAGACTGTGCCTCTTTGGTTTCTGAGAAGAACTCAGTGTTGTGGGTAATCAGCTGGAACATTAATCACTGAACACTGAACTTTTATCCTCCAGAGGGCAGCAGACATTGAGCAGCAGGCTGTGTTTGCTGTGTTTGATGAGAACAAGAGCTGGTACATTGAGGACAATATCAACAAGTTCTGTGAAAATCCTGAGAAGGTGAAACGTGATGACCCCAAGTTTTATGAATCAAACATCATGAGCAGTAAGTCAAACCACTGTTTTTGTCCATCAGTTTTTCACTCCTGTGCTTAAAGTATGACTGTGCATAAAGGCAGAGACATGGATTAGAATCCACTCACCTCTTATCCTCACTTGCAATCCAGGGATTTGATGATGAAGTTACTGGGGGATACTATAGCAATCTTTTTACAGCAAGAGGCCAAAAGCTTGTTCTCCTTAAGAAGTCTTCTTGGTCTCGTGCTCCAGATGTGCATGTACGTTTATGCACATGCTTTGGGCACCTCCACTCTGGAGGAACAGGCTGAGGGGTGGGAGTGGTGAAGAAAGGGACTACAGGCCTTGGTCAGTGGTATATGGGGATTTTAGACTGGGTGCAAGGTGAACAGTCTTTATAGGCAGGGCAGAAACAAGGTAAGTAATCCAAAGCTGGAAGGTCAAATCAAATGAAGGCAAAAGGCAGATGGGGAGCCAAGAATCATAAAAAGCCAATCCATGAAGAGGTTTGAAGTGAGCAGTGAGAATCTTGTTCAGAATAGAAGGAATTCCCTAAGCCAAAGTTCAGGCATTTGCTGTAGTTTTCAATTTCAGCACCTAAAGCCACTGCTATGAGAAGTCTAAGAGAAATTTCAATAAGCCAGTTAGAAGCAAACTTTGCCACGGTGGTCAGGGTCCCCACCACTATTCCTCAGAGTCAAGAGCCATTATGATCACCTTCTCTGATAGGTAATCATAGACATGAGGATGACTTCTCCATGGTCTGTTCACATAGTTTCAGATGAATTATTGGAATTCTCAGAACTGGCAGATGCCCTGAAAATAATTCCAAACCGGGAGTTACTCAGCTTTCTTTGCATAATTTCATTTTTGGCAGTGAATCTGTCATAGGTTTGGGTTAGTGAGAAATTATGTATGAGCTACATATATCATTTAAAATTTTCTAGTAGCCATATGAAAAATTAAAGAGAAATATATCCCAAATATTATCATTTCAACACACAACCAATATAAAAATTGATGAGATTTGCTTTCTTTATTTCGTACTAGGTCTCTGAAATCTGGTGTGTCTTTTGCACTTAACAGCACATCTCAATCCAGATTATCCACACTTCAAGTACTCAATAGCCACTGTATTTAGTGGCCACTGTATTAGACAGTACAGCTATAGACCATTTAGAAGAGCCTCCTGAATGAAATACAAACTAAAAACATATTGTCATTTAAGTGTTCACTAGTGCCAGGCATCATACTAGTATCAGGGCTAGAGTGGGAACGCAGGTAGAGGTGGGCCCTGTCCTCATAGAAATCAAACCTGTGATTTTATTACCATGCCTAGAACCTAAGTAAATAAATATACTGCCAAAAGCTGTGTCCCTTTGAAAGATAGTGAAAATGTGTGAACTCGATACTTGAACAAAAACTATGGACTATCTCAATGATAAGAGGGAGCAATAAAAATTGCCAAATGTGCTAAATATGCATGCCTTTTAGGGACATTACTTCTTATTCACCAGCTAATGTGTCAAGATGAATTTCTTATATTATGCTTTTCTTCCAGGTAGAATTATTCTAGATAATATTGTAAGTTGAGGTTTAGACTATTTTAAAAGCAGAATGTGGAAAACAAAGCATTTGATACACACTGGACAAATGAATGAATAAGTCAACGAGAATGAAAGGCTTTGTCTTTCTCCTGATATTTCTCCATTGGCTAACTTAGGAAAATAAGTTCTCATTTGGGAAGTCTGAGTTTGATCTAGTCACTAGGTAGACCTGGTGAAGCTTATCATAATCACTGCTTTGACACAACCAAATTAATATTGGGACGTTAATCTTAGGTATAATTAGCCACACGCCCCTTTGTCGGCAGAGGCTTGCATGTTAACAGATTTTACTCTTTCAGCGATCAATGGCTATGTGCCTGAGAGTATACCCACACTCGGATTCTGCTTTGATGACACTGTCCAGTGGCACTTCTGCAGTGTAGGGACCCAGGATGACATTTTGACCATTCACTTCACTGGGCACTCATTCATCTATGGAAAGAGACATGAGGACACCTTGACCCTCTTCCCCATGTGTGGGGAATCTGTGACTGTCACAATGGATAATGTTGGTAAGAGCCTGGACACTTGGAGAGGAACCTCTGATCTATAAAGTTCTGCTGCAGCTTCCCAAACTATCACAGTTCCTGAGTTTATCTTTCTGATCCCTTACAGGCTTTCCTTTCAATACTTCTCGTGATTTCTGTTTGGAGAATTAATTACTTAAATGGGTCTAGTCCTTTAATGTGGGTTCCATTTTTCCTTCTCTGGGCTAAGTGAGAAGGAAAGACACAACAGCAAAAAGATAAGGTATGACTTTGAGGAGGAAGCATGAACATTCAGCCACAAAAGAGCATTTCTTTTATCAAAATGGCCTTTTCAGTTTTTAAAGCTAGCCATGACACTGTGGGTTAGTTAGTGATCATCAGATACAGTACCTCGGAGTCTGGCCTCAGAGATGCAGTGGAAAGCATGGAAAGCACATGGGCTTTGGAGTTCCTCCAATGTGCTCTGGCACTCAGTATCTTTGTAACCTTGGACATGTTATTCAACCTCACTGAGCTTCCTTGTATTCATCTCAAAAACACAATCACACTTTACAGGGTTGCTTTGACCATTTATTGTCTTATATACCAAGTGCCTAGCACTCAGCAGACACTCAACAAGTGGTAACGATTGGAGACTCCCCAGGAAATCTGTATGCCAGAAAATAATACCATTTCAAAGAGATTCAAAATTGCCCTGGGCCCACCTGAATCACCTACTGCTTAGAAATATCTAGATGTTTCTTACATCATCCTCCCCCTCACTTCAGTTTTCAAACAAGATGTGCAGCCAACAAGATGTTTATGATATTCAAAGCCCACTTGATTCTTAATTCATCCCTTTTCAAATATATTCTAAAACAGTGACTCTTAAACTATCTGTGCTAAGAGTTTTCTCCTAATCTCCATTGATCAATACTTTCAGTCTATATTCTGTTATATGAGATAAGTGCACTGATCACATGCTTGGATGCACAGCAATGTCAGATTGCTAAGCAGTTTTATAACACCTTACACCCGGTTTCTCTCCATATGTCACTATAGGAGATAATTAACAGTTCCCAGGTCAGCAGTGACCCACAGACCACACTTGTTATCCCTAGCTGAAGTTCCTTGAAAATTATCTGCCACAATGGATCCTAGGGTTTTTATATCTTTTTCTGGGCTTAGAGCTCTCTGTTTTCTCTGTCTCTCTTCTGTAGGTACTTGGATGTTAACTACAATGAATTCCAATTCAAGAAACAAAAACCTAAGGCTGAGATTCAGGGATGTTAAGTGTATCCGGGATGATTATGAAGACTCATATGAGATTATATATGAACCTCCAGCATCTACAGTCATGACTACACGGAAAATGCGTGATTCTTCAGAAAACAGGGGTGAAGAGGATGATGCTGACTATGATTACCAGAACAACCTGGCTTCATGGTTAGGAATTAGGTCATTCAGAAATTCATCACTGAATCAGAAGGAAGATGAGTTTAATCTTACTGCCCTAGCTCTGGAGAACAATTCTGAATTCATTCCTCCTAGTACCAATACAGCTGTTAATTCAAATTCCTCTTCCCTAAGTAACATTAGCAGGCTTATTGTCTATAACTTTGCAAAGCCTCAAAAAACTCTTCCTCACCCAGCAGCCACCATAGCTGGTCCCCCTCTGGGACACATTGGCTTAGACAAGAACTCAGCTCTCAACCGTTCAAAAGCAGAGCATTCCAGCCCTTATTCTGAAGACTCTATGGAGGATCCTCTACAGTCAGATATCACAGGGATAAGTCTACTTCCACTTGATGCAGAAGGATTCAGGAGTCAAGAACATACTAAGCATAAGGAATCCAAGAAAGGAAGAGAGCACACAGCAAAGCATAGGTTCTCCCAAGTGGGATTTTCAGCACATAAAACTGGGCGACATTTAAGCCAAGGCAACTCTTCTCCTTCCAGAATGGGACCCTGGGAAGACCTTCCCAATGATCTGTTACTCTTAAAACAAAAGAATCCATCCAAGATTTTGAATGGGAAATGGCATTTGGTGTCTGAGAAAGGTAGTTATGAAATAGTCCCAGAGGCTGATGAAGACATGGCTGTTGATAAGCTGCTGGACAGCCCCCAGAATGCCTCAAGGACTTGGGGAGAAAACATCCCTCTCACAAACAAGCACAGAAAGAAGAATGGCCACCCAAAATTTTCTGGAATTAGAAAGAAATCTCTACAAGTAAAACAGGATGGAGGAAACAGTGGATTGAAGAAAATCCATTTTTTCATTAAAACACGAAGAAAGAAAAAAGAGAGGCTTGCACACCATATTCCTCTATCTCCAAGGGGCTTCCACCCTCTAAGAGGAAAGGCCAATACCACATTTTCAGATAGGAGACTTGATCATTCATTGTTACCCCATAAATCCAATGAAACATCTTTTCCCACAGACCTCAATCAGACATTCCTCTCTGTGAATCTTAGCTTGTTAGACTCACTTCCTTACCATAATCACAATCCCTCAAATGACACCAGTCAGACAAGCTCCCTTTTAGATCTTTATCAGACAATACCCCCAGAAGAATATTATCAAACATTCTCTAGTCAAGACTCTGGTCAAATGCACTCCACTACAGACTCTAGCCACACATCTCCTCCAGAGCTTGGCCAGATGCTCGACTATGACCTAAGAAACAAGCCATTCCCTACTGACATTGGTCAAATGTTCCCTTCCTTGGAACCTGAAGCCTGGCAGGCAACCATTTCTGCAGATCTCAGTCAACCAAACCTTTCTCCTGATCTCGACGATACAACCCTTTCTCCAGACCTCAGCCAGACAACATTTCCTCCAGACCTCGACCAGATAACATTTTCTCCAGATCTCGATCAGACAACCTTTTCTCCAGACCTTGACCAGACAACCTTTTCTCCAGACCTTGACCAGACAACCTTTTCTCCAGACCTGGACCAGAAAACCCTTTCCCCAGACCTTGGCCAGACAACCTTTTCTCCAGACCTTGACCAGACAACCTTTTCTCCAGACCTTGACCAGACAACCTTGTCTCCAGACCTTGACCAGAAAACCCTTTCCCCAGACCTTGGCCAGACAACCTTTTCTCCAGACCTCAGCCAGACAACCCTTTCCCCAGACCTCACCCAGACAACCTTTTCTCTAGACCTTGACCAGACAACCTTTTCTCTAGATCTTGATCAGAAAAGCTTTTCTCCAGACCTCAGCCAGACATTTTCTCCAGACCTCGACCAGACAACCTTTTCTCCAGACCTTGACCAGACAACCTTTTCTCCAGACCTGGACCAGAAAACCCTTTCCCCAGACCTTGGCCAGACAACCTTTTCTCCAGACCTCAGCCAGACAACCTTTTCTCTAGATCTTGACCAGACAAGCTTTTCTCCAGACCTCAGCCAGACAACCCTTTCCCCAGACCTCACCCAGACAACCTTTTCTCTAGACCTTGACCAGACAACCTTTTCTCTAGATCTTGATCAGAAAAGCTTTTCTCCAGACCTCAGCCAGACATTTTCTCCAGACCTCGACCAGACAACCTTTTCTCCAGACCTTGACCAGACAACCTTTTCTCCAGACCTTGACCAGAAAACCCTTTCCCCAGACCTTGGCCAGACAACCTTTTCTCCAGACCTCAGCCAGACAACCTTTTCTCTAGATCTTGACCAGACAAGCTTTTCTCCAGACCTCAGCCAGACAACCCTTTCCCCAGACCTCACCCAGACAACCTTTTCTCTAGACCTTGACCAGACAACCTTTTCTCTAGATCTTGATCAGAAAAGCTTTTCTCCAGACCTCAGCCAGACATTTTCTCCAGACCTCGACCAGACAACCTTTTCTCCAGACCTTGACCAGACAACCTTTTCTCCAGACCTTGACCAGAAAACCCTTTCCTCAGACCTTGGCCAGACAACCTTTTCTCCAGACCTCAGCCAGACAACCTTTTCTCTAGACCTTGACCAGACAACCTTTTCTCTAGATCTTGATCAGAAAAGCTTTTCTCCAGACCTCAGCCAGACAACCTTTTCTCCAGACCTTGATCAGACAACCTTTTCTCCAGACCTTGGGCAGATAACCCTTTCCCCAGACCTTGGCCAGACAACCTTTTCTCCAGACCTCAGCCAGACAACTTCTTCTCCAGACCTTGACCAGACAACCCTTTCCCCAGACCTTGGCCAGACAACCCTTTCCCCAGACCTCACCCAGACAACCTTTTCTCTAGACCTTGACCAGACAACCTTTTCTCCAGACCTCAGCCAGACAACCCTTTCCTCAGACCTCAGCCAGGAGACTCTCTCATCAGACATCAGCCAGATGACTCTTTCTCCAGACCTCAATCAGATGCTCCCTTCCCCAGACCTCAACCAGGCAACTCTCTCTCCAGACATTAGCGAAACGGCCCTTCTTCCTGATCTAGAGACATCACCTCCTCAGACATCCTACACCTCTGAATCTAGTCAGTCAGTGCTTCTTCCAGAATTTGGTCAGACTTTCCCTTATCCAGACCTAGATGAGGTGCCATCTCTCCCACCATCTCCTACCCTAAAGAACACTTTTATGCCAAGAGAACTTAATCCACCCATTGTAGTAGGCCTCAGTGCAAATGATGGAGATTATATTGAGATTATTCCAAGGCAGAAGGAAGAGAGCAGTGAAGAATACATTGCTGAAATTGATTACGTGGCCTATGACAACCCTTACCAAACTGATACTAGGACAGACATTAACTCCTCCAGAAATCCTGACAACATTGCAGCATGGTACCTCCGCAGCAACAATGGAAACAGAAAACATTATTACATTGCTGCTGAAGAAGTATTCTGGGATTATTCAAAATTTGCTCAAAGGTTTGGCCAAATTTTCTCTTTTTACATTCTCATTTTTCCACTACTGCTAAAAAGATTGTTAAAGTCCAAGGAAATAATTCTGGGCAAATTATACTAAGTATAATTTAGGTCCCCTATTGCCACTTGCCCTATACAATTTCCTTTGTCAATTCCAAGGTTAGCTTCTCTACATTAGGGGACATTTGGATAATATAAGAACAATCACTGTAAGAAATCTATGATATTCTATAAAGAAGCCCCCTCTTCTCTCTTCCGCTCTCACCACACATGTTCCTACCCCCTTTCCTTGCCTCGGCGCAGAGCCCAACCTATCCATAGCTATCTGCTAATCAACATGATTTCATTGAAGTTGGCTTCAAATCCAAATTTGTAATGTAGAAATCTCCTTTTGCACTTGGTTATCAAAAAATATTTTTAAATTGTTTACTGATCAATGTAAAGTATACAGCATCTTGGTGACGTCTGATTCAAATTACATGAGATTCCAGTAGCAGAGGCCAAGGATATAAACCAGTTTAGAAAGAAAAAGCAAGTTTATACCTTCAACTGAGGCAGTCATTCAATGATGATTTACCTTGATTTAAACTTGAGTTTTAACTTGGCTTATAGAATCACTCATTTAATAACTTCATTTTTTAAATGAAGGTGTTACACCAAATGGCCCCCAAGATCCTCTTCGGATTTAACATTTCAGGGTTCCAGCCACTCTTAACCGTAGAGTTGAAGGAGTTCATGCAATTTTGTAAGTGGTCTAACTTACAGCAGAGAGTTTCCAAGGGATCTATAGACATTTTTAAAAGAGTTTTCAATTCAATTCTGCTTAAGGATGGAAAGCCATAATGGGCTGGACTCTGTATTCTGGGATGACAATATAGGGAAAGAAGAGAGGGAGGGACAAGGAGCAAGGCTTAGTCAGCTACAGATTCTCAGGACACAGCATGGTGACCATGCTTAAACTGTCTAAATATAATACACAACTTTTACCAAAGCTAACAGTTACACTAAAAATCAAAAACCAGGGGCACCTGGGTGGCTCAGTTGGTTAAGCGACTGCCTTCGGCTCAGGTCATGATCCTGGAGTCCCGGGATCGAGTCCCGCATCGGGCTCCCTGCTCGGCAGGGAGTCTGCTTCTCCCTCTGACCCTCCCCCCTCTCATGCTCTCTCTCTCTCATTCTCTCTCTCAAATAAATAAATAAAATCTTTTAAAAATCAAAAACCAAAGTGTAATTAGAGTAAGCAAACGCAATGCATGGTATGGCTTACAGACAAAAAAAAAAAATTTTCATTAATCTGATGTCTGCCATTTCCATATTAGAACTCTGTTAATTTAAAACACATTTTCAGGACATGTGGGTGGCTCAGTTGGTTAAACTTAACAACTCCTGATTTCGGCTCAAGTCATGATCTCAGGGTTGTGAGGTTGAGACCCACGTCAGGCTCCATGCTGGGCATGGAACCTGCTTAAGATTCTCTCTCTCTCCCTCTGCTCTTCCTCCCACCCCCTCCCCCCAAAAATAATTAAAAAACACATTTTCCTATGACTTCCTATTTAAATGTAGCACCCATTGCTATATAAGAATAAATAGTTTATCTAGGGATTTCTAAGAGAGGCCCTGAAGGAGTAAGATTTAGGGCCTTTCCAAAGTCGAAAGGGATGGAACCAGTTCCTTCAAAATCTTATATACCATTACAGATATGCAACCCATGTTTATGGCAGTCAAAGTTGCTTTACTTGTCCCCATGTGTTCTGTGAAACTATGTTATGCTTAGTGTCTGGAAGGATGGGGTCAGTAGGGTAGGAACACTGGAAAGAAGGCAGAATGGGTTTCTCTGTTGATGGCTCATGGTGCATAACAAATACCATGAGACTGATGGATGAGCTTTTGGCCTATTTCCATAGGCTTGGGAAATTTAGGAGTCGGTGAGAAAATATGATGTGCTCTGGCCCCAGACTGAACTGGTGAATTACACAAGGAATAATGTCATTTTAAAAAAAGAAATGAGAGAAGAATGGCTACTTTCAGAGTATAAAACCCCCAGCCATCTAGTGGCCTTCACAGGGGTGACCATTGATACCTGACAGCCCCAAGCCCTGGCACTATCCAATTGCCTGGCTTTGTCTGCGTCTGATATTAAAAATCTGCTATGTGATATATGATTGTATTTGTTCATTAATGCATTAAACAAAAATCTATCAAGTGCCTACTATGTGCCAGATAACTGGCTAGGTACTAAAAATAAAAGAATGAGCAAATTAGGCATGATCCCTGACCTCATGGGGTTTTCACTCTAATATTAGAGTCAGATTCGAATAGATAACCTCACAAATAAATGACATATAATTTACTATATATACTAGAGAAATATAAGAATACTACAGGAATATACTGTATATACTATAGCAACACTATGGAAACTTAAGAAATAATATAGAGAGATTTGACATATAAAGGTTTATAGGAGGACTTACCTAAGAAATGATATGTGAGCTCGGATCTGAAGGATATTTACTGGCTTAAGTTTTTACTTATTCATATTTTCATTCATTTGTTCTCCAAGTACCAATTAAATATTCATGCTAGATACTATACTCAGAAACAGGGATAATTCCCCCAATTTCTTTGAGTGGTCTTTCATTTGTTCTTTTAAACAAATAGTATTCTTATTATTATTTCAGCGAAGACATTGATGATGTTCCAGAAAATACCATATACAAGAAAGTAGTCTTTCGAAAGTACCTTGATAGCACTTTTACCAAACGTGATCCTTTGGGGGAGTATGAAGAGCATCTCGGCATTCTTGGTCCTATTATTAGAGCTGAAGTGGATGATGTCATCCAAGTAAGTCATTTTTTGAGCATTGCTAAGATCATCAGAGGAATTTCCACAAGCACCAGAGGGCTGTAACAGTGAAAGGGGCAGGAGGGATACAGGTAATTTATTTTCCAAAATTAACAAATAATTATACTTCTTTTCAGAGACTGCTTGCCAAGTAATTAGATAATCTTCAAAAAAAAATGATCTCAAAAGAGAAGAAAAGAAAAGACAAAAACGATCTCATGAATTTATTTCTTCCTCTCCTGAGCTCCTGTTCATTCCATAAGGGCCAATTCTGTTTTCCCCAAGAGACGTTCTTTACTACCCCAACCTCTCCTGCACATTCAACTGAATTGCTCCTTTCAGGCATTCCCATCTAACCCCATTCATACTTTGTTTATGTACTTTTGGTCTCCAGGTTTTTAACTTGAATCCACATGTGCAGGTGTCTCTTCATCAGGAGGTTGGAAACTTATTGTGAGCAAGACCCAAAGCTCATTCAATCTTCAAATCTGCAGCACCTGCTGTGATCATTTCCTTTGTGCCTAATGTCAATACTTTTGCTTTGAGCCTAAGAACAAACATGTTTTGGTGTTTCTAGGGTAAACTACTTGGGCCCTAGCTCACAGGATGTTGTAAAAATTCAATGAAATAATATACATGTTACTTTGTACTTGTATGCAATTAATATATCCCACTGTATATATATCTAGGTCTCATTTAATAATTAACCATCTACTTTGGCGTATAATTTGGATTTTTGTTGGACTTAAGTACATTTGTGGATCATTCTTTTTTCTAGGTTCGTTTTAAAAATTTAGCATCCAGACCATATTCTCTTCATGCCCATGGGCTTTCCTACGAAAAATCGTCAGAGGGAAAGACTTATGAAGATGACTCTCCTGAATGGTTTAAGGAAGATAATGCTGTTCAGCCAAACAGCAGTTATACATATGTATGGCACGCCACCACTCGATCTGGGCCGGAAAATCCTGGTTCTGCCTGCCGGGCTTGGGCCTACTACTCAGCTGTGAACCCGGTGGGTACACCCATTGAAAGTTTTTGTCATTCCCCTAACCTCATAACCTGAGTCCACCAGACGGAAGGGTCAAGATGATTTCTCGTTAAATGTCTTGCTTTCCATGAGGAATGTGTAAGGATTATGGTCAACAGTCTATAGCGACTTGCCTTCAGATGACCGTGAGAGAGAAACATGTGCTCAGTGGCGAGGAATGAGGGGTACTGAAATGGTTGACCCCAGTCAGAGTGACTACCTTTGCAGAGGAAGACATTTTTTTCTATTTCCTTGAGCAAGTATTAGCTTTCTTTTGCTCTTTATGAGAGAGCCGCAAAGTCAAGATGCCTTCGTTTTGGGCGTGGTAGAGAGAGAGCACAGACTTCGATTTCAATCACTATCCTGTCACTTACTGTGTGGGCCTGGGAAAGTTACTTGACCTCTCTCAGCCTCAGTTTCTAAAGTTAAAAATGAGAAAACAGTAGGTACTTGGTAATATTTGTTTAATAAGTGAGCTTATTTTTATTATACAAGATTGTTGTCTGAATTAAAGAAGATATTACCAGCAAAATATTTACTATAATAGTAGATGCTCAATAAATAGTAATTATAATAGTATTGATATTGTCATTAACATTATCATTACTGCCATGCTGAGATAAAGGACTAATCAGAGGAAGGGATGATGAGTGCCACAGAATCAGATGATCAGATGATACCCAGGCTTAGTAACCTCTTCATTTATAATCTTCAAATTCAGAGCTCCTGAGGTTTCCTTTTCCATATCATCAGTGATTGTCAGAAGAGCAAAGGAAATCCTGAGAAAGAGAAAATCTGTGCATTTTGCTCCTACTGTCTTCCAGGAAAAAGATATCCATTCTGGCTTGATAGGTCCCCTTCTGATCTGTCAAAAAGGAGTACTTGATAAGAGCAACACACCGGTGGATATGAGAGAATTCATCTTACTTTTCATGGTCTTTGATGAAAAGAAGAGCTGGTATTATGAAAAGAAGGCCCAGTCCCCAAGGCCTTGGAGACTTGCATCCTCAGAAGTAAAAAACTCCCATGAGTTTCATGGTATTTTCCTCTCACTTTGATCTAATCTCTGAACTAAATCACATGGGGTGACCATGATTCTTGCCCTAGGTCTTCATAAGATTAGACAGGAGGTGCTTCTGAAGAATCAGGAGCTACAACCCATACCAGGTCCTTAAATGTCTGAGGGCTGATGTCGCCCAGCAGGTGGTGCTGCACATATAGGAGCTAGAGAAGGTCTGAAAGAGAGCACAGGAGCCTGCTGCAGAACAAACGCAACCAACCAACCAACCAACAAAAAGCCAGTGTGCAGCAGCTGGTAGCATGAGTCAAAAAGGAATTGGCATTACTCTGCAATATAAACAGTTAATAAACCTGTTCCTTGATCACTAAAGGAATGATTGTTTGTCTAGAAGAACTGATCATCCCTGTGTACTTTCTAAAGAAAAATGATGGTGGCAGTTCCAGCTGTCAGCAGTTCTCAGGTGGCATCCGAAGCATCTAGAACAAAACAAGATAGGACACTGGGTAGTTGGGTGATAGGAGAATCGTGGCAAGGGAGCATCTTTTGGGGGGGAGGGGGGCGAAACATATGTACTCTGAACTCCTTTTCTAGGCTTTTCAGCCCAGGGCACTTGGTCTCAGGCGTGGGAAGCACACTCTTCTGAAAACCTTCCAACCTAGTGAGAAAGCATAGCCCCAGAATCAGATAGGCTTGTCTCTTGGCTATCCCATTACTTCTGAGTACCCTCGAGCCACTGCTTCCCAATTCCTCAAAGAAAGAGTAAAATTCACCGGATATAGCTTAGTTTTAAATATATTGTAGTTGAAGTCTCTGTAATTAGGTAATCCCCATGGTGTAGTATTTATCAGGGTACCTGCTGAGCAGACCACCTGAGTTCCCAGCCTCAAACTCAGCACCTGGCCTTTGCAGTATGTGTTCAGTAATTGTGTGTTGAATTACTGAATAAATGGATGAATTCTATCATTCAGTTTAATTTATCAAATGTTTGCTGAGCACCTGCTATGTTGAAGTCTTCATTCCATATCCTAATGAGTTAGCAATGTTGACCTAAGAATCACTTGAGATCTATTTCCTGCCCAGATGAGGGAGTAAGGACTGGTGTTAGGAGTGGGAAGACAGGTGCTCTCATACCTAATGTAACCTTAAGGGTGCGAAGATGATCTCAACTCCCTCCCTCCCCAAATTCACTTGCTCAGTTCCTGAAACTCCATAGTAGTTCTTTTAACTTTAGAATAACATTACTAATAAAAACTTCACTCACTTCAATCTCAATTAAATGCATGGTAGCCCAAAGCTGTATCATTAACATTTTTTATTATTTTTTAAGGTGATTAAGTTTGTCAGGTGATTTAAACACACACACACACACACACACACACGTTTCACTGAGTGGAGAGTGGATGAAGCCTGAGAACCCTAGACATTTAAGCTGGGAAGGGGACAGAGGAGCTATATCATAGAGAGAATAAACATGAACCTCAGTCGTCTGCCTTCCTAATTTTGCCTAGAACTATCTCTGAATTTAGGAGGCCTCTGGGTGATGTGCTGTGTATCCCCTCACTCTCTTTCCTCTAACCACTGGAGTTCACTTATCTGGCTCATATCAGTCTTTCTGTTTCTGTAGCACAGGAAAATCCATACTGTAAATATCAAGGATAAGTGAGTGAAGCAGAGAGCAGGGGGAGTGTGAGGTGCAGGGTGGAGAATGGTAAATTCTGTGGGAAACTTCTGTAGGCTGGCATGAGGTTTAGCCTCTCACTGATATCAGAACACCCTGGGGTCCTTACTATATGCCTGGGCAGGCGGAGCGATAGGAAGATGGGTGGTAAGGTGGGATGCCTCAGACCTCTTTAGCAGCCTCTCTGCAGATTTCTAATTGATTGCAACTCTCTGTCCTTTCAGCCATTAATGGAATGATCTACAACTTGCCTGGCCTGAGAATGTATGAGCAAGAATGGGTGAGGTTGCATCTGCTGAACATGGGCAGCTCCAGAGACATTCATGTGGTTCACTTCCATGGCCAGACCTTGCTGGAAAATGGCACTCAACAGCACCAGCTCGGGGTCTGGCCCCTGCTGCCTGGTAAAGATCTGCACAATGAAAAGAGATCCCTGATGAAAAATGGCTAGAGAAGGCAATCTGGGCAACTATCACTGTCCCTCATTCCCTCCTATGCATTTACTTCCTAAGGGTCAGACATGGTTTCTGGCATAGATCCTGGGCAGAGACATATCCCCAAACTGCATACAGAGTACAGAAAAGTCAGCTAATATATACACTCTTTGTGGCACCACACAGACTATATGTGGGGCTCAACTCAGTTCTACAGAGATGCTATGTGTAATGCAGTTTTTCCCAAGCCACTGTGTGTCACGTAGGCCAGGTCTTAAACAGATTATAAAAATGAATCCCACAGGGCTCAGGCAGCTAAAGCTTTCTGTTGGGAAGGAGATTAAAAACTTACTAGGGTTTTGGGATTCTTGAATTCTTGAATTCTATTCCTCACACTCTCACTTTGATACCTTTGGGCAAGTGACTACAGGAATCTTAAACTGACTCAGGATGCTATTTGAAGGGGAAAAAAGTTTTTTTTTTTTTTTAATGATTATAAACGCTAAAGGATAAGAGGGGTATTTAGAACTTTTCATGTACAAAATAACGAAAAGGTTTAAACAAACCAGCCATCACAAAGGATTTTTATGTGCCAGCAAGTTGTTTGTAGGTGTATCTGTGTGGTAGGTGTGTGGGTAGGGTTATGAGTGCTAGGTGCTGCTGAGTCTCAAACTGTAACGGGCATAGTAAAATTCTAGGAAGCTGGTTAAAATGCAAAGGCTAAAGCAGAGATTTTGCTTTCGGAGACTTTGATCTGATAGATCTTGGGATCTTGGGCAGGTGCCAGGGACTCTGCATTTTTAACAAGCAGCCTACCTTCCACAAACGCTCTGAGAAGCTAGTGAAGGCAGTCAATCCCTCGCCACTTTGGATGGAGAAGTTGCTATGTGAGTCAGCCTTAGAAGGGCACAGCAGTCCAAATGGGACTGGTTTGGTTAAGAAGGAGGACAGGGTGTTCTTGTTTGTTTATTCAGGCCTGTGGCTCATTAATAAAGCTATAAAGAGTCACTCTCTTAAAATCAGAGACAAGAGGGGATTAGGTAAACTTACTCCTTACTTTTCACCGAATGTAAATTGCCAGATCAGTCCTCCTTTCCATGAGCCTGTGGGAAACACTGAGAAGCTGGAATTGGCTGGCCCATCCAAATCTTCGAATCTAAATTACCTGTATTGGAGGGAGTGGAAGGCTGCAATCTTTTTAGTGTGCTAAAGGAGGATGACCATCGGCTATTAATTTTCACTCACAATCTGGAAAATAGACATGAATTACGGCCAGCAGAATTTAAGTATTATCTGGCAATGGGTAGCATTAAATATCAGAATGGATAATCAGAAGTTTCAGAAATGTCATTTTCAGTGATTTTCTGAAACAATTTAGGTGCATCTCTATCCAAATATGTAGACTTAATAGAAAATTTGAAAACATGGGAGAAGGATGTTTGATTTTAATTTTCTTATTAAAAAAAAGAAAAGCCAAAGAAATGGGAGAGAAAGGAAACTTGTACGGTATTCTTGAGGCCCAGTGATGAGTCATTCAAGGTCATTTTCATCCTTAGGACTCAGAAGCTGTGCTGTGTATGGGTTAGCTTGTAACATTATATATAGATAACTGAAAGTTTCTTTCTAGTAAGGGGTGTTAGAGATTTTTTTAAGTCCCTGGGCTATTTATTTTTACTAATGTGTATGTATGTCACTGCTTTGTTTTGTTTTTCTGTTTGTTACACCTCTAGTCCTGCCTAAGAGAAATGGATCATTCTTGATTTCTTTTCCAAAGCCTCTTGTGATGCAGGGATTTAGGATTCTTTGATAGCTGTCAATTAATATTGTTAATTTGGGGTGTGTAATGTTGTCCTTCACTCTCTATTTTAGGTTCATTTAAAACTCTTGAAATGAAGCCATCAAAATCTGGCTGGTGGCTCCTTGACACAGAGGTTGGAGAAAACCAGAGAGCAGGGATGCAAACACCATTTCTCATCATAGACAGAGGTACCATCCAAGAGCCATGTGATGTTTTCAGCAGGAGGGTCCCTGCTGGAACATCACTAACTCTTAGATTGGAAATACTGAACTCTGGGAACTCTGCATGACAGAGGGAGAATGTGTACCAGTAACTGCTTTTATTCTGACCCATCGTCAGATTGTGCCACAAACATCAATCTCCTAGGAAACTTAAACCACATATTTCAGCCCAAAGGCATTCTCAGTTGGGGAACCAATATAAAGTGTCTTCCTTCATAATGTGTGATTCGTGGGAAAGTGCAAGAAATTTTCCAGACTCCTTGAGTAGAGGAGGGATAAGATACCAGGAATTCAACAATGACTAGGATAGTCTCTGAACTTGGCATTTCAGTATTTGAGAAATCATTTCCATCTGCCTATCTGCCCAGCCAGCCAGGCAGCATTTATTAAGTACTTGTTGAGTACCAAGCACTGTGTTGACATCCAGATATCTGAGTGGCTGGCATTTTCTTTTGTGATCAGAATGTAAATAACTCTGTAACTTTCAGGTCAACTTTTGGGAACATAGATTTAAAAGGGGTAATACTTAATGTTGTAAAATGTCTTATTTTAAGATACAAGCAGATGGAAATCCATTTAAAACTAATTGAATTCCGGGATTTCCATGGTTTTCCTCTAGGGTATCACTATTTCTGTTAAAGACTAGCACCAGTCTTGCTAGTACATTTACCATTTTATGATCAGACATATTTAAGTCGGTGCCATATAAGGTAGGTGAAGCTATCGAATTGCTGACTCACCAGAGGTATGATCTCTAGCCATGCAGCTTTTGTGTTGTTATATGTATTTTCTAAGCAAAAATTATTCATTGCTGTGTTTGTGTGTGTGTGTTTGGTTTTTGTTTTTTGTTGTTGTTTTGTTTTTGTTTTTGTTTTTTGTTTTTTAGAATGTAAGATGCCAATGGGACTAAGTAATGGTATCATAGCTGATTCACAGATCAAAGCTTCTAAGCATTTGGGTAAGTAATAGCATCATAGCCTTTGGAAGCCATCTCCTACAGTTGTGCAGTATACAGCCTGAAAAACAACCCATGACAACCCTACCTGTTCAATCTATGGATCATTGCTCCTCTCTGGGCTTTTCTCTACCACATGGTAAAGCAGCTCCATCTTGAGGTGCTCATCTGGTAGAGGAAGGAGCAATATGACAGGCGCTAAAACCTGTTGGCATTCCTTTATCACTGCCACCCTCTCTGGTGTATAATGTTCCCAGAGAGTCTGTCCCAGGGAAGACCAAGAGCTAGGGCTTTCTACACAGGCAGTCCAACTTCTCAGCAGGGATTGAGCAAGGAGTGGATTCCTTACTCCTACAACCATGTACCCGTTTCCAAAACTCTCCCCATTCATCCCCATTCCAGGTTTGATCACAAACATAATATTCCAGCCAGATTCACAAGGTCTTATTGGCCAGATACTATTCTCCCAATTAATAGGGCTCTTTGTTGTGCTAACCATTCCTCTATTCAAGAAAGTTTGCTAATCACCCACTGTGTGTCAGGATCTCCTTCTAAATTTCCTCACTCTGCCTCAAAACCCTTCCTAAGACCAAGAGGTCAGTTGCAAGGGATCATGAGGCTCCCATAATCCCTCCCACAACCTCCCCTTAGGCAAGCACACTCAGTAGCAACCACATCAACATAACTGAGAAAAGATAAACGTAACCTGTATGCAAGAAAGGGGGTGGGTGGTGGTTGACAGCTGACCAAGCACTGACCTGAAGCCAAGAAGGTTTCATCATCATGAACTGACTTAGTAGCTGAGGCCCGTGTCAACTGCCTGGTCTCCTAACTTCAACAGAAGCTCCTGCAGAGATCTGGTTTTCCACTGGGACTAAACTTACTTGGGAAATTGCTAGTTATATATTTTTGGTTTGTTTTTTTTAATTCAGAATAAATTTTTTTTCTTTTTTGGATTTAGGTTATTGGGAGCCCAAATTAGCAAGATTAAACAATGGTGGGTCATATAATGCTTGGATCACAGAAAAATCTTCAGCAGACCTTGTTTCTAAACCTTGGATCCAGGTATATCTTATTAACCTGATAATATTTACAGTACCATAATAATAAAATGACAGTGATTTAATTTCTCTTTGTTCTTCTTGCAATGTTCTAGGCACTATCCTAAGTACTTTACTTATTCAAAAATGAACCCTATGAGATTAGTTCTAGTAATAGCCTAGATATCCTTTGTACAGATGATAAAAACTAAGGCACAGAGGGACTAATTGAGTGCCAAAAGTCATGCACAGCTGGTAAGTGGTTGAACCTGGATTCGAGTCCAGGTACTCTGTGCTCACATATGGATTGTATCTAGCCATTTGATTAGCGCTTAGACCTTAGGTGCTGGCTGTTTAGTTCTAAAGAATGCTGGTTACACAGTGAATTAAGGAAGGCAGTGTGTGACTCGTTGACAAGGACAGTCTGTGTAATGGCTTTGCTATATTGCAGGTAGACATGCAGAGGGAAGTCGTATTCACAGGGATCCAGACTCAAGGTGCCAAACAGTATCTGAAGTCCTACTACACCACAGAGTTCTCTGTGGCATACAGCTCTGACCGGACAAACTGGCAGATCTTCAAAGGGAACAGCACAAGGAATGTGATGGTCTGTGTGCCTTGTTTGTTTCTGAGTCTTAAGACTCACCCTAGGCTCGCCAGGTTGCAATGACTATGCCTATCATTACGTCTTTTTAAAAAATACCTTTCTGGGCAGTTGAAATACAAATGGTTTTCTTAGGGCCTTATGAAAGAAAGTTGTACAATGATAGGTCTGTTATTATAAATTAAAGGCATAAGCCTGACTTATGACACTTCAAAACTCTACCAAAAATCACTTTTTGATCAAACTAAATACCCAGACTTCTCTGACTGGCAGATGGTGGACAGCAGAGTCTTGTGTCTTAAGGGGCTCATGCTAAAAACTGGCCTCCAAGAGTTTTGATTATACTAACTTTTACATTTTATTTTGTTCTTTGTTTCAGTGTACCTGAAGGAAATAGCAATGTTAATACCAGTTATGTGCTGGGGCAGTGTGCTTTTCAGACTTTTTTTTTTTTTTTTTTTGCTGCCCTGACTGAGGAGTGACAATCCCCTGCTGGGTCTTTCTGAGACTCAGCCAGGATTATTCCCCAAAACCCATGTGTACCAGCCCTAACTCCTCTTCCTCCCTAATCCCCTTTCCAAAGAGAGCTATCAGAATGTAAGGAGTCAGTCTGCCATTATTACACTGATAACTTTCAATCTGTTTCATTTTTCCTGTAAATTATTTACTATTTTACTAGTGTCTGTATTATATCTCTAGTAATAAATTATTTGCACTATACCTTAGAATAGATCATGAAAATCTCAAATTGTAGCCCTGACTAATCAGTCTTGGAGAGAGAACACAGACTACAGTTAGAGTTCATAGCTTCAAGACTTTTGCACTTATATTCATGAGGAATATTGGTGTGTAGTTTTATTTTTTTGTACTGTCTTTTTCTGGTTTTGATATCAGAGTCATACTGGCTTCATAAAATAATTTAGGAAGCATGCTCTTCTGTTTTCTGGGAGAGATTTTCTAGAATTGGTGTTAAGTCTTTAAATATTTATAGAATTCACCAAACTACATGGGCCTAGAGATTTCTTTTCCAGGAACTTTTAAATTACAAATACAATTTCTTTAATAGTTACTGGCTGTTCACATTATCTATTTCCTATTGGATAAGTTGAGATCGTGTTTTTCTAATCCATTTCCTCTAAGCTGTTAAATTTATGTGCGTAGAGTTGTTTGTAGTATTCTCTTATGCTTTTGATATCTGCAGGGTCTACAGTGATATTAATATTAGTGAATGTGCATCTCTTCTCTTTTTGCTTTGTCATTCTTGCTAGATATTTGCCTTTTTTAAAAATCTTTTCAAAGAACTGGCCCTGTTTCATTGTTTTTATCTATTATTTTTCTAGTTTTCAGTCTTGCTGCTCTTATTTTCTGTTTTAGCTGGCACTTTCTGACACTGGTCTGGCAAGGAAAGGGGCTGGGGCACACCTCATCACTGCCAGGTGGACTTCGAAGTCCAGGTTCCCCACTGAAGGAGGACTGCTCCTCTTTGCTGTTGGGTGGGAATGGGAGAGTCTCCACTGATACTATAGTGGTGGGAGCCTTATTAGGAGCTGGTGGGCATGAAAGTCCTGGGTTCCTATTTGGCCTTCTCTGACACAATCCCAGTGAGGGTGTTGGGGTGCCTTGTTACAGTCTTACAAGCATGGAAGTCTAGGCTCCCCACTTGGCCTTTGCTGTTCTGGGTGGGGCCACGGTGTTTTCTATGATGTTTAGCTAGAAGTAGAGCAATCACTGTCTGAAAGTTTTCTGTCTTGCTAGACTGCCCTTTCCTGGTCCTGTGGCTAGAGAAAGGAAGATTTTGCCAGAGCTTTTTTTTGTGTGTCTGTACCCAGTGGTGTTTCCTGGTTGCTGGCCTCTTCACTTCCCAATCTGGGATATATGAGACAAAAATAAAACCCAGAGAGCCCACTACCATGTTGTTCCTTGGGTCCCAAGAACCCTAACCCGTCTGCCTTCTTCTCTTCATCTTTCAGTGGCTTCCTATGTTTTAGTTGTACTTAGCAGGAGGAACAAGGCAAAGTACATCTACACCATCTTCCTGAAGTGAAAGTATCTCCAGTTATTAAGACCAAGTGATTTAATTCAGGCCACATGAAAACTTAATATGACAATATTAAATTAAACTGAAATTTTATTATAAAATCACTTTATAAAGAATTGTTCCATAACTAAGCTTTCCTCTTTTCCTCTAGTATTTTGGTGGCAATTCGGATGCCTCTACAATAAAAGAGAATCAGTTTGACCCACCTATTGTGGCTAGATATATTAGGATCTCTCCAATTAGATCCTATAATAGACCTGCCCTTCGATTGGAGCTGCAAGGTTGTGAGGTTAACGGTAAGAAACGAAGATGCATTATTGTCCCGCTGCTTCCTAGAGAATCAAGCTTTAGTAGATACGGAAGAATGGGTAGAATTATTAGTTCTCTTCAATCACAGAGGTGCCTAGAAAAACCTTGGTGAAACAGGTTCTGCTCAGGTAAACTATTCATTTACATTGTGACCTGGACCAAGACTGTTCTACCAGCCAGCAGGCAGGCACCATCTCCAAACAGTGCCAGGATGGCATGGATGCTGGCATGACCCTCCAAGGAAAGGCCCTAGCTTCAAATAACCTCCATTGGCCCATTTCAATAAGAACTAAGATTCAGACTAGGCCCGAATCTTCTGAAGTCCAAAAGGTCACACTCAGGCTTTAATGTAACGAACGTATCTAGCAACATTACTGGCATGTATTAGATGTTCAGTGAATGTTTTTGAAATCTAAACTGCTTACCAACTTCCTGAAACTTTTTTTTTAAGATTTATTTATTCATTAGAGAGAGAGAGAGAGCGCTGACGGGGAGGGGCAGAGGGAGAGGGAGAGGGAGAGAGAGAATCTCAAGCAGACTCCCTGCTCAGCACGAAACCCGAGGCAGGGCTCGATCTCACGACCCTGAGCTCGAATCAAGAGTTGGATGCTTAACCAGCTGAGCCACCCAGGCACCCCCCCCCCTCAATTTCCTGAAACTTTGATTGAACTCTGCATTCTGTTTGGCGCTCTATAAAGGTACTCAAGCTTTTTCTATGTAAGCTGCTGTTTTTCAGGGGATATAATGTGACCTATGGTATAAATAAATCCAGGTAATCATAAATGGCCATAATAAAATTCTATTATATAGAACAAAGAGTCACTGTTTTTTTCTTTATATGGTATATGATGTAAATAGTAGTTTGTTCAGATCAGAGTCAAACAATCTAAAATGTGACATTCAACTCTGTTAATCTATTCAAAACATCTATTTTCTATTCAAGAAGCATTGCTTTTTAAAAAATCTCTTCACTTTCTTGATATAATCAGTATTAGCAGTAGGTTTTCTTTTTTTAAATCTTTTTTTCATGGAGAAAGATATCACTTCAAGAAAATGTCAGCATGATTTACCCACAAGAACAAAGCGTCAGATAGATGATGATGATGATGGGCAGTTGGCTGGGCTCACTCACTAGCTATTTTTCTCATATCCACAGACCAGCTTTGAGGACTAACATGCAAGTGCACACCTTGGCAAAATTCTAAATGGTGCATAACATGAATCACCCTCAAAGGGTTGAAAATAAACCGTTGAACGTGACTACCAAGAGTCCACTGTATCTTCTTCTTTGTAGCATTTTTTAGAAAGAGAAATAGAATATATTCTTATATACATAGATAACGTAGGAATATTTTCTACCTCAAAGAAAAGACAGAAGTTTCCATGACTCTCTGAAGGAGGAAAATGCGTTTAAATATTTAGAACATGGTGTTTGGGTATCAGACTTCCTGGGATCCAATTTAGTTTCTGATTCTGCTAGTAGTGTTACTTCAGGCAAATTACTTTTTCTTGCTGTGCTTTTGTTTTCTCACTTGTAAAATAGAGGCAATTAGGAGCATCAGGTAACACAGGTAGAGCCTAAAAACAGGATTTGGCACTTAGGCAATAACATCATTGTTGGCGATGGTTGTTTTTGTTGTTACTTAATAGTGATATTTTTTCTTTTCTCCTCACAGTGCAAACCACCATGCAGGGAATAGTGGTAGTGCATAATTAATCACATAACTTTCTCTTGACAGGATGCTCCACACCGCTGGGTATGGAAAGTGGAAAGATAGAAAACAAGCAAATCACGGCTTCCTCGTTTAAAAAATCTTGGTGGGGAGATTACTGGGAACCCTTCCTTGCCCGTCTTAATGCCCAGGGTCGTGTAAATGCCTGGCAAGCCAAGGTAAAATCCGCCTATGAATGGAATTCTCTCAGCCGTCCAGAAGAAAGCAAAGGCCCTCACTACAGGAACCATGGGGGTCCTGGGAAGTCAGAAAATAATCTCCCGTTTCTGCAGATTATGATCCTAGGTCTGAGAATCTAGGATATCTATTGACTTGATAACTTTAGCTCTGACTTTGGCTCAGAGAGGTTATTTATCATCTCTGTGGTTCTTGGTCTAGTCTTGATTTTTATCAGGGGTGGGCAAATTTCTTCTGCAAAGGACCAGATAATAAATATTTTAGACTTTGTGAGCCATACATTTTCAGTCATAACTACTCAACTCTGCCATTGTAGCAGGAAAACAGTTATAAACAATACATCAATGAGCATGGCTGTGTTCCAATAAAACTTCATTTACAAAAACAGGAAGGGGGCCAAATATGGCCCTTGGGCTATAGTTTGCCAACTCCTAATTAAAACAACATATATTAGTGATAAATGATTCAGATTTGCAGCACTTTCTTTTTTTTTTTCACAATTTAACAATACTTTTCATTTTCTTAATAGCGCTATTTAAATTTTTTTTGTTCCCTTTTTTTGAGAACTTTGTGACATTCCTTTAGACAGTTGGAGGCATGGCAAAATGCTGCAAAACCAGGGTTATAAATCAGTGGCCTAAGTTTAATAAGCATCTTCCAGAGAGTCATATTGCCCCTAATATTAACCCACTGGATAATTCCAGTGACTTAGTTTCAGGATAACAGTTAATAGTTGACTCATTTTTATTTCACTCTTCAACTGACTTGAAAAATCACAATGGCATCAGAAATCAGAATGATTCTGTCAGTCAACTTAACCCTTCCTTATTTTCTATTCTCCTATGTCCCTCCCTTAAGATACCTACATTCCAGTTCCCTGGACTCCATAGAATTCCAGGTCCTATCCGTATGTTAGGCTGTCAGCATAGTAGTGGAGAAAACAGAAGAGCTTGGACCCCAAACAGATAGTCTTGGGAACTGACATCTGTGTCTCGAAACTCATTTCTGGTCCATCACAGACTCACGGAATGTAAGAACAGCAAGGGGTTTAAAAGCGTCCGGTCCAGACTTTTTCTTTTAAGTTTAAACACAAAGGAGATTAAATCATTTTAGCTTAGTTTGGTGGCAGAATCAGGAAGCCCATTCTCCTGATGGTCAGTGATCCTCCCACCATTTGAAGACACTCAGACACCTCATTGTGCAATTTTGCAGAAGGGGAAACAGAGACCTAAAGAAGTTAAAATAATAAAAGTAATGATGTTATAATACATTACATTTATATAATTATATAAATAAAATAATTAAAAAATGAAAGAAAAAGTTAAGGAGAAAGGATGTCATCCAGTTTTTTCCCAGATAACTCTTTAGATCTGCTCATGGTATAACTTTGTCACCCTACCCTGTATTTTACAGCTTTTTGAAAAATTTTGCTCTGTATATAATTTGCTCTTAGTCTTTGTGATATAATAATGGCTTCAAAGATGAAATACTAATTCTAAATTTTAATGCCATCATTTTAAATCTGGAATTCTAGATCAGAACTGTTTCACTTCATCTTCTAGTAGAATCAAATATCTTTATAGGGTCTCTTTAGAGAGGGTAAAAAAATATCAGCCAGACTGAGGCAGGCACACATGCATACTGAGGCATCTCTGCCTCTTTTATACCTATAAAAATTGTTATGTCTTCAAAACCCTCTAGCTCTCTACCTCTGTATCACTGGTACGACATGGATTGGATACTATACAGCTTGAAGATACACTAAGAAACCACCAAATGTCACTAGAGGGTGTTACAAAATTAACAAAAATTAATTAATATAATAATTTTAATTCAATTAATTTGCTTTAAAAATACATATAGTATATGAATTATACATATATCTGTGTATCAATATATACACATACATACATGTACACATAAGTGATGTTAAAGAAATATATCACTATTTATTATTTCATATAGAACTGAATGAGACTATGGGGCATGATAAATCTCCCAAAGGTGAAAATTTGTCTCAGATTACTCCAAAACTCAGTTAGCCCTTCTGATCCTCTTTCTCCAAGTATGATTAGGCACTTCATTAGGCCAGAGACAGGACAGCTACCATACCATACCATATCAAGTCCTAGTCATGGCTTTATTAGGTCTCTCAAGTATTACATTTATTTGAAATATCAGAAAAAAGAAATTGGACTACTCCTCCTGGTTGACATAAGCAAGGGAAAGAAAAGTGGAACTTTTTCTAAAATAAGTTAGAGAGAGGATGCTACCCAATTCTTTCCCAGATAACCCATCAGCAATATCATCATGGCATTTAAACAAATTTGGTTAAGAGAATAATATTTACAGATAATTTAGCAATCTAATATTTTTTCTCAAGTAAGATTCATTTATTTATTCATTCAAAAAATATTTGTTGAACACCAACTGTGTGCCATGCATTGTGCTAAGTACCTGAAAACAAAATACAGTAAATCCGTGCCTTCAAAGAGGGATACAAATAAGTAAGCCATTATTGTACGATATATGAAATACTCTAGTAAAAGTTTATATACGTCTGCGACAGCAAACAAGAAGGAACAGGGAAGTCCTCTAGGAGACAGAGAACCCTAAGGGCTGAGACAGAAAAGAGAGCCTTTGAGGGCTGCGCATTTCTGAGTATCTTGGTCTAAAAAATTGAAGGTTTTAACATCTGCCTTATTCATGTGTCCTCATCATTTTCACAGGCAAACAACAACAAACAGTGGTTACAAATTGATCTGCTCAAAATCAAGAAAATAACTGCGATTGTAACACAGGGTTGCAAGTCTCTGTCCTCTGAAATATATGTGAAGAGCTATACCATCCACTACAGTGACCAGGGAATGGAATGGAAGCCTTACAGGCAGAAATCCTCCATGGTGGACAAGGTACAGGGTGCTGTCATGGCAACAAAGCAACTCACCAACTGTTATGATGAGAGAAATACCTTACATTTGCAAACAGCTCTTTGCATTTGACAAATATGCACTGACATGCACCTCCTCCCTGAGAAGTCTGAACCCTCGCTCAGCAGGTAGCTGCTCTGGGAACAGAGACCATGCAGGTCATCTTTCTGCGGTGGCTGAGCCACCTGTGAAATAGTGAGAACCAAACACCAGGGGGCGGTGGGAGGCTTAATTAGCTCTAATTGAGAAAGATGGTAGCATTGTCTCAGTCGGCTTGCACTGCTCTAACAAATGATCATAGATGGAAGCAACAAACACTTCTTTCTCACAGTTCTGAAGGCTGGAATCCAAGAGTAGGGTGCCAGGATGGTTGGGTTCCTGGTGAGGGCTCTCTTCTTGGTTGTGTCCCCACATGACTTTCCTTGGTGCAGGAAGAGAGAGATTCCATGTCTCCTCTTATTTTTGTAAATGTATTAATCCCATCATGAGGGCCCCACCCTCACAACCTACTCTAATCCTCATTACCTCCCAAAGGCCCCACCTCCTAATACTATCCCCCTGGGGGTTAATGTTTCCATGTATGAATTTGAGGGGGACGCAAACATGTAGTCCATAACAGGGGTCTAGAGAACCTTCCACTGTGAAATAACAGCATATTAACATTATCTTGGGTAAACTTGTTATCTTGACTGATCAAATACCTACGGCCATAAAGCTTTTTGTATCATATTATTAAGCAGGAGACAATTGTTATCCTAACTGATGAGGAAATTAATTTCCTGCAAGACGAACTACCCCATTATAGTCCTTAATTCCCAGTCACATGTTTTTAAAATGCTACTAGGGCAAAACTAAGGAGATGAGCCTAATATTCCAGGAAGGGAAATCAGGCTGGAGCCAGTAAGAGGGGCCACACAGGAGAAGGGGATGACCTTTACCGAATGCTCATCATGGGCTCAGCCCTTATCTCGGTGAATGAATTTGAACCTCTCTCTCTTTGTAGTGAACTCCTGGGTTGTTTGTCTGGTTGGTTGGTTGGTTTGGCTGGTTATATCTGTCACTGTACTAGGATGTCTTTATAGTTGGGTATCATTGTCATAAACAGTGACTCAGCTGCTGCTGTGTTTAAATCTTGGGGAAACTGCTGGGGATGCAAAAAGGAAAACAACCAAGTCATAAAACACAGTTCAATTGAGAATAGAAGGCATCTGCCAAAAAGAATAAGTAAAAACACATGGTTGCATTTTATTTCAAATGTTAGTGACAACTAACCATTATCTGTCGCTTACAGTGCACTTGTCATATGTTTACATACTTAAAAAAATCTTTATAACGACTTCTCTCAGGTAAACTTTTATTACCCCCATTTTGCCAGTGAGCATGTAAGTCAGCTGCCCAGTCACACAGCTACCAAGGGGCTAAGGGCAGAGATGGTTCTGAAGCTGCTTCAGAACACCCTGTCAGCGGTCAGATCCCGGGCAAGCTGGAATCCCTAAAGAGGTCTGCTAGGCATGTGATTTCATAATTGACTGAAGATCATCTCTGATAACATTGTATGTGTTCCTTGATGCCCTCAGCTTGAGCTAAAATTGCAAAAGAAAAAAAATCACCTGTAAGATTTTTATACCCATCCTATCTCTATTAAAGATCTTACCATATTTTGCTTTCAGATTTTCAAAGGAAATAATAATATCAAAGGACACGTGAAGAACTTTTTCAACCCACCAATTATCTCCAGGTTTATCCGCATCATTCCTAAAACATGGAACCAAAGTATTGCGCTTCGCTTGGAACTCTTTGGCTGTGATATTTACTAGAATTGAATATTCAAAGACATAGGAAGGACTCTTAAATAAGATATCAAGCCATTTGGAGCGGGCAATGTATTTTATAGCTATTTTAAATGTTAATTTTCAGTATTTCCTTTTTTTCTATTAGAGAATAAAATTTTATATATGAAACTTTCATAATGTAAACTCCTTGCCACAATTCAGTGAGATGATAACAATTAATTCTTCATTAATCCGAATATAGATGGGAATGTATCAAGAACCAACAAGCAAATGGCTTCTTTCACAATGATTAAAAATGCTACGTAAAGTAATATTTATGTAGTTAGCATGCTTTATTATAGTTCTTTTAAAACCTACACACACTAATAAAAGAGATACTACTTTTTAAAAAGCCATTTATAGACCTGGATAGCTTTCATGCTTACCTTTAAAAAAAAAAAAAAAAAAAAACTGTGATTTAAGAGTAAAGGAAACAAGGTTTTAAATGGTTCATTTTTCTTGACATGGAAAAAAAAAATCATACCATATGAAATAATGAGTGCTTAAAATACCCTGTCTTACCTATATGACAATGATTTTTCTGGCCCTCTATGAGTAAAGATACAGTCGTCCCAACTTGTGAATCTGGCCTGGTCTCCCTTGGGACTGATTTACTTATTGATGTTCTGAGTGAAGGGTCTTTAGACATGGAACACAACCAAAATAACCACGGAAGAAATGAACGTGTAACCTTGGCTTCATTCTAGTTGGCACCACAATGGTATACTGTTTCAAAACATAGGTTCACCTAAGAGAAAGCTAAAACCTGCAAAACAGCATTGGAACCATTGGCCCAAAGGCAACGGTTCCTGCTGGGACTGGCAAGCCTCTGAAGCTCACCTTCAGTGCCCTTCTCTGCATGGCTCCAACCTCCTCTTCTCCCTTCCTCAACAACTTCTCCTTTCCGCACTCCCTTCCCTGGGAACTTGGCATTCAATGATCCCATAGACATTGTGAGACTGGGGAGCTTTCTGGCCTCCTTGAAGTCACGTGGAACAATCACTGGTGAGGCTATCTTCCATAGAACAAACCACTCCAAATCTTTAATGCTTAAAACAAGTTAATTCTCTCTCATGATTCTGTGGGTTAACTGGGCTCAGCTGGGTGGTTTTATGGCTGACTTCATTTGGGGTCCCCAGTGAGGTTATAGTCAGACATGGCTCTAACCAGAGTCATCAGAAGGCTCAACGAGATGTTGAAACAGCTGATTCTCTGTCACACTCCATGTGGTTTCAGGTCCTCTCCTCTTTACATGGCTTCCAAGTGGTCTATCCATTGGATGTCTCCAACAGGGGAGCTGGACTTCTTATAAGGTGATTCAGGCTCTTCAAAGCAAGTGTTCACAATTTAGGAAGCAGAAAGCTAGGCCCAGAACTGGCACAGCCTCACTTTGGTTAACCCAAGTCACAGGTGCATCCCAAGGAGTATAATTCACTGGGAGCATCTTTAGATACTGTCAGAGTTACCTATTGCATCTGTGGGTGGGCTGAGTCCTGTGAATGTATATAGGAGCTTCAAACATCCACAAAACATTGGCTTTCATTATTTCCACCTTTATTGAAATACATGTGACAAGTAAAATCATAATATATTTAAGTGTACAACTTGTTGATTTGGCATATGTATATGTTGTAAAATGTTTCCCATTATCAAGTTAATTAATATGTCATCACCTCACAGTTACTTTTTTGTTTTGTTTTCATCAGAATGCTTAAGACCTACTATCTTAACAAATTTCAAATACACAATACAGTATTAACAACTATAGTCCCTGTGCTATATATTAAATCCTCAGAACTTATTCATCCTATAACTGAAAGTTTGTACACTTTTACTAGCTTCTCCCCATTTCTTCCCCTGGCAACCACCCTTCTATTCTCTGCTTTTATGACTTTGATTTTTTTTTTACTTCCACATACAGTGATACTACACAATATTTGTCTTTCTTTGTCTAGCTTATTTCACTTGGCATATGACCTCCAGGTTCATTCATATTGTCATAAATGGTAAGATTTCCTTCTTTTTTTAAGGCATAATAATATTCCATTGTGTGTATACCATATTTTCTTCTCTTTTCTTTTTTTTTAAGATTTATTTATTTATTCCAAAGAGAGAGAGAGAGAGAAGCAGGGGGGTGGGGCAGAAGGAGAGGGGGAGAGGATCTCCAGCAGACTCCCCGCTAAGTGCAGAGCCCAACTGGGGCTTGATCCCATGACCTTGAGATCATGACCTGAGCCTCTATCAAGAGTCAGATGCTTAACCAGCTGAGCCACCCAGACACCCCTGTATACCACATTTTTTTTTTAAGATTTTCATTTATTTATTTAACAGAGATAGAGAGCACAAGTAGGCAGAGCAGCAGACAGAGGTAAAGGGAGAAGCAGGCTCTCCGCTGAGCAGGGAGCACGATGCGGGGCTCAATCCCAGGACCCTGGGATCATGACCTGAGCTGAAGGCAGTCACTTAACCAACTGAGCCACCCAGGCGCCCCCCACATTTTCTTCATTCATCAATTGGTGTACACTTCGGTTGCTTCCATAGCTTAACTATCGAGAATAATGCTGCAATGAACATGGTAATAGAGATACCTCTTCAAGCTGGTGATTTGGTTTCCTTTGGATGTATGTCTACAAATGGGATTGCTAAATAATATGATAGTTTTATTTTTAATTTCTTGAGGAAGTACCATACTGTTTTCCATGGAGGCTAGTGCCACTCACAGTGTGTATCCTTGTCATTATTTGTTTTCTCTTGTCATTTTGGTAAGTCATTCTAACCAGGTGTGAGGTGATATTTCATGTTTTGTTTTTTTTTTTTAAGATTTTATTTATTTATTTGACAGAGAGAGACAGCGAGAGCAGGAACACAAGCAGGGGGAGTGGGAGAGCGAGAAGCAGGCTTCCTGCCAAGCAGGGAGCCCGATGTGGGACTCGATCCCAGGACCCTGGGATCATGACCTGAGCCGAAGGCAGACGCTTAACGACTGAGCCACCCAGGCGCCCTATTTCATGGTTCTGATTTGCTTTTCCTTGATGATTAGTGATGTTGAGTATCTTTTCATAAATCTGTTGGCCATTTATATGTCTTCTTCGAAAAATGTATATTCAGGGGCGCCTGGGTGGCTCAGTCAGTTAAGCGACTGCTTTTGGCTCAGGTCATGATCTTGGAGTCCCAGGATCGAGTCGTGCATCGGGATCCCTGTTCAGTGGGGAGTCTGCTTCTCCTTCTGACCCTACCCCCTCTCGTGCTCTCTCTCTCTCTCACTCTCTTTCTCAAATAAATAAAATCTTTAAAAAAAGAAAAATGTATATTCAGGTCCTTTGCCCATTTTTTATTTGGGTTATTTTGCTATTGAGTCATATGAGTTCCTTATATATTTTGGATATTAATCCCTTATTGGATATGTGCTTTGCAAATATCTTCTCCCATTCAGTAAGTTGTGTTTTCATTTTGTTGATGGTTTCTTTTTCTGTGGAAACTTTTTAATTTGAACTAGTCCCAATTGTTTATGCTTTTGGTGTCATATCCAAAAAAGTCATTGCCAAGACCAATGTCAAAGAGTTCATTGTTAATGTTCTGGGAGATTTAGAATTTCAGATCTTATGTTTGGGTCTTTAATCCATTTTGACTTGATTTTTTTTTTATAAAAAGATATCAAATTTATTTCAATATCTAGATTTATTTTTAAATTAAAGCTGATGGACAATTTTTTGTAATTTAAAATTCATACTGGGGTGAGGAAGACATTAATAAGCTATTATATACTGACAACGAATAAAATTATTAGACTACTCATTTATAAAAGCCATGTTTAATAGTAAAAAGTTCCAGTTATACTACTTAGCTGAAGGAAATATCTTTTAACTCTTTATTTCTAATTTTAAAATTAAATTAAATTAAATTTAATTTAAATTTAAATGTCTCATTTTGACATAATTTACCTTTTTCCCCCAATTACTAGTATGATGAACAAAATTTTTCCAAACGTTAAACTTTTACCACTTATGAAATAGGACTTAACTATTACTTTTTAAGAGTAATAGTTTTATTTTATTTCTTATCTTACGGATAAGAGAAGTCTGAAATTTTAATTTTCACCATGAACCTGTTTGATCAGAAAGTATAAAACATCACTACTAGATAAATTAAAATGAAGAATGGAATAAAAACACAAAAGTGACATCTATATAATGAGCAAATTATGTAATAAGGTATTTTAACTACTTCACATTTCTACCTAGCACAATAAAGAATAAACTGGTTCCAAGGTACCACAAGGTTTGGCATTTTTACTGCAAGCTTTAAATCATAGTGTTATTCTACTCAACAAGACATCTCTAAGAAAATGGCAGGTTCATAAGTACAAAAATTATTCTATCTGGTAGGTGGTATTCTACATAGCCAATAAGAGAATTCTTTATAAAATGAGATTTTAAAAAGTGCAGAATGTCTGATAATTATCTCAAAGGCTAAAATGAGAAAAATGCAGAACACAGCCATTGGTTAATATGTGGCTTTGAGAAAGCCAGAAATGATTCTATTCCAAGAAATAAGCAATAATGATAAAAGATGTAAATAATATACTATATGCCTTTTTAAGCCAAAGCATACTTTTCACCTCAGGACAGTTTTGTTTTTTACATTCTCAATTCCCTTTATCCAGAACAGGATCCCATTCTAAGCCATTATTTGAATAGAGTTCATAACGTATAGTTATTTTTCTCCACAGGATATTTTCATTTCAGAACATAAGCTGCAAAATGGCAAATGATTAAGTCAATGAAAAAGAATTTATAGCATAATAAATGCCAATTTACAGTAACTGTCAACAGACTTCTACACCAAAACCTGAAAGCTGCTGGAGTAGAGGTCACGACTAACATGATTGTTACATGTGCTCCGACTTCATTTACAACAAATTACTGCCATAAAACCCAGAAAAGAAACCTTAGTGGGTCCTTTCAATACACCTTTGTCAAAATTAATTGACCATATATGGATAGGTTTATTTCTGGACTCTATTCTGTTCATTGATCTACGTCTCTTTTTATGCCAACAGCCTATGTTTTTTATTACTATAGCTTTGTAATGTAGCTTGAAATCAGTAAGTGTGATGCCTCTTCTTTCTT